AAAAGTGAATTCGACATTGTGCTGCATTCTTTTGAGGGTTAATAGTTAAATATTTAAATATTCAAACAAAGCAACCAATCACATTAAATATAAGGGAGACAATTTAGTTTAGATGATTAACACATAATAATTTTCACCTACAATAGCTGCAGATCCTAAGCAGAATGTGACACTTTGGCCAGAAATATTTTTGCAGCTGCTGTTCACACATGGACTTATCAGCAGGATATTCTGTGCTGAAAGGGTGGTCTCACGGCTTGAATTTGGAACATCTGGGAAGAGTACAAAGAATGCTGTACAGGATGTAGCAAGTGTGTTATGAACATCCCGGGCATATAGAGATCAAAACAGAGTTATTGTTGATAACAAAACTTGATGGACCTAAATATGTACACATCAGCAGGATGCAATTGCAATATAAAACTTGCAGGAGAGAGAGACACGTATCAACATTGCCTTGATACAGAAAATAAAACCCAAAACGATAGCAGTAATACATTCAAACTGAGTGGGAAATACAATATTTTGCTAAATGTTTCAACCAAATCATATAATTCAGGTATTCAAATCCCTTTAATGACTATGTGTGTCTTAAATCTAGCACCTGTTTTTGCAAGAAAAAATGGGTCATTCTCACAAGCTCGGAGAATTTCATTGTAGTAACCTTGAAAGGATGCTACATGTGTAGTTAGGCTAGCTGTAAATTGTAATCATTACTAAATACCTAATAGGCTTTTTTTAGTAGTGCTCTAATAGACCTCTCTACCCTGCTGGCCTCTGGGAAGAGACTTCGAAGCATCCGATGCAGGTCCTGCAGATTTCAGAACAGCTTCTTCTCCATTGCCATTAGACTGGTAAATGTTGAATAAAATCGGGTTTAAAAAAAAAAAGTGCTGAATGTTGGAAACTGTTAATTATATACCAGTGTATTTACATTTAATCTTAGTGTTTACTTTTTTCCCCCCACTTTTATTTTTATTGTTTTTGACAAATGGTCTCAGCCCTCTGAGCATCAGCAAGGTACAAAACCAAAACGAAATGAACACTCGAAGCAAAGCAACAACCGGTTGTCGTGATAAAAAAGTCAGTCAGTTTCAGAGGCTAATTTCTATGTTGTCCATTTTTCCCATTTTTCTTTGAATTGAGCTTTTTTCAGTCTTAAAATTAAATTCTTTCTTTCCATAGTTAATATTTCCTCCACGATGTCCATCCACTGAGTATGGTTATGGATTTCCTCCCAACTTACAGTAATATCTTAACCAAATACTGATCATACTTCTCACATTAGACAGAAGGCCAAGATACATTGTGGTAAAATTAAATGGAAAAGAATACAAAAATACTTTGCACAGAGTAAGGTGGATAGAAGAACTGAAAGGTTTTCACCATGTTTACATTTTATCTCTGCTGCCTACTTTTTATCACTGCTGCACAAAAATGGAAATTTCTTGAGAGTTCTACTAAACCCAATTCCCTTTTGTATACACTCTGTGTATACAAAATGACAATAAATAAATCAGCCACATTGTGCTGGGAAATGTAGAGCAGTGGGGGCTCAGAGAATGTACTGGTACATAATGTGCAGGGGCAACCAACAATCTGCATGCATCCTACAGATTAGCTGAAGTACGGTCAGTAAAGCCTCATGGAATGGGTTTCCTTGACGAGCAACTGGATTGAAGCCTTACATTATCACATGAGATCTCTTTTCTGACTGCATTGTGTTATATTTAAACTCTGGTTCGTTAGAAACTATTGACTTAGCACTGCTTTTCAGGAGCAGGGCATACCCGGCACATTTACCTGAAAAATAAATAAATCAATGCTTTAAATTTTTTGTTTTCATACCTCTCAGTTGTTTTTGTTATCAGCCCCCTTCCTCCCAAACACCACATGACATTTAGATGTTGGTTTTTAGGCTAAAACTTGTCATAGTCTTGAAAATTTTCTGTTTGATCGGCCTGATGTTGTTGCACTTTAGTCCAATTATAGACGTTAAAAAGGCGTTGAAAACCGGGTTTTCAACCTGTTTGAAACAATCTGAAAATTGCGGCTTATCACCTTTCACTTTTCAACCAAATGCACACGTCGTTTGGACGTAAATTATGTTGTCTTTTTAATGTCTTTTCAGCCAAATTTTGGTGGGTGGAATCTTTCAATCTTTCCACTTTGAATTCAAAACACATAGCCTACTACCATGGAAACAGAACAACATCTAAGAAACATAGTGTCTATTTCTGTAAAGGAGGATGTAATAGGTCAGACCTTCCCATCCAAGAGTAAAAACAAAGTTAGTGGCTTAGCAACAACTGTAAAAGATTTGGGAAGGAATCTCTGGGTGAAAACTAATTGGACTGTTTAATACTTGTGAGTATTCAGCGAAGCTGGGCTGGAAGCCAGCAGTTTTGTTTTCTAAAGGATGGCGACAGTTTTTAACCTCACCGTAATTTGTTCTAACAGCTGCTCTGCTGCACCGCTGTGATTTGAACTAGTAACACAGGGGGCTCTATTAAGCTGATGTACAGCTTTGTTATTACCTCCTAGAGTCTTGGGAATGAGACCGATGGAGGCTGAGTGGGTGCAAGTGACAAATTCTAGTGCAAATACACAAGACAGCATGCAAATAGATCTAAGCTACAGAAAATACCTACCTTAACGTATTTACTGCTACCCCTTATGATAAACTACACTTATAAACGTTTAAGCTGTAAAACAGCTCAATTGAGACAATATTTCCAAGAATTCAAGCCTGATTGGAAAAATAGTTGGTCAAGTTTGAAGCACAACCATTCTGACCAGAGCACAGGAGTTTGGAGATAAAAGAGAATATGCTGCCATCTTAAGGCCGCCTATTGAACTTCCTATGCCGGATTAAACTACTTTATATAAAATTTGATCTGGCTTTTCTCCTTTTTTTTTTGTTTTTTTTTTGAATAAGCTGAAAAAAATATCCATGGCCTAATTGATGCTGGGACCTCTAAAGCAGAAAACAAATTGGTAGCCTTAAACTAAAATTCTTTTTTTTTTGTTTACCCATGTCCTCCACATATTTATATCTGGGAAATAAATAATGAACATATAAAAAAATATGACATATCTGCAGTTTATAATCCAAAGCTCGACATGATAATAATGAATGAGGATTAATTAGGTACTCATTACATAATACCTCAGAACATATGGATTTAAAACCCATGTACACACTGATTCTTGAAATGGAAAAGGTGTGCTATTATTAGGTTTGAGGTCAGGTGTATCCAAAATGGACCGATAGACCATTTGCAGCCGCTGGACAGATTTTGTGTGCCCAGAATTAAAGAATGATACAAATTTGATCCTGGCAGCTTAAAATGATTAGAAAATGTCTTAATATCTTGGATCTATGTTGATTAACAGATCACTTTCCTGCATAAATAACGACTCCTTTATTAATTTATTTAATGTATGCTTTATTTTTGAGCGGGTAAAAAACTTTATACATTTTGTTGCAATAATTTTTTTAGTTTGCAAGTACCTTTGATTTCATGTAAATTTGTCCTGAAAGAAAATTGAGCAATTAAGCAGCTGCGATGTTAACTGTTAAATAAAGGATACAGAGCTGTTCAAAGGTTTACAAACACCCATTATCTGCCTCAATGTCATTTGCCTCCACCAATTTAATGATATATTTAACCGTTTCTTTGAATGAAATTGTTTTGCGCAATACAGTGTATTGTAAATATAAGTATTACGTGTACAGTTTTTCTGATTCAGATAGGCTCCACATTTTAAATAAAGGCTTAAGTATAGATATTTAAACCCTTGTTACATTTGGATAGATTTCCATTAGGTTACAAAAAAAAACCTGCTTTCCGAGGGGTCGAAAAATGTATACAATGCTTAACATGATTGAGCTAAGTCTGTGAATAAATGTCTGCCTGAAATAAATGTCTGAACCATTAAAAACACTTTTTTTTCTGTCTTTTCGGGATTAACTTTAATTTTAACTTTAACATTCAAACGTGTTAAAGTTTTAAACGATATTGCTGCAATTTTAGACCTTGAATTTTAACAGTCAAGTCAGTTTACATGATCATGGAGGAAAAGCTGAAACTGAGATATCCTTTTGATTCTGCGAAGAAATGCCACAATAAATTTAAATGTCAGAATGTTTTTAAACCAAATCCTATATTCATTCTACTCTAAAATAACTTCTAAATAAAAAAGCTTGAAATGAATGATACTTATGCTGATAAGTATAAGTATGAACCTTTGGCAAGTATTTTAAGATAAATGTCTAGAAAAATATATTTTCATTACAAAATACCCATTAAGTCAAATAAACCCTATATGAGTTATGCTGATTTGGTTGTAATTAAAGAGGTGTATAGCAAGAGACAAAAACCACCACTGTTCACAATTTAATTCTGTTTATTTGCTAAACACATAAGGCAAGAAAGGTTTACTGGTTTAAATGAGAGGATTAGAGGGTGAGAAGTGTGAAAATACAAGAAGGAAGTCAATCAGTGAAGGAGAGCCACAGAATATTGTCAATAAAACACAGCACATTAAAATAAAAGAATAACAGGGTCTTATCTGAAGTACTAGAGGAAATGTTTGTTTTTTTTCAAACACATTTTTCTTAAATGTGACAATTAGAGCATAATATGTGCTCTATATCCTTTCTTTAGCATTAAAATACTATTTTCTGAAGTTTGACATGATACAGATGACAGTAATTAGGGTAAACTACATTAGTTTAACTAGGTTTTAGTTCTAGATGCTGTATATCATGCAGGTGTGATGGAATAATAATATGTTAATAATATGATTTTATAACAGAAAATAAATATTCCAGATCATTTTGTCTTGTTTGGGATGCTCTTTGTAAAAAGTCAAACAAAAATCTCAGAATACCCTAAAGGTACAGCAGTCCCAGCTCTAGAATTATTTTTGCTATATACTGTACACAAAACAAAACTTTAAATAATAAGCTGTATGTTTTTTGTTTTTTCTCACCCCACTAAGGATCCCCTCCAAAGTCAACCTTAAAAACTTGTACACCAGAGAAAAGGCCCTGATGACTCCACTCAGCAGTCAATGTTGATGCTAGAAAGCAGCTCCTCCAGCGCCTCCAGCTTCTGATTTGCTTCCTCAATGGCGCTGTATGTCTGCACGTTGCTGGCGATGTGGAAGCGGATGTCGTCTACCAGAGGAACTGAGTCTGTCTCCTGACGCTCCTCCAGGGACGCAGCATCCTCTTTTATCATCTCGGCAAACTCGGCTTGCTCCACCAGCTGTATAGGACAAGTTTCACAGGTAGAGGGGAGTAAATCAGGAGGACAGACCGAGCAGGAATGACTAGACACAGCACAAATTTTTCTTTAAAATCTTTTAAGGCTTTCCATCCCAACATTAAATATAGAATTCACCCTTAGATATAAGTATTTCGTGTGGCGTAGGGTATTTCTGTCTTATGCTATGTCGGATGAAACATAAGAAATAAAAAACAGGAAGTAAATGTTTCACGCTTCACTTCATCATCTCCACATATTGACAGTTTATTTTTAAACACTGCTAGACAAAATATTCACACTTGTTTATAGACTGTTTTGCATAATTTGTTAAACCAAAATGAAGTACTTAAACATTAGGATATTAGTCAGACTTAATGCAAGCCCTGTTTAGAAAAACAGATCAGACAAATCCTGCAAACGGCATCAGGATACAAAACATGGAATTAATTTATTAGCAGTTAGCCTGTGTGCTTTGTTTCAAGTTTGTCCTTGTCCCTCACTCTTTCCAACAAGGAGCTAAAACATTTGCGGTTCTCTGTAATTGTATGTTTTGTAAGAATACAGTAATTACTGGTCTACAGCTGTTTTTTTGGAGGGTTTGTCTGTTTCATTTAAGGCGATTAAAGCTTTAACACAGCATGTCATAGGAAACAAACACTGGTTCTGAGGAAAAACAATTATTTAAAGTGCAAAATAAACATGAGAATTAGAATTTCCTAAAACAACACCCTAATTGGTGGTAGCAGCTTTAAACAATTCCATACCTGGATATATTACTTCCAAGTATTCATCACTATAAAACCAATTAAGTAATGGCTTTCAAAATTATCAACTCTTCTATTTTTAACAGGTCTATTTCAGACACATTGGGGTTTAATACAAAACTGACCAAAACTACATTAGGTACAATACATCTCATAAAAATTTGAAGATTAGAAAGAAAATCAAAGGTGCGTTCAAACCGAATGGGTTCTGGGCTTCAAAGCATCTGATTTACATGCACAATCTGTGGGGATGACTCAAGCAGTGTTTGAAATGGTCCTGGGGTTCATCAGAGCTATCGGAGGGGCCCAACCAAGCGTCAGAGCATCCTGGTCTCCCAACGATTGGAGTGTCCCAGCGTTCAACGCTGGAGTTCATAAAATCTGAACTTTTGCAGCTTGATACAGAGCATCATTATTTGCTACAGTCGACAGGCTAACAAACCCTCCTGTGTCAGTAGCACCTGAATTTTATTCTACCAAAGCCTGCAATGACTTTTTCACAGACAAAATCCAAATTATTAGACAAGCTGTTGGTTCTACAACAGCAGGTTCAGGTCTTGTATCGTGTCCACCAAGTCTAAACATCATGACACAGTTTTATCCCATTACTAGCAAAGAATTGGAGGACATCTTGCATCAATTGAACTCCTCCTCTTGCTGTTTGGACATCCTGCCCACTGGTTTTTTAAAAAGGTCTCAAAGACCTTGGAGTCAGATCTGCTTCAGATTGTGAACTGCTCTCTAACGTCAGGTGTTTTCCCAGAGTCACTGAAAACAGCTGTGATCAAACCTCTGCTAAAAAAGGATAATCTAGACAAGACACAGATGAGCAGCTACAGGCCGATCTCCAATCTTCCATTTTTAAGTAAGATCATTGAAAAAGCAGTCTTTCACCAGCTAAATTACTTTTTAAGAGAAAACAACGGTCATGATGTCTTCCAATCAGGTTTTAGACAGCATCACAGCACTGAGACTGCTCTGACCAAAGTCACGAATGACATATGTCTGAATACTGACGCTGGTAAAATGTCAGTGTTGGTTTTACTGGATCTCAGCGCTGCATTTGATACAGTTGACCACATTATATTACTCCAACGACTGGAGAAGTGGGTGGGCCTCTCTAGTTCTGTACTAAACTGGTTCAAAACATACTTGGAGAACAGGAAGTACTTTGTGTCAGTAGGCAATTTTTTTTTTTTTTTTCAACTCTTTATTTAGTCTTTTTCATAATACAAAAACAAAAGAAAAAACAAGAAGAAAAAAACAAAAAACAAGCTGGGGGGAGCATCCGTTGCCATATTTACCAAAGTTTTTTTTTTTTTTTTTTTTTTTTTTTCCTCTTATGGTTTGGTTTTGGCCTTGAACATTGACCACTTCTGCCATTTTTTCTCAAAGTCACCTTCTTTAAGGCTCAGACGAAAAGTCAAATTTTCCATTGTGTATAGTTCATCTACAATATTCAGCCATTGTCCATGCCCAGGTGGGTCACGTTTCAACCAATTCCTTGTCAATGCCTTTTTGGCAGCAATCAGTAATATTTTGCAGAGGTAAATGTCTTTTTTTCCAATGACTTCATATGGCATAAGTCCTAGGTATACAAAGCTCGGATTTCGGGGTATAGATAAGCATAAAATTTCCTCTACTGTCTGAATGACACTGTTCCAGAATAGCTGCAGTTCAATGCATGACCAAAAGATATGGGAGTGATTGGGATCTACATGTCCACACCCTCTCCAGCATTTCTCTTGTTGCCTAAGTTGTTTTGATTTTATATATGGGGTGATAAAAAAACGAATTAGATTTTTCCATCCAAATTCTCGCCATCTTCTTGAGCTGGTTGAAGATTGTTGTGTTTTACACATGGAGGACCAGTCACTCCCAGTTAATGTAATGTTGAATTCTTGTTCCCACTTTTCTTTAACATAGAATGAATTTCTGCCATCGCATTTTTGGAGACTATTATACAACTTTGATACAATTTTTGAGGGAGTTCCACCATATGCACGTGTCAAGATTATAATCACCTCACTAATTCCTTCTGATAGGTCCCTGTTAACCTCTTTGTCGTAAAAGTGACGCAATTGTAGGTAGCGATATAGGTCTCTGTTTTCAAGATTGAATTCTTCTTTAACTTTTTCAAATGATTTAAATATTTTCCCTTCAGTGAGTGTACATATTGCCGTAATTCCCCTCTCCATCCACCTGATAAATGTATCATCTGACCCACTGGGGCCAAAACTGGGCATTTGAGATGGCCATATTAATAATTTACTATCACCTTCAATTTTGTTTTTCTTAACGACCTCATACCATGTTTTCAAAGTTTCGCCCAGAATAGTTCCCTCCTCTTTACTATCTGTTAAAATTTTACACCCCAATTTTGCAGGGGGTGGTATTTTACCAAGATTGAATTCGATTTGCTTCCACTTTGCGCTATATGTTGGAGAACACCAATAAACAACGTATCTCAGTTGGGCCGCCCAGTAGTATTTTTTAAGGTCAGGTAAAGCAAGTCCTCCTTTTTCCTTTTCTAACTGGAGTGTTCTGAGTCTTACCCTAGGTTTAATACCCGCCCAGATAAATCTAGATAAGACCTTATTCCATGTAGAAAATTGGGTTTCTGGGATCCTTATGGGGAGGGAGAGGAAGACATATAATAATCTAGGCAGCAAATTCATTTTTATCACCTCTATTCTTGTGCTAAAATCTAAGGCCAACATTGACCAACGTGTTACATCTTTCTGAATTTGATCACTTAGAATACCATAGTTTGACTCATATAGGTCTTTTAGATGTTGGGTGATATTCACACCTAAGTATTTTATTGATTTTGTGTCCCATTTAAGTTTATAATTACTCCTCATATTACTGCTAGGTGTATAATTCAGACATAGTACCTGTGTCTTTTTAATATTGAGTTTATATCCTGACATCTCACCAAAATTTTCCATAATGGAAAAAAGTTTAGGGATTATTATGTTTGGGTTCTTTAAGTAAGTGATAATATCGTCAGCAAACAGGCTTATTCTATGTTCCTCTGTTGCTATGTTGATCCCCTCCAAATGATCATTTTGTCTAATATCCTGAGCCAATGGCTCAATGAATAATGCAAAGAGGGAAGGACTAAGACAACAGCCTTGTCTTGTACCTCTTTTAAGGTTAAAGCTACCAGACAATGAGCCATTAATCCGCAACCTGGCTGTAGGATCCCCATAAAGAGCTTTAATACAGCTAATAATTTGATAATTGAAGCCAAATGTCTCCAGCACTTTATAAAGAAAAGGCCAGCTAACTCTATCAAACGCCTTCTCTGCATCAAGGCTAAGCAACACTGCACTGAGCTTTTTTTTGTGTATTTGATCTATGACATGCAGTGTGCGTCTGATATTATCTTGGGTTTGCCTGCCCTTTATGAATCCAGTTTGGTCTTCATTTATTAGCTCAGGGAGGATATGCTCCAACCTTTTAGAGATTATTGATGTGAATATCTTGTAATCTACATTTAGTATGGAGATGGGGCGATAAGATTCGCATAGTGTTTTATCTTTGTCTTCTTTTGGTATCACTGATATCACTGCTTCTTTCCATGACGGGGGTACTTTGGCGTATTTGAGAGTCCAATTCAGAGATTCAAGTAGAGTGGGCGTAAGGTCCTCCTTGAAGACCCTGTACCACTCATTTGGAAAGCCATCGCTCCCTGGGCACTTATTATTTTTCAAATTACTAATGGCTTTATCCAGTTCTTCCTTTGTAATCGGAGTGGTCAAAGACTCATTTTGGACCTGTCCAATGGAGGGAAGATCCAAGGATAATAAATATTTTTTGATCATCACTTCATCTACAGGGTCTGGATTAGAGTATAGTGTCATATAGTATTTTTTGAAGCAGTTTTCTATTTCTTCAGGTTTAAAAGTCAAATCTTTACTCAGTGGGTCCCTAATCTTCGATATACAATTTTTAGTTTGTTGTATTTTCAGGCGTCTTGCTAGAATCTTTGTTGCTTTCGGACCTGATTCATAAGTGGTTTGTTTAGCATATCTAAGTTTCCTTTCTAATTCATCTGACAGTGTTGCATCTATTTGTTTTCTGACATCCTTCAATTGTTCTGTTAGCCTCATATTATTAGCTGTTTGTTGTTGTTTTTCTAACTTTTTCAGTTCTTCCTGTAGTTTTTCATATTTTAATCTCTTTGCCTTAGTTATGTATGCCATCCGTGAAATCAAGTTCCCTCTCATAGTGGCTTTAACTGTGTCCCATAATATTGTTGGGTCAACCTCACTATTTATATTATCTTTAATACAATTTCTAATTTCCCCTTTAATTTCATCCATAGTTGTTTTGTTATTCAAAATCCCAATATTCATTCTCCACAGTGTGTTTTTACGAGCACTATCTAAGTGTATAGTTAAATAAACCGCATTATGGTCAGAGACATCAGAGGTTCCTATTGTACATTCTATCACCCTATGTCTGTCCCCCGCACTCATCAGGAAATAATCTATTCTAGAATGAATCTGATGTGTAGCTGAAAAATGGGTAAAGTCTTTCTCTGAAGGGTGGAGATTCCTCCAGACATCAAACAGGTTATATTCTCTCAGTAAAACATTGAGGCATTTTGACATAGGCAGTTTATGCTGTTTTTTGCTTGTTGTGTCTAAGGAGTAGTCCAAGACTGTATTCCAGTCTCCTGCATAGACTATTATACCCTCACTGAATCCGACAATTTTTTCAAAGAGCTGTATAATAAAATTTTTTTCACATTCCGGAGGTACATAAACACAAGCAAATGTGATTAATATGTTATCAAGTCTTCCCTTAACTAAAATGTATCTGCCTTCCTTATCTCCTTCTTCCTTAATTAGGTCAAAATTCAGCGTGTTTGACATTAGAATAGCCACTCCCCTTTTTCTGCTATTTTTACAGGAGCTGTAAAAAGAGTTTGAATATCCAAACCTCCTTAGCTTATTATGTTCTTTATTAGACATATGCGTCTCCTGAAGCATTACAACCTCTGATTTATTCTTTTTTAATTTTCCCAACACCTTGCTTCTCTTAATTGGATTTCTTAGGCCATTTACATTCAAGGATGTGATCTTTAAATTACCTGGCTTTGGCATATAAAAACTTCTAATGAAACATTGGTCTCCCCCAGAAAAGTATGTACTTTCACAAACACAATGAAATAACATAAATAAACACAACAGAACAGTGACTCCCAAGAGTGGAAGAGATCTAACTCTTCCAGGTGGACCCAGTTGGAGGGTCGAGGGTATAGTCTCTCCTCTAGAGAGGGCCCACTACTAGAGATGGTAATCAATTTTAACAAAAGAAATAACACCATCCTATAAGTCCAACTTAATCAAGCTACGATTGCTATCTCTCCCCCTGATCAAAAAATGAGGTCAAATGATTAATTAGTTAACAGGCGAAGTCCGACAAGGAAAAAGCTACCTCACCAGAATGTAGTAAATTTACAAGAGAGCCTCAGCTGTTCTCCTCTGCGTCATCTCTCTGAAACCCCTTCAGTTTCTCCCTCGCTCTCTGCGCCGTAGAGTTACTCCTCTCCTGACGATCTGATCTCCGCTCCCATCCGAGAAGCTCCGACAGTGCGGCGTCCAGCGCATGTTCGCTGTCCCTCACCCGTGGCGGGTCCACTGAGATACCTCGTTTCTGTAGCTCTTTCCTTGCTGCTTCTGCGCTGCTGTAGGTCTTAACTCCAGTGTCCCAGTGGATCCTTATGCTTGTGAAAGGCGTCTGAAAGCGCACTCCTTTCTCCTTTAAAGCTTTCTTAACAGCGTTGAATTCTTTGCGCTTCTTAACAATCTCGGTCGCGTAGTCATGATCAAAGTAGAGAAGACGGTTGGCGTGCATTATTTTCCCCTTTTTCCAAGCCTCCCTCAGTATCAGCTCCTTGGTCATAAATTCCTGAAAATTAATAATAATTGGCCGTGGCGGATCTTCGGGGCGAGGTTTCTGCGCCAAGGAGCGATGTGCCCGTTGGATTTTCAGATCCACCTCTTTCAGGAGTGGCAGTTCACGTTTAAGTAGGGTCGTAATGAACTGGGAAACCGAGCTTCCCTCTTCTCCCTCTGTCAATCCAAACATCCGGATATTGTTTCTTCTAGATCGGGACTCCAGGTCCGTCACTTTGGCTTGGAGGGCCTTCTGTTGTTTAACTGAGGCAGAGATCACGGCATTTACCTCTGCTGCCCAGTCTTCCATGCGCCCCACACGAGTTTCCACTTCATTAATCCGGCCAGACAAGCTTTGAATGTCTTTTGTCAGGTTGTCAAGTTTGCCGTTGAGTTCTTGGCCCATAAGGTTGATTTCTTGACGTAGGGAACCGTTGTCCTTTGTCAGTTCAGACTTCAGGTCTTTAATCGCTGCCATTAGGTCACTTGAGTTCACGTCAGTCCCAAGCGTCGGGGCGTCCTCTGAGTTGATAGCGTTAGCTTTTGCCGAACTGCCTTTTTCTTGACTTTTTGGCATATTTTCTTTCCTCTTTTTGCCTCTTGTGAGTCTCTTCCCACTCATCAAACATATAAGCCACACAATTTTCAGTTAACGAGTTTTTGGTGGGGAAAAATAAATTTCTAATGGGGGAGCGATCGTAAGTGCGTCTGTCTAGTCCATGGGTGAACCGCAATTCATCGTCAGTAGGCAATTTTACATCTGAGCAGACAAAATTGACCTGTGGAGTTCCCCAGGGCTCTATCCTGGGGCCTCTTCTGTTTAACATCTACATGCTCCCACTGGCTCAGGTTATAAAGAACAACAATATTAGTTACCATAGCTACGCAGATGACACTCAGCTATATATTACAGTATCACCAGGAGACCGGGGCCCTGTACAGGCTCTTGTTAAATGTATTGATGAGATTAATGACTGGATGTGCCTCAACTTTCTTCAGCTGAACAAAAACAAAACTGAGGTGATTGTTTTTGGTGCTAAAGAGAAACGAGAGCAGGTTGTTACAGAACTTCAGTCCATACACCTAAAAACCACAAATCAGGCCAGAAATCTGGGTGTAGTGATGGACTCAGACTTAAACTTTGAAAAACACATCAAAGCGATCACTAAATCAGCCTACTATCACCTGAAGAACATCTCAAGGATAAAAGATCTGATGTCTCAGGAAAATCTGGAAAAACTAGTCCATGCATTCATCTTCAGTCGGCTTGACTACTGTAACAGCATCTTTACTGGTCTACCTAAAAAATCAGTTAAACAGCTGCAGCTCATTCAGAACTCTGCTGCTCGAGTTCTCACAAAGACCAGAAAAGTGGACCACATTAGTCCAGTTCTCAGGTCTTTACACTGGCTGCCGGTCCATCAGAGAATAGACTTTAAAGTTCTGTTGCTGGTCTATAAAGCTCTGCATGGTTTAGGCCCAAAATACATCAGTGACCTCTTGACCCAGTATGAACCTACTAGACCCCTCAGGTCATCCGGATCTGGCCTTTTATCAGTTCACAGAGTCAGAACCAGACATGGAGAGGCTGCATTCAGCTTCTATGCACCACATGTCTGGAACAAACTCCCAGAAAGTCTCAGATCAGCTGAAACACTTAGTTTATTTAAATCCAGGCTGAAGACTCACCTGTTCTCAGCTGCATTTACGTAGATTTTATTCAAAAGTTAAAATTCGCCCGTCTCTGTATTCTCTCTTTTTAATTTTAAATGTTTTTAATTTTGAATCACGCTTTTAACTGTTTTTAATTGTTTTCTTTCCCTTTTGCTTATAATGTTTTATGTAAAGCACTTTGAATTGTTCTGTACATGAAATGTGCTATACAAATAAACTTGCCTTGCCTTGCCATCAAAGGATCAGAAAAGCTTATCCAGGAGCTTTTGGTAGACCTACAATATATGCAAGCTGCTATCTACAGAGGTGCATGCATATGAAAAATAAATAAATTTAAGGGGTTGAACTCCACAGTTCTATAATTAAAGCTGGGAGAGAGGAGTGCTATGTACAAGGGGGAAAAAAATACCAAACTCTAAAGACTACCAACAAACACTGTTGTCAAGTAATTGTTAATATATGAAAATGTTAAATTTTTTAAATATTCCAGTATTACTGCTACCACTGGGAAAAAATGGTAGGGTGGCCAATGGTTGACTAGTTCAAAGTGTATTTTTTGTACAAAACTAAACCGATAAACGGGGATAAACTAAAGGGATAAACGGGTATTGACTATGGGTATGCTGGTCTGATCGGGTATGCTGATCTTATTTTAGTAGGAGCATAATCCTGATGCTATGACTGCACAGAGGGTGTTTTGAGGTGGACTTTCTGGCTTGTAGCTTGAGAGTAGAGCAGACAATCAATCAGAGCACCGAGCATCCAGAGCATCAAAGCGTCAAAGAATCTTGACCAGCGTTTCAGCCAGTGTCCAAGTTTCGCAGTTTAAGCATTTTGCAGGTTCCGTTCATAAGTTAGAACCAGATTGGAAATCTCAGGTTATTGAAGTATGATGACAGGTCACACAAATGTCAGTGAAAAGACAAAGATACAAACCCGCTCAATAATCTTTGCCATAAACTCTGTACACTGATCCTCAAGCCGAGACAGACGAAAAAGCTTTGCCGTCTTCCACATGTGCAGGACGTTTTCCTCACAAATAGCCTTGGCTAGAATCTTCCCGCATAGACGTTTCAGCCCCGGCAGCAGGTACATGTCAGCCACACAGAGAACATCAAACACGCTGTCCATCGTCAGCTGGGTGAGAAAAGGGATCAGTCAGATAACGAGCAAAAAATAATAGAAAAATTGACTATTATTAGAACAAGCATATAATATGAGGAACCTTATAACGCCAGTGGACAAACCCAACAAGCAACTGTTTGTTTTAACTGCCATCTTGGTAGTATACCTACGTAAATCCTCAGTCACCCTGGTCATGGCTACTGCAAAAAAGGCTGAATTTGGAAGGACACTTTACTTTTTTTGAAGACGTTTCAACACCTTTCTAGGAATCTAATTTGTTTGGCTCACACCAAAGCAATCTGTAGTTGGAGTTAAGACATTAATGAGATGTAATTTTTTGAAGTCAACTATTTGACAGTAAATGCATCAATGTGTCATTTTATGACGATATCATGTCAATAGGGAATACCACCGATTGCAGCAACTGGCTTGGTTATATTGGGTAGGTCTAATCCAGTTTTTATTGCTAACTGTAGTGCGTGCTCTGCTAAACCCATGGAATAAGCCAATAAGGTACCAGTTTGGCATGCAGCACGCATACTGCCATGCAGGCTCACACCTGCCAGGGGGGAGCTCACTGGTTCAGATTAAAACTTCAAAACTGAAAACTTTCTGTTATCAGAACTCTGAGTTACCGGGATGACAATATTCCCTCAATTAAAGATGAGAAATGAAAAGAACACAAACATGTCATGAATTCACACAAGGTTATCCAAACTGGGAATTTGTTAAGTCGGAATTTCAGAGAAAAAAAGTGAAAATGCATCATTCCAGCAAATTTCAAACCCAACAACACACTCAAACAAAAACCCAAACCAAAGCTGGATTGTGGTTTCCAAATCCCATGACAGAGCCCATGCACAACAAAAGACTCACACCTACCGTACTTGGAATGTGCTGAGGAGGATGGATCTCCTGGATGCTAAAATACATCAACACTCCAACTACAGATTGCTCTGGAACGAGCCAACGGGATTGACAAAAACTCTTGGATAGGTGTTAAAACGTCTTCAAAGAAAATCTAATTGCTTTGTAATTTAACCCTGTTTTGTGTTTGTCAGTATTTAAATAAATCGTTTTTTCTTTTCATTTGCACAATAGAAATACATCTCAACTGTAACTATAGTGTAAAAGTAGATAACAAAAAAAGAGGTTTCAATGACTGAATTTTAAAAATATCTCTCTTTATTGTGATTTTATAGTGCTAAATAATCAGTGGTTTGTCCACTCCTCATTGATGTATACAGGTGCTGGTCATAAAATTAGAATATCATGAAAAAGTAGATTGATTTCAGTAATTCCATTTAAAAAGTGAAACTTGTATATTATATTCATACATTACATACAAACTCATATATTTCAGATGTTTATTTTGTTTAATTTTTATGATTACAAATGACAACAAATGAAAATCTCAAATTCATCATATCAGAAAATTAGAATATTGTGAAAAGGTTCAAAATTGATGGCCCCTGGTGCCACACTCTAATCAGCTAATTAACTCAAACCACCTGCAAAAGCCTTTAAATGGTCTTTCAGTCTAGTTCTATAGGCTACACAATCATGGGGAAGACTGCTGACTTGACAGTTGTCCAAAAGACGACCATCGACACCTTGCACAAGGAGGGCAAGACACAAAAGGTCATCGCTAAAGAGGCTGGCTGTTCACAGAGCTCAGTGTCCAAGCACATTAATAGAGAGGCGAAGGGAAGGAAAAGATGTGGTCGAAAAAAGTGTACAAGCAAGAGAGATAACCGCACCCTGGAGAGGATTGTGAAACAAAACCCATTCAAAAATGTGGGGGAGATTCACAAAGAGTGGACTGCAGCTGGAGTGAGTGCTTCAAGAACCACCACACACAGACGTATGAAAGACATGGGTTTCTGCTGTCGCATTCCTTGTGTCAAGCCACTCTTGAACCACAGACAGCGTCAGAAGCGTCTTGCCTGGGCTAAAGAGAAACAGGACTGGTGAGTGGTCCAAAGTCATGTTCTCTGATGAAAGTAAATTTTGCATTTCCTTTGGAAATCAAGGTCCCAGAGTCTGGAGGAAAAGAAGAGAGGCACTTCATCCATGTTGCTTGAAGTCCAGTGTAAAGTTTCCACAGTCAGTGATGGTTTGGGGTGCCATGTCATCTGCTGGTGTTGGTCCATTGTGTTTTCTGAGGTCCAGGGTCAACGCAGCCACATACCAGGAAGTTTTAGAGCACTTCATGCTTCCTGCAGCTGACCGACTTTTTGGAGATGCAGATTTCATTTTCCAACAGGACTTGGCACCTGCACACAGTGCCAAAGCTACCAGTACCTGGTTGAAGGACCATGGTATCCCTGTTCTTAATTGGCCAGCAAACTCTCCTGACCTTAACCCCATAGAAAATCTATGGGGTATTGTGAAGAAGAAGATGCAATACACCAGACCCAACAATTCAGAAGAGCTAAAAGCCACTATTAGAGCAACCTGGGCTATCATAACACCTGAGCAGTGCCACAGACTGATCGACTCCATGCCACGCCGCATTGCTGCAGTAATACAGGCCAAAGGAGGCCCAACTAAATACTGAGTGCTGTACATGCTCATACTTTTCATGTTCATACTTTTCAGTTGGCCAACATTTCTATAAATCCTTTGTTTTTATTGGTCTTCAGTAATATTCTAATTTTCTGATATGATGAATTTGAGATTTTCATTTGTTGTCATTTGTAATCATCAAGATTAAACAAAATAAACATCTGAAATATATGAGTTTGTATGTAATGTATGAATATAATATACAAGTTTCACTTTTTAAATGGAATTACTGAAATCAATCTACTTTTTCATGATATTCTAATTTTATGACCAGCACCTGTACAGTATGTAGGCTTAAAACTAACAAACTTAAAGACCTGTCCTGACTTTTGCATGCTTGTTTACTTCAGGTTGTTATAGTAATGCTTTTTCCTTTAATACATAGCATTTTTATAAGAATATTACATTTCATATTATCTCCTGTTTTTCTGATATTAATATTTTTTATATATTTTAGTTTTTAACAGAAACAGAACTGTAACAAATATTTCTCAAACCACTTAAAAAGCCTTCTGACAGAAGCAGTGCACAGACCTCTGTATCATCAGTGTAGATGTAATACATGACGTGGATAAAGACTTCCTGGGTGATATTTTGCAACGTTATCACTGGGGTGCTGGGCTGGGACTGCAGCTGCTGGCCCTCGCTGAAGTGGTCTTCTAGTAATGCCTTAAAATAATCACTGCGGCCACAAAAAAAGGCCTGAAAACAAGATCATTACAAATCTCGTATCAACAGATTTGGAGCTTGGTGAAATTTGTTTGTAGACTCTGTAATTCATACCTTATGACATAAGAAATCAAAACCCTCTACTCTGAAGCAGATGTCAGGATAAGTTGGGAACAGATCAACTCTGTTAAAGGGAAGTTCCCCAAATCCAACCTGGGGCAAAGAGAGAGCAGTTTCAGTAGTAACAGTTGGTTAGTGTTAAAAGTCTGACAATAACCCCCAGATTCCACATCCTCTGTCTCTGCTCCGCTCACGTAAGTCATGCAGAGCACTTGCACATGTGCACTTGCACTTGTCATGTTAATCAATGAGAACTGCTCTATATCCACTGCTACTCCTCCGCATGTCACCGTCCACATACGTGTAATCCGTCCTTCACCATCAAAATAAACAGCCAAGCTATTTTGGAAGCCGGCCAGGTCAGGATCCACAATTGCAATCGCACCAAACGGGGAAAGGAAACCTGAGAATATCCAGTTTGTCAAACTAAAATACAGTAACAACATATTGGTAACTAAAAATTAGAGCATAATTCTGATATATTCCCAAAAACTAAGACTGTTTAATTAAATGATTGGATGCAAACTATTAGTACTTCAACATAACAGGAAGCAGATTTCTCATCTTGATCAAAATTATTAAATTTTATACTGAAATGCTTAAAAGTTTCATAAAATCCAGTCACAAATTTCTTCTTATCGCAGGAGGATTGCATAGATGAAGAGATGCAGAGTTTGGAAGTAGAGAACAAACCAATGTTGTATGATCCTATTTATCCTTATTACAAAGATTCACAAGGAGGAAGTGCGGAGGCTTTGCTTTGTGCAGGCGGCCTGGAACGGAGCGGAGCGCGACGGGGTGCTAACGGAGTATGTGGGATTTCGGGGTAAGGTCTAGGTTCTTACCCTTAGTTCAGTGGGCAGAGCACAGTCTGCTAACTGGGCCATCTCCTCTTGGAGCTGACAGGTGTGAGGCTCCAAGCTGAGAACTTTGACACAGGTTCCAGGCTTGTTGGACACTTCAAAATTAAAGGGATAAAAAATAATTGATCAACATCAATTAAAGCTCTAAAGAAAAATAAATAAACTTATATGACAAACTGCCACACAATGTATATGTATAAATCTTCAGTTCTTACCAAATTCATAGACCTGTTTACATTTATTCTCCAGCTCTTCAATAAGGTCTGCCATCTTGCACTGTTTGGCAAGTCGCCTACAGTCCTCCACCAGACTTATATCAATATCCATCCGTCCTGTAACATTATTAACAGCTGATGTTTTGTTTTTCAGTCATATTTTTTCAGTGGTCCCTGTTCCATTACCTTAGTATTAATGAAATATTTGATACAGTAAAATCATGATTTACTATCTTCTTCTTCATACTGTTTGTTATTCCAAGTTTTAAATTGTTAAAAAAAAACAAGGAGAAGAAGAAAAAAATAAATAACTTCACACCATTTTTTGCAAATGATATTCCTATAGATCCTCTGTTAATTAAAATGCTGGATGTGTCGCTCAGGGGAGGGGGGGCTCTTCTCTATTTTACTACTTTAAGGTTATTTATAAAAAAAAACACAAAAAAAAACAAACAACAAACACTCACCAGTATAGAAATATTGCAGAATTGCTGCGAAGGCTGCAGGATTGATCTGAAATTAAAAGAGCTTTAGTTTCTATTAATGTAGACTTCATTCTACTTACATTTAAATTTATTGTTTTTAATTACCAAGGGGTGTTTGAGGGTTATGAGGCTCTTTCCTTTCCATTTTGTTTCAAACATCTCAGTGAAATACTCCGAGCGTGCGCTGAGAACGCATCGGTGAGCCGAAAACATTTGTCCATGAACCAGGAACTTAACGTCACTGTTGTGACCTTGTTCTAACAACCTAATCAGAAAATTGACATTAGTACACTATGTTTTGCCTTGGAAAGCTGTAACAACACACTCTTGTTTCTTTATAAATGGCAGAGAGGTTTCCCATTTACATGTGTAGGAAGTAGTTGAAGTCATTGCGCTGCATGGCACGGACACTGACACACTTGTATTCCTTGAGCAGGCGTCGGATCGAGTCACTCAGGGAGCCGTACACACATCTTTCACCATCAAACGTGTTGGCTTCACACTTGGCACCTAAAGGTGAACAGAAATAACGAAAAAAAAAGAAATCAAAATAAATAGACTCCAGCATCACACGTCCTTTAATTATAACAGCCTCACTTTATCCAGTGAAAATTCAATTTTACCACTAGCCAACAGATACTGGACCAGCTCCTCGTGGCCACAGAGGCAAGCATAATACCTGAAGGAAGAACAGCTCTTTTTCTAGGACCATTCATGGTACAGGGTTTGTGGTAAACAGAAGGTATGCTAATCATATACTCACAAAGGCGTGCTGTCCCATTTATCTCTCACATTGAGGTCCACATCTCTTTGCTCAACAAGGTACCTTATGAGGACAGAAAGATCAGATTCTTTAGCACATTCTGATTATTAACAGTTAGCTTAGCCTCTGACAGACTTTGGTTTATTTTTGGATAAAACAAACTGATCTCAGATCACAAAACACACATACACATTGCAATACAGTAATGTTATTTTGCAGGGGAATTACTTTTGCAATCTGAAAGAGATACTGATGGCAGGTTTTAATCTGATATGGTATTATATCTTTACATCTTTGTAAAAAAACAATAACTGGTAATGGCATCATATTTTATATTTATTGTTCCAGTTGTTCAGCTGAATTGTATCATTTTGTCTGGATTTTCTACTACTTGTTGAAAAGGAAGCCTTTTCCAAATTGCACTTGATAAATATTCCTAAATTATGAATTAATATCTATTGTAACTATTAATCATGTGACACCACAATAATGGCATGCTCAAATATATTTTAGCATAATCGTACTGCATTAGATTAGAGTTTTAAAAATAAAATAGTAACTCAACATCACTCTACTGTCAATCATCTACTTCTTAATGACAAGAAACAGGAAATGGGCAGCGGCGGAGCTAGATGGGGGGCCAGGTGTGGCCATGGCCTCCATATATAAAGAGTAGTGTTGCGCCGATGCCATTTTTTGGCCCCGATACCTGGCTGTGCAGTATCGGCCGATACCGATACCATAATAATGTAAAACAATTGCCATCATGGCTTTGTCAAGCTGCTGCCTACCTTTGTGAAGCAGGAAAAAAATCTAATACAAAGTGAATCCAGTAGAACTTTTTATTGCCTACCAGGAATGGGTGACAATAGTTGAATAAACTTTTGGCTCTCAAAATTGTATCGGTGCCCTATTTGTTGGTACTCGCCGATACCGATACCACCATTTTAGGGCAGTATCGGGGCCCCGTCCGATACTGGTATCGGTATCGGTGCAACACTAATAAAGAGTAGACCCCGCATTGATGGTCGCGGCGCAGGAATTATGGCGGCCATCTTACTAAATATATACAGGTGCTGGTCATAAAATTAGAATATCATGAAAAAGTAGATTGATTTCAGTAATTCCATTTAAAAAGTGAAACTTGTATATTATATTCATACATTACATACAAACTCATATATTTCAGATGTTTATTTTGGTTAATTTTGATGATTACAAATGACAACAAATGAAAATCTCAAATTCATCATATCAGAAAATTAGAATATTGTGAAAAGTTTCAAAATTGATGGCCCCTGGTGCCACACTCTAACCAGCTAATTAACTCAAACCACCTGCAAAAGCCTTTAAATGGTCTTTCAGTCTAGTTCTATAGGCTACACAATCATGGGGAAGACTGCTGACTTGACAGTTGTCCAAAAGACGACCATCGACACCTTGCACAAGGAGGGCAAGACACAAAAGGTCATCGCTAAAGAGCCTGGCTGTTCACAGAGCTCAGTGTCCAAGCACATTAATAGAGAGGCGAAGGGAAGGAAAAGATGTGGTCGAAAAAAGTGTACAAGCAAGAGAGATAACCGCACCCTGGAGAGGATTGTGAAACAAAACCCCTTCAAAAATGTGGGGGAGATTCACAAAGAGTGGACTGCAGCTGGAGTGAGTGCTTCAAGAACCACCACACACAGACGTATGAAAGACATGGGTTTCTGCTGTCGCATTCCTTGTGTCAAGCCACTCTTGAACCACAGACAGCGTCAGAAGCGTCTTGCCTGGGCTAAAGAGAAACAGGACTGGACTGCTGGTGAGTGGTCCAAAGTCATGTTCTCTGATGAAAGTAAATTTTGCAGTTCCTTTGGAAATCAAGGTCCCAGAGTCTGGAGGAAAAGAAGAGAGGCACTTCATCCACGTTGCTTGAAGTCCAGTGTAAAGTTTCCACAGTCAGTGATGGTTTGGGGTGCCATGTCATCTGCTGGTGTTGGTCCATTGTGTTTTCTGAGGTCCAGGGTCAACGCAGCCACATACCAGGAAGTTTTAGAGCACTTCATGCTTCCTGCAGCTGACCAACTTTTTGGAGATGCAGATTTCATTTTCCAACAGGACTTGGCACCTGCACACAGTGCCAAAGCTACCAGTACCTGGTTGAAGGACCATGGTATCCCTGTTCTTAATTGGCCAGCAAACTCTCCTGACCTTAACCCCATAGAAAATCTATGGGGTATTGTGAAGAAGAAGATGCAATACACCAGACCCAACAATTCAGAAGAGCTAAAAGCCACTATTAGAGCAACCTGGGCTATCATAACACCTGAGCAGTGCCACAGACTGATCGACTCCATGCCACGCCGCATTGCTGCAGTAATACAGGCCAAAGAAGGCCCAACTAAATACTGAGTGCTGTACATGCTCATACTTTTCATGTTCATACTTTTCAGTTGGCCAACATTTCTATAAATCCTTTGTTTTTATTGGTCTTCAGTAATATTCTAATTTTCTGATATGATGAATTTGAGATTTTCATTTGTTGTCATTTGTAATCATCAAAATTAAACAAAATAAACATCTGAAATATATGAGTTTGTATGTAATGTATGAATATAATATACAAGTTTCACTTTTTAAATGGAATTACTGAAATCAATCTACTTTTTCATGATATTCTAATTTTATGACCAGCACCTGTATATACATGTGTGTGTATATGTTTGTATACAACTGTGTGTTTGTATATGGTAGTAAAAAAATTACTAACATTTATGAATGGCTGTTATTTGCAAGATACATACATCCTGTCTGAATATTTTATATTACTTTTAACCACACTAAGAATATTTAAATGGTATGATAGCTATAGTTTTAAAGTTTTCAGAAAAAAACAATGTGAGAATTAGTTCAACATTAAGCGAGTTATAGTTGACTAAAATTAATTCTGTGCCTGGTCAACACATTACACTGAGCAGAGCAGTCGACCGCCCCAAGATGGCGCCCCTAAATCTCGTCAGCCCCTAAGGCCGAGAGCAGCCGATGCGGGCTCTACTCTTTATATATGTCTATGATGGCCACTCTTAGCCAGCCATTGGCCATCCCTATTATTTTTCACTCTAATACAGACAGTGGCAGCAGTAATACTCTAAAGTGGAATATTCAAAACATTTAAAATTTCCATGTATTAAAAATTGACAACAAAAACACTGTGGTTAATTATGCACATTAAAATACTAACATCAAATATGATAAGTACAGAAGTCATGCTCTTTCCATAAATAGATTTTGTGTTATATGGGATAAAGAGAAAATAATGTGTCTCTGCAAGTCATCTAGGAGTCTTCAGAGAAATCATAGATAAATAACTATTTTAATAAAAAAATTATAAAATTATTAATTTATGTAGATGTTCATACTTGTAAAAGTCAATTATATCAAGAATGATTGTTGATAAAAGTAGGTAAGTAAAGACAATGGAAAAGATGTTCGCCCCAGAGCTCAAAACCTGAAAGGATTTTATTCACTATACCTTTTATCTAGACAGATGTTTAAATATAAGCATCTATTTCTTAGCAAAGGCTGTAGGAAAGTATAGTTTGTCTTTAATTAGAAAATATGGATGTTTTGCTTGTTACTTTTCCTGTTGGAAGAGTGTAGATTGACCCTGAGGTTTTGGTGCCCTCAGTGGTTATTGCCTGGCCACCCTAATAAACCTTTTCTGACTACGCCTCTGGAAATGGGTCATCTTGTTACCACTGTGGTATATTGTTGCAAAATACAGAGATAATAATGTGAATTGAATGAATGTCAACTGCTGTTGAATGTATATGTTTTGCAACACCTGTAGACTAAAGTTGCGTAAGCTGGGAAGCTGGGTTATCAGCGCTAATGTTAGCATGCTAGCCTTCCGGGGTTCTGCTTCTGAGCAAAACTAACGGCAGGATGCGAGACAGGACAGGGGGGGTGTTTTACCCCACGGCTATGATGGGTAGATATCAATGGGAAGGCTTTAGACGATACTTTAAAATCAACAGAGGTTCCGTTACCTGACTCTACAAATGTCGCCCTTTCTGCAACTACTAAACAAGTCGTACACATCCATGGACGCCTCGGTGTTCTCGGTCCTCTGTAAGTCATTGAGACGGCCTGTCTGCCGGCAGGAGGCTGTGGGTTAGCTGGGGCCGCAGGTGGAGCACGAAGGTCAAGAGAAAGTTAGCAGCGTCTTGATACGTTTGTAGCAGCGTCTTGATACGTTTGTTGACAAAACCACCGCAGCCGTCTGTTGTGTTTTGGTCCGATATGTCCAGTCACGTGATCACCGCGGTTACTTCAATTGACGCACAGAAATGTAGGAAATTGAATACCCGAGACAACAACAAATACAGGCTAAGCTGTTCCAATTTAAAAATATATACATTCAAAGTTTTCTCTCCCACTCGCTCTCTATCTCTATGTCTATCTCTATCTTTCTAATAACTGTAAAAGTACAATTATAACTGTGAAAGGGGGATTCTCGAGCCAGCTACTATAGCCTGAATGCAGCATATGGAAAATACATGTCTCGAAAAGACGCAAAAAACTGGTCTAAAACAACGAGTATTGTCCTTTTTAAATGAAATTGCATTGAGGAAAAAAGGTAAGCATTTTTACAACATTATCAATTAGCATTTTAAAAGAAGTTTGTACTGGTGTTCCTTATCCGTGAGAAGTGATATACATTTGGGTAGATATGAGTTCAGCATAGTTGTATCCAAAAACAAAAAAAAAATTTTAATTAAATTTTTGTTAAAGAATATGTCCAAAATATTTCATGCTGATTGCAAATTATGAAAGTCTGTTGGAAAATTAAAGGTTTTACAACAATACAACAATACAAATTCTCTACATTGATCTGAATTACATCTTTGTAAGGCTTAGGTCAAATCTAAATATCCAGTGGCCACAGTACAAAATAATAAAAAAAAAAATACGTTTAAGACCAAGGATAATCTTACCCCTACAGGGTGTGGTAAGGGAGTCAAGTTTAGTTTAGTTTATTAGTTTATTATAAAAGGGACACTTCCACTGACAGGATTGTACAGAATCTAAAAAAATAATCCAAAGATTGCACAGATAGACACTAGGTGGTGCTAGAGCACCTGCCCTTTTCATCTCTGGACAGAAAAAGTGCCCACCTGAAATCTTTTTGTTTTTCGTCTTTTGCCCAAAATACATTTTATTAATTTAAAGCTTACAGGTAACCGAACAAGTGTATTTACCTTCATTCACCAACCGGTTAGTTTATAGCATAACATCTTTAATGGTCTCTACCAGGCGGCAAGGAAGGGTTTAAAATCCAAGTAATGTAAAGCATCTCACTGATGAAATTATTGATTTGCTGTTTTTACGGCAAATCTAAAAACACATGAGACAAATAGACATCTATTTGACTCATGTCTTTTTATGACAACTACACAGCAAATGCTACCTTTTGTCTGTTAAACGTTTCATACGAAGCAAATATAAGGCCAAATTTACACAATTTGAAAAAAAGAACTTTAATTAAGAGTTTGGAACTGTAAAATTTGTTCATGACATATCATGCCCTTGAGATAAGATAATAGAGTTGTTTTTCATATTTGAAATGTAAATCTGGTGGGCTGCTCAGTGGGTAGCACTGCTGCCTTGCAGCAAGAAGGTTCTGGGTTCAATTCCTGACCTGGGGTCTTTCTGCATGGAGTTTGCATGTTCTCCCTGAGCATGCACGGGTGCTCTGGCTTCCTTCCACAGTCATGTTATTGGACTTTTAGGTTCATTGGCTTCTCTAAATTGTCCTTAGGTGTGAGTGTGTGCATGAATTGTTGTTTGTCGTATTTGTCTCTGTGTTACCCTGTTGACCTGTCCAGGGTGTAATCCACCTCTCACCCGTAGAAAGTTGGCGATAGGCAACCCTGCTTGGGATAAGCGTGACGGAAAATTGATAGGAATGGATGGATAAATGTCGATCTTTGTTCATCTGTAAATTGTGATATATATATAGAAGCACTCAAATCAAGAGAAAATAAACTCAAAGATATTCTGGAATCATGGGCTTTGCATTCGACTTCTCTATTTCTATGTATATTGAAAAACTGCCTGACGAACTTTGAGCAAGTGACATATTTATGGAAGATATTTATGACTGCAAGAATAAGGCAATTATGACCAAGGCCACCCACCCTGAGGGTCTTAGTTAATCATATAAACTCGATACATGGGATGGAGATTTTTCACTACGTTTCCAGAAGAAGAAAGACTGTTGAAGAAATTAGATCATCACATATTTAAAGACTTATGATAGCAAATACATATAAACTAAAAGCAAATGTGTTGCACAGCCTATCTGTTCCCTGCAGCTGTTAATTCAGAGTGGTAAGTTCATGTAAATCATCTTTCTTCCTTTCTATCTTTTTTGTGCCCTGGCCTTCAATTGTGTTCTTCTTTCCCATAATTAAAAAATAAAGTGAAAAAAAATCTCGATCTAATCTATTCAGCATTTCTACCTATGGACTGCGGAAGACCATTTAACATCAGCATCAGGCGGTGTTTGGCTGCTCCATGCGATATTTAAGGTGCCCTTTTTTCACCCTGAGCACCTGCCCCCAAAAATTTCTGTGGACGCCACTGCCAGATCACCATGATAAATGTGGGTAATGCCAGCAGCAACATTTCTAAATGACATAAAGTTTATAATGATATGGTCATGCATGAAATAGATGTTACATTTTTATATTTTAAATCACACCAAAATATATAGAGCTAAAGAGTTGAAGAAATTATTTCACAAAATTATGCTAGGCAGAGTCCTCTCAGCCTCAGAGATTTGGAGCTCATCACCAAAGATAAATAGGCAATTATATACAGTAAGTCAAGGCACACATAAAGCTGATCAGCAATTATAAGAAACATGTAGTCATGGAAAATAAGTATTTTTCTTTTTATTATTGTAACACATAATTTTGGCACATTACATATTTTGTTAAACATAAGTTTAAAATATGAAATACCTTGTGTTTATTTTTGTCTCTTTGGAGAGGCTTGTGTCATTTGCGATAAAAAAAGAAAAAGAAAAAAAAAAGCTTTTTGGTTTATTACAAATGCATTCAACTCCAAATTTGCCAGAGGTCAGGAAAAGTTTGAGAATGACATGGTTTAATCGACTTTATTTCAAATATACCCTGAAAAGCACAGCCCTGAAGCCAGGTTAACATTGTTTATAAAGCACTGCAAACAGGAAGTACTGACAATAGAAGAGAACGTCAATGAGACAATTAAACAGATCAAAACACATAAAAAAGGCCATTTAAAATTATCTGCTAAAAGCTTTTTGAAATATAGACAAAATTAAGTTGTGTTTTAAATTGGACATTGTGTCGGCATCTGTCATTTAGAACACACAAATAACAAGAAACTTCTTCTTGCAAACTCTACATTGGTGACCCCAACATTTGAACTATTTCAGAATAGTAAACTTTGTCTGGTGATGCGGTGACAGCGACAGCTATGAGACATAAAACGTGATATTTTTTAATCTTCTGGTTACTTCTTTCATTAACTGGAGGCAAGAATCTTTTTTAAATATGTGATCTGAAGCTGAAGCTTTTCTCTCTCCAGCAAGAGGGTGTCTCTCTGCAGGGTCATCACTTCCTCCTGCAAACTCCCTAAACAGCAAGATGAGGTGGAAACAAAAACAATTAAATAAATAATTTAGAAAATATCCTAATCACTGGGGAAAAAAACAAAACAAAAAAACCCACTTTATTTTCAAATGTTTCAGAATGCACTGACATTCTGCTGTAAAAAAACAAATGAAAAGGAACCACAAAATGTGTGAGGCAATTAAATTGGTTCCTGGAAAGGTTACACAGCAGGACTGGCAGCTTTCCAGCAGTTAAAAAGGATTGTGACACCATCCGTATTTGTTTCTTTTTAATTTCTTCATAACTGCCTGTATCTATAAACAGGCTGATTGAGAAATAGAACAATCTTCAGGGGAGAAGAAATCTATCCATCAGAACAAATAGATGGGCAGATAGGCATTTAGAACAATTTATTTTATCTGCTCAGTTTTTGTTTTCTTTAAAGGAAAAGTGTGGTCAGCAAGGAATAATCAATGGATCAGTATCTATACCTAAAACTGATACATTTGTGGTGATTTAATTAATTTCACATAAATCAGTAAAAAAAATAACTTTTGTTGCTATCACTGAGTCCGGGACCGGCCATTTTTTCCCAAATATAGTAAAACCTCACTCCTGACATCTTCCAGCAGTGACGTCACGTTGCAATAAGCCGAATTCCATTCTCCCTGCTTTACAAGCAAAATCAACAGGAACTACTGGACAGGCCTGCAATCAACAACAATTATTTAAGATTCACCAAATTCACGAGAGCCATAGTTAAACTGTCAATGCCCACGTGCATGGCAGTTAAGTGTTGTAACACGTCGGGTAAAGTGAACATTTTTTTTTGTTATTTAACATTTACGATCCTTGATCCTGCAAGGACGGGTTCATCGTTTGATTGCCAACTTGAAGAGGGAGGATTTGCCATCGAACTTCTGGCCAGAGAAACATTTTGAAGAAGAATGTTTTCACGATGACTTGGATAATAGCGCGTAGTGACAAACACCAGATAGAGCACTGAGACTTGCTCAACAGCCGATACTGCACCATAACGTCACAAACCTGTGGGTGGCAGTAGCATTCTTTGACAAACATGGATGTCTCCATTAAAACACATTCAAATGAAATTACTCCTAATTAAAAACACTTATCATTTTTTGAACAGTATGTAATAATTTCATATATAGAGTAATTTCAGAAGTTTGAATTCTGAATATGACTGGACTATTCCTTTAAAACTCATTCGTTTGCACAAAAAGATTTTGTGGCATTCCAGGGATAGGCAGTGACAATCAATTGCAAATGAAATATTTTAAAGGCATTTCTTATTGTAGCAGCGGCTACTAGTTTCCTTTTTCTTTAATTTCTGTGAAATTTGAACTGAGGTTCCAAAAAAGTTTCTTAAAAAAACAATCCACTGGACTTTGTTTCAAAGTTTGAAGACGTTTTGCTTCCCATCCAGGAAACTTTTTAAATTCTAAAGTGGACCAAAAACAAATTCTTGTTTTGGCTTAGAAAACATACAAATTGAGACTGACGAATGGGTCTGCCGCCTATGGATACAAACAGGCTGTGCTGCACATAACATTTTGTGCCACACAGTTTCCTCAGTAGTCAAGATTATTTCTTTTAATATTGTTCTGCTCCATATTTTTGTTTTAAGACATATGCAGAATTTAAAAAAACTATTCATTAAAGTCACTTTGGATTAGTATTGTACAGCTTCAGTGTGCTCAGGCCAGTGTCACGTGTCCCTGCTCTAATGAACCAAATGAAATGGTTTGTAACATTCGTCACATCATATCTACCCTAAAACAGACACCACAGGCTTAGACAATCACACTGCAATGACCTACATCAGTTGCTAAACCCTTCAAAGCAACAATGCTTGACATCTTAAACCATACGCTTTAAAAAAGAAAGGTATGAACAGGATTAAAACTTTGAATTCCAAGGTAAAAAACACTCCTACATTCCATGCATATTTGAAATACAGCCTCACCCTTAAGCACAACTGTAGGTGTTCAAAGGAAGCAAACACCAAGTAAACATTCAGTCCACCTCAAACAGATTCCTTTACACCTAACAATTGGAGTAAATCACATTCTAACTCTTACCTGCGGCAGCTTTGCTTAATGATGAGTTTATGGTTTTTGGGGTTTTAGATGCCATCCAGAAAGGTGTCGCACTGATTAATTCCACCTCGACTGGGTAGTGATCACTGATCCAGAGGGCCTGTTGTATGGAATAAGCACTAAGTTAGTAAATTATGGAAAACTCTGATGTAACCATAGAATGATATCTCACCATTTTTTCTGTCAAATCAAACTCTTTCAGAAAATTGAATGGCTTGGCAGAGTTTGGCACTATGGTTGCTAGCAGGTTGTCTCCATATGCAAGAATCCTGTGCAAGAAAAAGTAATTTTGGGTATTTTATATACTGCGATGGACTGGCGGACTGTCCAGGGTGGACCCTGCCCTCACCCATTGACTACTGGGCCCCCCTTTCTGGATGCCCCACCCACTCTCCCCGCAACCCCATGAGGGAATAAGTGGTTACAATAATGGATGGATGGATGGATGGATGGATGGATGGATGGATGGATGGATGGATGGATGGATGGATGGATGGATGGATGGATGGATGGATGGATGGATTTTATATAGAAAAGTTCAGTGTTAGTCATAAGCTATGTGGAAAAAAATAAATAAATGTACCTGTCGTAAGTGTGATCGTTTGTTGTTGCTGCAGTTGTGTCCACATCATCAGCAATCAGCCAGTGGAAATTCGGGTCACTGCGAATTCGTAAATTTTTCATTTGTTCGGCAGTAACATAAGCACCATCTGCTCTGAAGTCACCCAGGATCATCACGTTCTAGAAAAAAAATACATTTAATGCAGTATCATGTGAAATTACCCTCTGAGCCTTTTCACATTTCAGCACACTACAGCAATTATTAGTGCGCTTTAATGTTCTGTTCTTGGTAGACCAATACAATATAAAAACATATTATTAAAGTGGATTAAAAGCCAAAGCATGTGGAGTTAAGTTGAATTTTACCCCATTTGCTTTGATTTCTTGCCAAAGACCAGGCAAATCTCTTTACGAAGTTTGCCTAGACAATACCATTATACAAATGTAATCTTTCCCTTTCCATTCTAGATTTGCAGTTGTTTATCATGAATACGGTCATGGTGGAAGGGAAACATCTATCCCATCTTAAAATTTTTTACGGCTACTTTTTTGTTTCTTGTTCCGCTGCGTGCATGCTTGGTGTGAACGATTGCTGAAAAGTCAACAGCATAATGCAATTAAATGCCCGCTGTCACTACATGCTCATCCAGGAACAGTGAATGGGGGATTGTATTTGAGTCAATGAGTCAATGCAATCAACTGGTTTTCCTTAGATAGAAAACTTTGTATCAATTTGACTGTATGATCTGGTTGAACTGTAAAGTGCCTTGAGATGACATGTGTTGTGAATTTGGCGCTATATAAATAAACTGAATTGAATTGAATTGAATTCTGCAAAGTCAGTGTCCGATGACATCAGCTGATATTTTTACAAAGAAAACTGTTAGCCAGTGTTATTATATAGCGCCAGTTCACAATACATGTCATCTCAAGGCACTTTACAGAAACAATACAGTCAGATTGATCAAAGGTTTCTGTGAAGGAAAACCAGTTGATCGCATCGAGTCATTGACTCTCAAGACATGTTCCTCCTGGATGAGCTTGCGGCAACGATTTTTGCTTGCATTTTGTTGTTGACTCCTAGGCAATTCCTGTGAAATGAATTAAGCATTGCTTTAATAACACATTGTAGAGACACGGTTTTTAATGGGTTATTTTGCCATAAATCTAGTAATACATTGGAAAAATAAAAGAAAGTATTTATTGAAGAAAGTATTGCCTTTAAGTGTTTTTTGGAGAGGAAAATTCTTCCATCTGTTTCCCTGACCTGCTAATTAAGTTGCTCTAAATTTTATTTAAGGGTATCAGTGTCACGATTGGTTGTGGTTTAAAGGACCCAAATGCAGAGGCAGGGAGGCTGAGGTGATTTCTTGTAGTTTTAATGATGAACAGTTTACAAAGGGAGGAATCCAATTAAAACTGTAACACAGACCACAACCATGGAGACATCAGGGGAAAACATGCACAAGAAGCCAGGGAGAGACGAGGTGAGCAGAGAACAGCGACGACAAGGAGTGACTGCAGAGGGAGAGTATATGAAGCTGACTGAGACAATGGCAAGGCTAACGAGCTGACAAGGAGCAGGTGTGAGGAGACAACGAGGGAGCCAAGGGGAAAGGGACACACACAAAAGGGCAACAAAGGAATACAGAAAAACCTGAGAACTAACATAAATCTAGAAACTACAACAGAATATGAATTAAACCATTAAACCTAGGACACATGGAGCAAAGTTAAGCACAACATAACCAAAACCATGACAATCAGAATAAAGAAAGCTGATTTTAAAATCACACAACACTATTCTGATTAGTGTTCAAAAACTTTAGAAAAAATCCTCCTTTTCTTTCAGTTTCAGAGCTTTTTGATACTTGTTCTATTACATTTCAAATGTAAACATAAACAACTTGAAATAGTACTAATAGTTTCAAAAGGCACTTCCAGTCTTATGTGAAGTATTTTTCTAACTTCCAATTACATTTTGATAGGATTTAGTTTGTTCTGACCTCTGTGATGTGGCTGTTTTGTGGGAAACAAACTTATGCTGATCTTACATCTGTTTTCCATTTGTCTCTGGCGGCCTGGAAGACCTCATACAGCTCGTCCAGCTCTTTCTCTGAGCCCCGTGTCGTGGCACGAACTGGAATCAGCACCAGATCCTTCAGCACTACAACAAAATCCCATCATCCATCAAACTATGTGTGTGACAGCATGGACCTGAAAAACCTGCTGCTTCTTGCTTTTATTGACACACCAAAACAAATCTTTCTCATTCACAGAAGGACAAAACAAACACATTCATGCAGAGATGACTCAAAAAAACAGCAGACAAGACTCCAAGCACCTTAAAACAACAAAAAAACGAACACACAATGCTAACTGATGAGCTGCAGAAACTGACCTGTGTTGTGAGGTTTGAAGTAGAGAATGTAAGGCTCCCTTTCAAACACATCCACATCATTCACCTGATTGTCTTCATATTGATAGGAGTCAATCAGATCAACTACATCATCCCTACAGGTTGAATTGCAGTGTTTTATTTAATCCCCTGATTAAATGATTGGTGATGGTACAATTACAGTGTCATTGAGATTTACCTGTAAAGAAACATAAACTGCTCCTTATATCTGCTTCTTCCAAGGCGAGTACTGATCTGCATGGCATAGTGGTGGGATGTGTTCACCCTGAGATACCGTCAAAGGAAGGCACATTATTGTTCTACTTTAACAGGCAGGATCACCTTTGAGATTGGCTTAGTGCAAACATAAAAACATCAAGTCACCTGTTAAGTTCTGTCAGGAACATCTGGATGGAGGCCCCGCTTACATCCACCACCTCCAGAATAACTATAATGTCGTATCTAGACACAATCTAAACATAAGGCAAAGGTTTCAGCTGTGATGTAGAAACCATGATGGAATGAAAGAGGTGTGACTGATTTTTGAAAGTGACCGTTTTTATCTCTTTCTATGAAGTATTTCATGGAGAACTGAATGTAGCCAATCATTTTTATTTTCAGATTTAAAACCATTCTTGGCTGCTTTCCAAAAATACATCATTGAGAAAATGAAAGCTTTCAGCAGACTTTTGTGGTTATAATTAATAGGGTTATGTAAGATGTTTTTACTGCATGACAGAAAACTGTTAAAACCAGCCAAATTTTGAATTACCAAGAACCATTGATCACAGTAAAGAATGTTTTACCTTTATAAGAGTTGAAAGGACATCTGGGTCTGAGAGTTTGGTTATACCGAACCTCTGTGCGTTGAATGAAGCAATCTTCATATCTGATAAAAAAACGGAAAATAATTTACTAAAACATTTCCTAAAGCGACCCTTTCTGAGCACTGACTCCTCAACTTGAAGTACCTCTGGTAATGTGTCAGCATATGCAGATGGATTCCCTTCAGCAGCAAGCACATCTGTTCTTTCGAATAAAACTGAACCAGGTCCTGTGAGAAACATATATCTCTGTATTTTTCCAGGGCAGATATATGATTGGTTAATCAAGATCACAAGTACAACAGGGATACTTTACAAATGAGAGCTAATCCATTTTGACAGCAAGTGGACGGACAGGTTCTTTTGTTTGCAGTTGAAAATGACTGTGATTGGTTAAAGTCGATGCCACTGTCCAAATAGGCAAGGATAGAAAAATAAAGAAATGAAAACTCCTTCCTTTTTAAGGTTTTTATTATTGTTATTTATGCATGGTGGGGTTTCAGGGGTAGAGGTATTTTTAAATACATATAGAGTTTAAGAAGCAAGCGAAGCAAAATAACTAATACGTTAGAAAATTGACCCTAGGATGCTCGATCTGTCTTTGTGGTTGAAAAATGATGCGGAATTATAACCCAACCACTAACATGTTTCATGGTCAGATTGTGTATGTTCCAAAGCAGAAACTTCCAAAACTTTTGTGTTTACATTGGTGGTCATTTTTACGCTTGTTTAACATAGAGCACCCAGGCGCAGCAGCACACAGTTGGATTGGGTATTCTGGAGGCAACAGCTGTGCAAGCATATAGAGAAAAGGTACCCCACCATGTGGAGCCATATGCCCCACAAATACATGTATTCTTTGTGCCACTAAGAAAGAAGCACAGGATAAAAAACACAGGGCTCTGCGCCCCCTTAACACATTTTTTTAATTTTTTGAATTAGAGAGCTGGACTGGGGTGAATGATTTTAGGGGTTAAAGTTAGAGGAAACTAGACATTATTAGATGCATTTTTACATTTGTCTGTTGCATCTGAAAATTGGAAATAATTGATTTTAGTTTTTGATATTCAAATAATTCATATTCATATGAATCTTTTAAAACATTGAAGGGAATAAAATATTTTCCATTGGATATGTTCCGTGATGATTTTGCAGGATCTTTGAGTTGAACTAAATGTGTGACCTATTTCAAGCTCTGTATTTGTTTAAAAATCGGGGCAGGGTGAATGACTTCTTCCGATTTCGAACATTTCAGATAATAAAATATATTTTAAAGATTGAAGGGTAATACATTAATAGACAGGTTCTGCAAATTTAATACAAATGATTGATCAACCCTTAAATAAAACATCCAGGGCATTAAGGCGTGAGACAATCTCCTTCTTTGGAGATGAGAAAACAGAAAGGCCACCCTGGCCTGCAGAGTGTAAAGATGCATCTGTATTGAGTTATTTTTGTATTTAATTATTTCATTCAAGAAAAGAAAATGCAATCTGGAAGGGGAAAATAATTTTTTAAAGTGAAATGAATATATTGGGGAGAACACATTTTCAGTGAGAGTTCGACTCCGCCAGGGCTGCCCTTTGTCACCGATTCTGTTCATTACCTTCATGGACAGAATTTCTAGGCGCAGCCAAGGTGTCGAGGGATCCGTTTTGGTGGCCTTAGGATTGCGTCTCTGCTTTTTGCAGAGGATGTTGTCCTATTGGCTTCATCAGGTCGTGATCTGCAGCTCTCGCTGGATCGGTTCGCAGCCGAGTGTGAAACAGCCGGGATGGGAATCAGTGCCTCCAAATCCGAGGCCATGGTCTTGAGCCGGAAAAGGGTAGAGTGCCTTCTCCGGGTCAGGGGGGGTGTCCTGCCCCAAGTGGAGGAGTTTAAGTATCTCGGGATCTTGTTCACGAATGAGGGAAGAAGGGAGCGGGAGATCGACAGGCGAATTGGCGCAGCGTCTGCCATGAAGCGGGCGCTGTACCGGTCCGTCGTGGTGAAGAGAGAGCTGAGCCAAAAAGCGAAGCTCTCGATTTACCGGTCGATCTACATTCCTACCCTCATCTATGGTCATGAACTGTGGGTCATGACCGAAAGAACGAGATCGCAGATACAAGCAGCTGAAATGGGTTTCCTCCGTAGGGTGGCTGGGCTCTCCCTTAGAGATAGGGTGAGAAGCTCGGTCACCCGGGAGGGACTCGGAGTAGAGCCGCTGCTCCTCCACGTCGAGAGGAGCCAGTTGAGGTGGCTCGGGCATCTGGTTAGGATGCCTCCTGGACGCCTCCCTGGTGAGGTGTTCCAGGCATGTCCCACCGGGGGGAGGCCCCGGGGAAGACCCAGGACACGCTGGAGAGACTATGTTTCTCGGCTGGCCTGGGAACGTTTTGGGGTTCCTCCTGAAGAGCTGGAAGAAGTGGCTGGGGAGAGGGAAGTCTGGGCCTCCCTTCTTAAGCTGCTGCCCCTGTGACCCGACCCCGGATAAGCGGAGGAAGATGGATGGATGGATGGATGGATGGATGGATGGATGGATGGATGGATGGATGGATGGATGGATGGATGGATGGATGGATGGATGGATGGATGGATGGATGGATGGATGGATGGACATTTTCACAAAAATATTCATAACTGATGTTATTTTATACTGAAGAAAAAGTTTTATGGGCAGGCCTGTGCTCCTACTGACCAGTTTCAACAGAATTGACAGTTGATTGGTGATACTAGGTGAGATGAGCAGCATCTCGCTTTGAATGTTGAGGAGAGTTTATGGCTGTGCAGGGGCAGTGGGCAGGGTGCTGATGGGCGGGGTTAAAAGTCTGCTGTGAAGCCAAGCTGTCTGCAACTAAACAAGATGGCTGGCACCGTGTTACATAATAAGTTGCGTAACACATCTCGTACAGTTGCAGACAGCTCTTTTCAGCTTCACATCAGACTTTTAATCACACCCATCAGCAGAGCGCCTTCCAGGTGAAGCGCAGTTCATCTTGAACACACCTGCTGGTGGAGCGAGACTCTGGGCAAGTGGAAGCTTAACCACCTTTATACCTAATATCACCACATGTTGCATAAATATAAATCAACATAGTGTACTGCAAAAGCTAAATTAAAAAAAGTCTGAGCAATGGTTCATCTGGAGTGTGCTGTATATAAGCAGGCTTTTAGAGACACTTTATAAATAGTGGGACTTTCAAAATAACGCTGATGCAGATGGATATAGGTCCATGTTTTTTTTCCTCAAACTCAAGACCAAAGTGACTGTCTGGATCCACAGTGAAAGTGGAAATAGTATATGCACTTTTAATATCCATTAAATACAATAACCACAGATAAAATTACACTATATCTGGCCTTTTCCAATGAAAGTCTAATACACATGTTGATTAATATGCACTATCCCATCATGAAATAAAGAAAAAAATAAGTAATGATTAAAATGTCAAAAACAGAGAATAACTGCTGGGCACAACTGCAACAAGTGGCTGAACTTAGTGCATCCCAGTGCAGAAGACAGCTCTACACAATAGGAGGCTGTATCCTCGTGTTGAGGTCTGATAATGCTCAGTTTTTTCCATTATCCTTGGATCCAGCCAAAAGACTTTTCAGACATCACCAAGTTTGTGGTGGAAATTATATTAAGCACTGTTACGTTAACAATATCTCAGTCAGTTTTGTTAAGGTGTCTTAAAGGTAAGAGCAAAGACTGTCACACAGAGCATAAGAGTGTGACCTACAGAGTTAATTCATGTCTTTTATATCCCAGAACAGGAGAAGTTAGGAATATCTTAAGGCAAAACTGTGAGAATTGGCTACTCTGCAAGTTGCAGTGAGAACTGACTTCTCTTCACCCATCTCTTGTAGATGTCCACAAGCAGGGCAAAGCAAGAAAACCAGTTCTACAGAGTCCATAACTAAAATGAGATACAGCAAACGCATCCATGAGACAATAGCAAAAAACTAGGGATGAAACAATTAATCAGATTACTCCTGATTAAATGATTATTAAAATAATCATCAACTAATTTAATAATCGATTCACCGCTAACTGGATTATAGACACTGTAAAAAAAATGCTTTTAGCTAACAGAGCAACCCACTTAGAGCTCTAATTATATCCACATTGTACAAAAAATATATTAACATTTTGGATAAAAAAATAATGTTTTCTTCTGTTAATATGCTCTATCCAGAACCCCTCAACTGAAAAAGTATTAGTTTCACCTGGTTTTATTTCGTAAAAAAAATTCTTGAAGACACCTTAGGCAAAAAATTATCGATAGATTACTCGATTTGCAAAACAATCGTTAGTTGCAGCCCTACAACAAAATAACATTTTTCATTTCAGGCAATGCTGTTTAAAACTGCAAAAGTCCTGCAAAGAGAGAATCAATTGTTGCACCTCATTCACAAATGCACCATACAGGCTTTCTTTCTACGGTAATTATCAGCTTTTGCGTAGCTGTCATTCCCAGAACATAATGATTACATTTAGCCACCACTGTGCATAAGCGGTAATTTACTCCAGTGACTCGCAGTGACGCTTTGCATATTTTGAAACCGCACATTATTTGCATTCCTCAACGCATACCACTAAGATCCTTCCTTTGATAAAGGTACCATGACCTGTAAAATTATTAAAACACACTAATTCCTCTTTTTACTGTTTTATCCAAACATTTAAATAAAATTAGTTATAAGTAGTGCAACATTTAAAATCAAAACATTATATAGTTTATTTGCATATTGAGATCTGAAAATTTGGAGGCATTTCTATTCAGTTAACCTGAGTCAGTTCCTTGCAGCACTATCCCTTGTTGCAAATACAATTAAAACTCGTTTGGGATATTCATAAACAAGCTTTGCATATCTATTTTTCCCCATTTCTAAATGCAAATTAGTGTGTCAACACTAAAATCTGTCTTTCCAGTTTCTCAGTTGGGTGTAAAAGCTAGCATGCTGAGACGGGAGAAGACTGCAATTTAAGCATAGTAGTTCTCGCTATAAGGTAAGAGGGGTGTTAGCTTGAGGATAAAATTCTGTCAAAGTTGAAGGTCTTTTATTCCACAGTTGTGTTTTATTTAGCTACATCAATTTACCATGTTTTAACCAGCCACCCTGTCCCCACTGAAAAAAACAATGTATATTCAAAGGTGTGTCCACTACCACATATCACTGGGGGAGGAATGATGTGTATTGTTTGTCTTCCTTCCTACTTGTAGGCAAACAGGGTTACTTTTGCCACCATTTGACCAGAACATCTTATTTCACGTTTGCTGCCAACACCCAGCATGTCTTGTGACAAACTGCAAAGCCTTCTCATGGCTTAAAAAAAAAATACTTTTCTGTTTGCTCTTCTTCTACTCCATGTTTGTAGAGTGCAAATATGTCAAGCTCTCCTTTTCAAGCTTGTCAGCTTAAAAGGAAATCAGTGCCTTGTTAAGTCTACAGATCTGTGAGATGCTTAAATATTGGGGTATAGTTTTGAACTTTTACTTTGTTGTCCATGATTTTATGAATGCTCTCTAAAGAACCTCAAGTCCTTCATGGAGTAGCTGGATTTATATTGAGATTAAATCACTGGCAGATGGGGCTTACTTACTCACTAGGCAGAACCTGAGAGCAATTGTGCTCACTGGGATTTATTCAGGGGTTTTGGTTAAACAAGCACAAAGTTATGCATGCCATCTTTTTTGATACTTTTATATGCTTAACATGTAAAACATTTACTTTTCATATTATAAATATACTAATATTTTTATTATATTATTGTGAGATCAATGGAGAAGTAAATTTCTACATTGATCTCACAATGGAGAAATTCATATCTGTATCTTAACCCATCCCCTTGGGGAGCAGCGAGCTGCCACTGTGCGTTGCCCAGGGAGAAGGGGGGGGTTAAGGGGCTTGCTCAGAGAGCAAGAGTGGAGGCTTTTGGGATCGAACCAGGTACTTGCAACTTTCTCAGAGCACAAGCGCACTGCTCTAAAACTAGGCCATCACCTCCCCATATGCATTATGTTATGACGTTCTACCAAATAAAATTAATTAGTGCTTTGAACTATACTGTGCTATATAAATAAACTTGACTTGCAATAAAATAGAAAAATATTAACTTTTGGTTTACTTTTGTGAGGACCCAGTTAAGATAAAATTTTTATTTAGTTTTCTTCATCAAATTGTCTTAACCTACCTGGCAGATTAAGCGCCTAACAAAAGAAAGAATCTACTTGTCACCCACTGTAAAGATTATACTTCATGGTACTCCCTTCTATGTGATTGAAATTATATAAATTGGTGTATAAAACAACAGAGAAAATATAAAGAATAGGAAGAAAGAAAAATACATTTTCTTTCTGTTAGTTTCTTCCTTCTGATGCAGGGGCTGTTTACTGTTGACGGAAAGAACAGCCAATGGTAACAAAAAAGTGGAGTCAATGTCCTTGATTCTCATTTGAATTTTGCTTTGTCTCTTAGACATTGCCTTCTGCCACATTTTTCTGTGTAGTTTGCATGGTTTTAAGCATGACTTGTCAAACTTATTTTCAAAAGAGCTTCCCTGCAGTTGCCGTTGTTGCTATACATTGTCGCTGAAACCGGAACAATTCATCTGAAGACATACCCCTCCACCTGAGACGGAGCAGTGCATAAGATCTGCTGCTAGAAGCTGCGGCTACATGCAAACGACCATAGCTAAACAGGAGGCATCCCGTGCTACCGTATAAAATAAAACGAACGGACTGGACTGAAGATGGCTCTGCAGAAAGTGGACTGTGCCGAAGGCCTTCACCTACTCCACCGAACCAAAACAGCAACTGCCTTCCTTAATTCCTTCCTTAGTTAGTTGGTTGCAGCAGATTGTGTAGGGGTGTTAGATAAAACATGCATTGGGCATTTTCAGGTCTTTAACTACTATTCTCTTTCTTAAGAAAATAAAAAAAAACATACATTTGTCATTTAAAGATATGAAAAAAGTATAAGGCCAGATCTTAGAATGCCTTTCAGGTTTGTTTGATTTTATCTAGGGTGGTGCCCAACTGCTTTAAATGGTTTTAATGCTTCACTTTTTCTTAAAGAAAACAGTAGGACAACAAACTGAAAGGCGTGTCAAAATTATGATCTGATTCTGCATATTTTATCCATTGATCCATAACAACTTTTGATGAAACAAAAAATAAAACATGTTCTTTTTTGGTTTCTAAAAAATCCTATAGTGATATTTAAACACTTGTTTTCAATGGATCTTAATATTCCTTTTTATGCAGATTACTGTTTACCACTTCTGTATCTTCAGTAGTTTACAAAAATTGTAAAATCTTTTTATCATAGCTTCTTCTCATAGTTTCTTATCTTTGTAAATCTTAGCACGCCCAGTTCTTTCATTCAAAATACACCTAGAATGGAAAGAGGATGCCAAAGACAGAGCTGCTTAACAAGATTAGATTCCAGAGAAACAATTGAAAGGAAACATATTTACAGCAGGGTAGGTGGGAGAAGGAAAAGAGGCAGATGTCTGACTGGTTAATCTGCATTCATATAACTTCACAACAGAAAACACACCCATCTCTTTGCCTTATAAAGTTGTGAAAACAGACAAACATGCAAAAGATAGCTCCAGCTTCACCTGAACTCACCACTATCTCCAAACGAAAGATCTACAGTCAACATGAGTCTAAGGATCAAGCAGAACAAAAGAAATGGCCGCTTTAGCTCCTCGGGAGGCTTCAGCAGCATGTCCACTGGATCCTATCCGATGCTCAAAGCCAGCACCACCAATAATGTGGTCTCCATTAAACCAGTCACCATAAACAAGAGCCTCCTTGATCCTGTGAAGATGGACATTGATCCAGCAATCCACACACTGCGAACCCAAGAGAAGGATCAGATCAAGGGCCTGAATAACCGCTTTGCATCATACATCCAACAGGTGAGGGTTTCCTGCAAAAATCATCCCTGATAAAAAGTAGCACTTCATAGATAATTTGGTTATTGAACAACTCAGAAAATCAAAATTTACTTTTCCATTAAAAACTTTTAAATAAACCGATTTAACAAATTTTTCAATAGTACAAACGAGATCTTCTAAAAATGTATAAACAGAAACTTCTAATCAAATTTATAATCATTACTTTTTACTGGTGTATGACCTCGACATGATAACGACCCTCATTTCTCTTAGAAACTCTTTCAACTGTCAAAGGTGATAGAACCCGTGCAAAAACCAGCAAGAAAGAACACCATTTTCAGTTTCCACTAATCGGTTATCAGCATAGAATAAGAGTCCCTGTTTGACAAGTCCATGGCGGTGATGTTTTTCCTGCTTCCAATTGAAAGTTCTGATACCGAAACCACTGAAATTCTTTTTTTCAAAAACAAAATGGTTTCATAATTCCAGAAGAGGGTTTTAAAAATCAGTATAGCAAGTTCTGTTCCTTAAAACACTCCCTAGAGTTGATTTAACAACAAAAAAATCTATTAAAAACCTCATTGGCCCAACTTAAAAATGTATTTTGCCCTAAGTGCTTGTGTTGCGCTCTGAGGACATGGAAAGCCAAGTTGTTCTTTAAAAAAAAAATAAACATAAAAAAGCCATTCAAGCATTTGCTTGCCCATATTTAAGGATGGATTCATCGCAACGCTTGAAACAAATTAAACTATTACAAACCAGACAGGAAAAAGATCCAAGCTCAGCTTGCCAGGTTGCACAGTTGGGAGGATGGAATAAATCAATAAAATTCTCCAAAGCTCAGAAGTATACATAGTTTTGGGTGTATAAGATTTGACCAATTAGGATTTCTGAACTATTAACTGATATTTTAAGGTCAAAGTGCAATATGGTTGATTGGATGGATCTACTTGGTGTTTCTGTTCAAGGTCCAACTGCTGGAGCAACAGAACAAAATGCTGGAAACCAAATGGCAGCTGCTCCAGAAACAGACTGCAACTTCCACTGATACTGACGCCATGTTCAAAAGCAACATTGCCAATCTGCAGAAACAGCTGGATCTCATTCTGAACCAGAGACACCTAATGGAAATGGAGAAGAATGCATTTATTGATCAAACAAAAAGTTACCAATCAAAGTCAGAGTTCATTTTCTGGGATATTCATGACTTGGTGCACATAAATAACATCTTCATTAGTAACATACTTGTTATTATTTCAGGTATGAAGAAGAGATCAGCAAAAGGGGTGATGCAGAGAGCCTCTTTGTTATGACAAAAAGGGTAAAGACCATGCACAAGGAAAACATTTGCTCTAACACCATAATAATAATTATCATAATTTAATGAATTCCAGACATTTGAAGAAATTCACCCATATGTTGAAAATACATTAAAAAGTGTTGTTTTGTGTTTTTTAGGATGTGGATGCAGCATACATGAACAAGACGGAATTGGAAAACAAAGTGTCTGCTCTTTATGACGAGCTAAACTTCCTCAGAGCTGTCCATGAGGCTGTGTGTAACCCCACTTTTTCATAAATCAATTCATAGGCATGTGTTATATTTTAGATTTTGAGTTTTACTCTAATTTTGACCTATATTTTGCTTATTTTTTAATAAAAGGAGCTGAGAGAGCTGCAGGGCAGTGTGAAGGAAACCTCTGTGGTGGTAGAAATGGATAACTCTCGCGACCTGAACATGGATCAAATTATATCCGAGGTTAAGGCGCAGTATGAGGAAGTCGCTGCCCGCAGTCGAGAAGAAGCAGAAAACTGGTACAAGACAAAGGTGAGCAAAAGATTGTATTTCCTCTATGTGATATCTAAGAAACATCTCAGACATTAGATAAAGATAAGGTCTACAGTAACATGAGTAAATGTATTTATTTGAGAATATATCCTAAGATAGGACAGATGTCCTCCACAATTAGTGGCAGCCCTTACAAGCTCTTTAGAATAAAGCATTTTTATGCATTGTTTACTTTGTTTGGTTAATCATATTATTTGGCATGTCATTGATATTGCATTGTAGTTTATTTCCCTGTGGTTACAAATATGCAGATTGTTATTACTTATTCCTCAAAATGGAACAGATGAAACAACATACCATTCAAATAAGGTGGGATTTTTTTAATTCTTGTCTAAACTTCCCCACATCTCCTTTCAGAGCAATAAGTTAGATTAATATCTTGAATTGTGACAACTTAAAACCTGGTGATGAAAAAGGTGATCCTTTTGTTCTGCCATCTAGTGATATATGCAAGGGAAACCTAGAAAGAGAGACACAGAGGGCCCAGAATGTTTTTACTGTTCCTATATGTAGTCATTGCATTTTGTTGTTTTAAGAGTAAAAATAAAAGCTCCAGAACTGGTTTCGTAAAACCTACTCGTTTTTTTTTTTATTTCCCCCCCCCCCACATTAATAGGTTGTGATAATTATTACTTACTCTTCTTCAATCTCCAACCAACCAGTTTGACGTGATGGCAGCAGAGGCTAACCAGTATGACGCTGAGCTGATTTCCACCAAGGGCGAAATAGCTGAGTTGCAACGGATGATCAGTCGCCTTAAGAATGAGATTGATGTGGTAACAGCACAGGTGAGCTGGAGAATTGCTCTTGATGTTAAATGAAAGGTGACAACTTATTTGAGAAAACAAAAACAAAACTCCTTCAGTCCTTCAGAGCTGTCAGCTCAACACGACAATAAAAACACACACAACCTGAATTTCATTTTCACCTTGAAGAGCTGGTTGTTGTTAACTGCAGATGAAAACAGCTAACATTAAAATATAAGCCGGATAACATTTTGAAGGATCTTGTTGGAAATGTTCTACCCTCATCACATCTTGCATCCCAATAATTTTTCTAACAAAGTATGAAAACGCAAGTTTATAAGAGTTTTTACTTTTTTCCAGCGTGCCACAATTGAGCTCAAAATTTCTGAGATGGAAGAACGTGGACAAGAAACTGTGGCTGATGCCAAAGACCGTATCAGGGAGTTGGAGCAAGCTTTGACGGATACCAAACACGCTATGGCTAAACAGATCAGGAATTACCAGGAACTGATGAATACCAAGTTGGCCCTGGACATTGAAATTTCCACATATAGGAAACTGGTGGAAGGAGAGGAGGACAGGTAAAAGCTGCTACATATATCTTCATTTATACTCTGAAAGCGGTCATAGAATGCAAAACAGAGTTTACCTTGTCATAGATGAATAATGATAGTTCAGTGGGTGAAATGGACATACAGAGAAGTTCAAACCACATCGACACCTCCTTTCTCTGCAAATCTCACAATTCTAAACTTCTACCAGAAAACGGGAGAATCCGAACAAAGACCTGAATTGACGTAAACTCTGGGATGTTGCCTTATTTGGTTCTGGCCTGTACTTTTGTTACGCTCCGAAATTTACTTACAGACCAGCCCACTGGTTCACTGGCCCAAGAACATGAATAGAGGTAGATGTAAGACACTAGTTTAGCTTCTTAGCCTACAGCTGAATTACCTTCTACAAGAATTACAAAGCAGGCAGTTTCTCTATTGAAAGTGAGCCAGGACCAGGGGCGTAAATGCAGTGTTCCAGGCTGCAAGGAGGAAGAGGACATTTTTCGCAGTTTTCCCACCACTTACTGGTGGTGAGTCTGACATAGTGGAAAAAATGCAAACCTTCTTTTGGACAGTAGGCTAGTAAGAGCGATGCAAACAGCAACGTTTAAACAGAGCGTGCACGAGGAGAAATGGGCTTGTGCATGCTCTCGCACGCATTTAATTGGCATTCCCTCTCAGTGGGTAGAGGGTTGTGCATGTGTTTTTTTCTAAGTGAAGAGGGCGGGTCCTTTCCAACATTCAGGAAAGTTCTCCATTATACCTTCAAGTATTTCTAATAAATCAATGCTGCTCCCTCGTGGCCAAAAAGTAGAGTGCGTCGGCTTGTTACGTAGCAAATTTGTGAAATGCTACCAAGAATACAAAATGTAAAGGTTATTGTTAAAATAATATTAACAATTTAAAATGTATTAGTGTATTAACAAATATGGGAAATCTGTGTTTGGAAATTATTTTAAATTGGTTCTAAGATATCTCAACCGTTGGGATTTCTATGTTGTTTAATAAAGAGACATAACTTTGTGTTCTAGAGCATATGTTCAACAGGTTGTCCATGACCGCTAGGGTGTCCACAGAAGTACTGCATGGGGGTCGCGAAACTTTTGGTTGTTTAGACATTTTTTTATATTTCCCCTGCAATTCTTTCCACTAATTGATATGTCTTCAAATACACATTAAAATGAATTCAACACACTGTAGTAAACAGATAAATGGAGGTAGAAGATGTCTTTCAGTCATCAATGCACATTCAGTGACACACAGGAGCTCTTTCAAGCTGGGCACCGTTTCATTCACAACACCTGTCCCTTTAACCAGGAATCAGAAATACTTGAATAATCCCAGGGCGAAATTACTTTCGTTACATTACTCCATATGCAATAGAGTGACTATAGGACCAGTTTGATATATCACAATTTCATACAATATATATAATTAGGGGGTCCCCCGATACATCTGGCCATCAATTTGGGGGTCCTTGGCCTGTAAAACATAAACGATCTTAGAGCAGGTTCATGTCAGAGTTTTGTTTTGTTTTTTTATTTAGTGCGAATCCTAATTATGGCCATTAACGTTCAGAACTTATCTTTCCTTTTTTTTTTTTACTGCCAGAATTGGACAAAAGACTGTCTTCAACGTCCGCTCTGCACCAATCAAAACTGTGAATCCAGCACCAAGCGAACGTAAGTATGCAACGCATGTAGTGTGCTTTACTGTACTTTTCTATCTCTTTAGCTTTTTCTTTTTGTCCCTTACCTGATAACCTTAGTTTCATTAAAATAAAGCAAACAGAAAAAAAAGAATCAGTCACAAGCTGGGGAATTTTCTGAATGTTTCTGAATTATTCTCCTTCTGACAGCAAACCTTGAGAGGCGAAAATCAGGCGCAATTCTCATCAAGACAGTAACAACCAAAGACATCTCATACACTGAATAAAGCAGAGAGAAGCCTGCAGTACTGGGACCTGCTGGATGACCACAGCTTTTACATTAATTCCTGTATGTTGTGTGAATTACATGCGTTTTATGTGTGTTTTGATCTCATTTAAAGAAAAGTTCATCTTGATGTAAACATGTCTTTCTTTTTTTGTGGCATCCTTTATGATAAAAATCCTAAACAAAGAACTTGTAAAATTTGTCATAATTTTAGTGTGTAGAAAGTTAGATTAGATTCAGTGTTTCTCCAAGTATGCTTTGTAGGTGATGAGTCTGCTGAGTAATTTTGGACAGCTCTAAAGAAAAAAATAGTACAAATTATTTAGTTTCAATTTAAGGGCATAGTAACACTGTGTTTGCCGAGATTAAAACCATGTCACTGTTAAGATAGGTACGGGATATCTTTGAAAATTTTCTATAATAAAAACCTCCTAATCCAATCGTTTGCAACTCTTCATATTTACATTCATTTTATAATTGATGTATTATTTCACATGAACCATTATTCACATGACTCACATTGCTACAACAGAACTCAACTGACTGAGCAGCACAATAACAAACAAATCATCTGAATCTGCAGCTCAGAAATGTCAATAAATTACATCAAGTAGTTTAATATGTGTTTAATAAAGCTGTTGTCTTCCACTCAGCGATCCAGCTGTCATTTCACTCTCACCCTCTAAGTTCTGTCTGTTAAAACAAATCTGAATCCACCCTTTTCAGGAATCGTTATAATTTTTAATAAAGATTTGCTAAAACCTAAAGTAATTAGGATGTTAAATATGATAAAGTTTTTCCTACTCATACTATATAACTATGAGTTATAAGTTTTAATGTTTTAATTAATCCCCCTCAAATGGCAAACAGTTGAATCAGAGCCTACTTTGGGATAGGAATAATTATCCTTGCTGACAAATGTTTCAAGGTTAAATTACCGGTACCTAAGGTTTGCTCAGGCTGGAGGAAAGTGGTTAGAATGGAAACAGATTGTGCTGTTTAAAGTGATCCAAGGTCTGAAGTGCTGTTTTCTTTCTAGGAATGGGTTAGGAATTGATTAGAAGCTGCAGCACACTTAGATTGGACACTTGCCCTAACCCTTATATTGAGCACTACATAGGGCTATACTCTATCTGGGGATTTAAAATCTGTGTTGAACTGCTTTTCAAAACGTTTAGTAGATCTTTACATAGTATTCATTATTTTTATCTAATGATAATATTTTAAAGTATTTATTATGTTGGGTTAAGTTAAATAGTTCGGAAAAATACTATCTATTTTATTGTTATTTTTTTCTGAGGGTGGGTCTTGTTTCCTGTTTCCTTGTTTAACTCCTAATCACACTGTAGCTTTAAAGAAAAATTCATGGAAAAATGGCAGAAAAAAATGTGAATATGTGTATGATATAGGCGGGTAGAATACAAAGTTATGTTTAAGTATGTATATTTTTTCTTTTTTCCCTTAGAAATTATATATATATTTATTAGTAGACAGTCCATCACAAACCACTTTCCCTACCAGTAAGTGGCGGTAATGTTACTAAATGCTTGTTGCCAACCGCCAATTAATCCAGTCTTGGGAACGTTGGTCGTTTGGTGCATGGCGCGTGTTTTGAAGCTGCTCTGCTTGTGGAGAAATGTCCTGGGCCGTGAGTAGTGAGGAAACAGGAAGCGATTCTTGTGGGATGGAAGAGGGAAATAGTGACAATGAAGGTTGGAAGATAGCAGCATCAAAAAATGAGAAAAAGCGGAAAAAACAGAGATCAGTTAAAGGGGAATCTAGTTCAGAACAATCCAGTGATGATCAATCCATACATTCCACAGCACAACAAAATGAATTCAAAGTCATATTCAAAGTCGTTAATCAGGCAGACTCTTTTACAAACTGGAATCCGGTTCACTTAACAAAAACCATCAATAAACTTGTTGGAGAAGTCAGAGGTGCCAGAATTCTGTACAGTGGAGACCTGCTAATTAACTGCAGAGACAGCGCCCAGCAAGGCAAAGCAATACGTATTAACAAAATTGACGGGATAAGAGTTCAGTGCAGCCTAATGGAGAACAAAAAGATCAGCAGGGGAGTCATTGGAGGAGTTCCTCTGAAAATTTCTGAAAAAGAGATTCTGGAAAACATAAGCGGTGCAAAAGTAAAAGAAGTAAAACGGTTAAAAACAACAAGAAACGGAGAAAGATCTGACAGTTTATCTGTACTAATTAAATTCGAGGAAGAGCAATTACCAAGCAAAGTATTCATCGGTTACATCAGTTACAATGTCAAAATCTACAATCCACCACCATTGAGATGTTTCAAATGTCAAAAATTCGGACACATTGCAGCAGTTTGTAAAGGGAAACAGAGGTGTGGAAGGTGTGCAGGAGAACATGAATATGGTAAATGTGGAAAAGAAGCTAAAATAAAATGCTGTAATTGTGGTGGAGAACATACTGCTGCTTATCGCGGCTGTGAAGCAAGCAAAAGGTCTGAAGAAATAAAAAAAATGAAATTTGAGCTTGGAATAACTTATGCTGAAGCTGCAAAAAGGATCCCATCTCAGTCAGAAAAACCCAAACCTACAGTTCAACACACGGCAAATTTCAAACCTCTAGAGAAATCTCCAAAAATTGATGAAGACTCACTAATTGTTAAAAAGACAAATTTTGTTCTTTTCATGGTGGAAGTGATTAATTGTACTGCTCAGACGACAAAAAAAACAGAAAAAATCAAAATAATAGTGAAGGCTGCAGAAAAATATCTGGATGTTAAAGATATGAACTGGGAGATGGTTGGAAGCATGATGGAAAGACCAATGGGACCATCAGAAACTGGCAGAGGTACGATGACCTAGAGTAAATTAAAATTATACGGGCAAATGTAATTTAGTATAATTTAGTATTATGTGGGTTTAAGTTACACAGGTTATTTTATTGTATTTTTTTTTTTTTTTTTTTTTTTTTTTGGGGGGGGTGAATCGTTTCCTGTTTCCTTGCTTTACTCCATATCAGTTGGTGGCGGTAATGCACATTTCACAAGTTTGCCAACCGCCATAAAATCTCATAAGAAGAAGAATAAGAAGAAGCCAATTAATCCAAGAAGAAGAAGAGCGTTCCCGAGGTACAAAGACGTCATCAATCCGCGTCGCACACCGTACGTGTACTTGCTGGGTTCCAAGAAAGATATTTTTTTATTAGTTTTTTTAAAATGCCTATGAAAGGAAGGTATCCGATTAGAAGGACGCTGGAGTATCTCCAGAAGGGCGACATCATCTTTAAAAACCGGGTGAAGATTATGACTGTGAATTACAACACACACGGAGAGCTCAGCGAAGGAGCAAGGTCAGAGCTAACATCTTAGCATCAAAACATTACACTAAAGGAATCACATAAGCAGTGTAATCCTTCACATGGATTGCAATTTATATTGTAAATTCACGCATGCTGTGAAGTTGTTTGTTCTTCTCTGTCCTCCAGGAAGTTTGTGTTTTTTAACATCCCGCAGATTCAGTACAAGAATCCTTGGGTACAAATTATGATGTTCAAAAATATGACTCCATCGCCCTTCCTCAAGTTTTACCTGGGTGCGTATGCTTGTGTGGTAGTATGGCATTAGTAAGGCTTAGGGTTGGTTTAGATCTTGGTTCAACTCTGTCTCTGTTTAGATGATGGTGAAAAAGTACTGGTGGATGTGGAAGGGAAGGACTACAAGCAGATTTCACAACATGTTAAGAAGATTCTGGGGAAATCAGAGTAAGTATGGGGAATGTTTTGTCTCTTTTTGTTCCATTACTTTAAGGGTTTTCTCATTGATCAAAACAAGTGTTAAGGATGATCAAAACGACCTTAAAATTTACATTTTACTACTGTAGCATTGCTTTATACTGATTTGATTTGAGAAACATTTTAAAGTGGGGAAAAAGATCTTATCTAATGTTCAGAAAGGATAGACAAGAGAATTTGCCTCCCAAAAGATAATCTCAATTATTAACTCAAATGGCTGGGCCATATGGCTTAATAATGTACTCTCCAATTTTTTTCCTACCAAATCCAATAGATTTTTAGTTTTATTTTTTTTTTTTTACTTAAGTTTCATAATAGAAAATACTAATTACATGTCTTTTATTTTAGTCATCTCTTCTGGGAGGAGGTGACCTTAATTCAAAGGACAATACAATTAAAGCTGTGGAAAAGGCTGTAAAACAATATTATTTTGCAACAAACCTGGAAAAAAATAGTGAGCTAGTTCATCAGTTATGAATACACATATAAGAACAAAAAGTGATGAACTGATGTCACTCTGAGATATGGAAGCCCAAGGAGGGGTTTGATGGGAAAAAAATAAAATCTTCATAAACAAAAAAAATAATCAATTAACCACTCAGCCTTACTCACTCATATAAATTAGAACAGTTCAAGCAACTAGAACTGTGACAAACTGGGTGGTGAGATGGGATCCTTCAACCTTATCTATAAAAAACAAACTCATTGTTGGATTAGGAATATTTGTGATCATATAAAATATGATGAATTATATTTCTAAATTTTTGTATTTGCTAACTGCAAAAACAATTTAAGTTTTTTTTTTTGTTGGTGTGTATATATAGATATAGATATATATACCCCTGTTTTTATGAGAGCTACACTAAATAAGTCATATTTTAAAATATACATAAACTGTGGTGTTTAGCAGTATTATTGGTAATATATCTAATGGTACCTAGCATTAGTAGTGAAACTGTTTCAAAAAGTGTTTTTGTAGCACAGTGCTCTGAATGTATTCAGATACATTAACATGCATTTAAAGACATTTATCATCATATTGACATTTTGCTATAAATGGAAGAAAACGTATGGATTAGATCATATTTATCTTTGTCCAGATTTATTCTTGTATTGAAACCATCTGCTTTCCTTTCTCTGCAGAGAAGTGCTGCAAGCTGAAGCTCAAGCAAAGATGCAGGCATCCAACCCAGCCAACTTCGGGCCAAAGAAGTACTGTCTAAGGGAATGCATCTGTGAGGTGGAGGGCCAAGTGCCGTGTCCTGGCACCACACCGCTGCCAAGGGAGATGACAGGAAAATATCGCGCCAAGATGGCGGAGTCACAGGAATGAGAAGCTGCACAACAGACTTTTCTGTCATCTCAGGACATTATTCTGGCCGTTTTTGTTGTGACTATATGTGAAAGGATTACACCAAAATACGATCTGCTTGACTTCTGGGATGCATCAATGTGGACAATTTCTGTATATATTAAACTGAATTCCATCCAACTTTCAATATTTTAACTATATTTCTAGCTTGTTTCTTTTTTATATTGCAACCATAAACAAATTTAATGTATATGCTTGGATCTGCCAAAATAAAATCTGATCTTTGGTGGATCATTATTGAATTCATCAATTAATGCGGAGCTGCTTCAAGGCAGAATGAACGCATATTTATTTAAATTTTCTCGTGTCATCCTGTTCCTCTTAAGTATCACTGAAATTATCTAAATTTAAATACAAATTAATATATTTACTGTATTTATTAGAATTTTTAAAAATAATTCCCCAAGCATCCCCATCACGTTCGCTTTCCTTTTTTTCCCTCCCCAGCTTTTTCTGTCTTTACACTGTCACAAGTACAGAGCAACAAAATGAACTCTGCATTTAAACCTTTCCCTTGGGGAGCAGAGGGCTGCCCATTGTGTGGCATCTGGGGAGCATTGTGGGGTTAAGGGTCTTTGCTCAGGAACCCAGAGTGGCAGTCTGAGGGAGTGGGGCTCAAAAGCAGAACCTCAGGATTCTAAGCTCTATGCCTCAACCACTAGACCGCAACTCCCCCATATATTTTTTATTTTATATGTTCACGTTATTTATTGATTGCATCTAAAAAAAAAATCTAAAATATTTTAAATCCCAACAAAGATATTAACACACTATAACAGAATAATTTCATTATTCTATAGTACTAGCTCATCGAAATAGTGTTTACGGTAGTCTGTCAAACAGGCTGCCTGTAAGGCTTTTAAACTTCCAGCAGGTGTCAGTATTGAGTCACAGTATCAAGGCAGTATGAAGAGTTTGGCAATGTGTACAAACACTTCATGATTCTTATTAACCCATCACTAATTTGAAGCTAACCTGATTTTAATGTTGCTTAGCTTATTTTTTTAGGTAACATAAACATTTGGATTTTCATATCAAGTGTAAAATATGACTGAGTATAACTAATTGATTACCGGAATAAAAGCTCAGTGATAATCTAACTGCAATTCCAATATATGTACATTCTAGCTCATACAGTTGTTGCGCAAAAGAACAGGAAACATCAAATGTTATTACAGATCAGTTTTATTTGTATTGAAGGAACCTCTGCTAGTTGTTAAAGTGATGGATGTGGGTTATTGTGCAATTCCTTTTTTTTTATATAATGCAGGAATGTTGCAAATATTTCCAAACTAAACTTAACTGTTATCATACATGTAAGGAATTCAATAAGCCACAAAAATATTTAGTGCCACATATTTAGGATCTGCAGTTTTCAGGGTTTAGCAAATAAAGTATAACATGGAAAATCTGACAGGAAGAACAGAATCAAGTTAGGACAAACAAAGAAGAGCTGGATCATAATACTGCTGGCATCCATGTAGTGTTAGCGCACATCTAACAAATATGTCATAAATTTCCTTCTATCACTTATTTCTAGACAAGTTTCAGCGCTTTTCAACTTTCTACTCCTATTAAAGCCGTCCAAAGTGTGCCATGTCGATAGTGTCAAGCACATACAGTGTTGAGTGAACTGTTCAGGTGAACTCCGGATTAAAGGTCCAAAGAGAAGACATGCACCATGAGCAGACACAGGAGGACAGGGAGACAAAACCAGCCATGAGCTCAACATTTAACGGCCACACAATGCTCACCAAAAAACAAACGCCTCAACCTGTAGAGAAACACAAACATTCGCTTTTGGTGAAGTCATTAAGGTGGTTTGCTATAAGATCAAATGCATTAAAAGCAATTTTAACATTTGATCAAGTCTTCAGCTAAATCTTTTATACTTGACACTTAGATTAGAATAGGAAAAAATTATTTAACTGCAGATTTTATTAGAATCAGACAATCCTACCCTGAAAAGATGAAATGCGAACTGTGAAATGCACCATTAGCTCCTACATGGAACTAATAGGGTAACAAGAGATGCATCAACAATCGCATAGTTTTAGGATCGGTTCAGAGTTGTCGATATATAACAGCACTGCTCTTGTCCCCGTTGGAGGAATATGGTTTAGTTCTTTGTAAACGTTGAGTTGCAGATCCACAAACACAGTAGTGCACTTATCCTCAGAGCTGAGAACCATTTGGACTTTGATCACAGCTTCAACTGCAGAACCAACTCTTATCCTCCAAAATAACATTTTCCAATCTTCCATTGTTCATCTTTCTATTGTAATTTTAAAACTTCATACATGTGCTTTGCATATATGCATGGGTTGGATGTCAAACCTATGAAACCTCATACAGGCAAAAATGATCTAGAAAGATATTAGGAGACTAGGGACCGTGTTTAATTAATCTCTAATGGGAAATGGATCCAAACTGCTCTAAGCTGGGATGATCGTTCCTAAAGTGAATAAGCAATGGACAACTTGGTAAATAGCAGGTGATCGCGGCCAAAGTTTGTTAGTGCCTCTTTTTCTTCTGCTCCTGCAAAGTGTGCTGAAGCTCTTTGAGGTTCTCCGACAAGAGCTCAACCTCGTCGAGCCGCCCGCTGTGTTTGGCATCGAAGATGAATGCCCTGATGTTGTCGATCTGCTGGAGAAGCAGTTCTTCCTCGATCATGTCTACATCCGGCAAAGCTTGATCTTCTGCATCACCATCAAAGGGATTGGTCGAGGCCTCCGGCGAGTTCCCAGCAGCGTCCATAAAGGGGTTGCCTGTGTCTTCGTCCTCAAAGGGGTTGCTTGAGGCCATCTCAGCCCCTTTGTCCTCTTCTCTGTCTGGATCTTCCTCAAAAGGGTTGTATTCCTTCTTCCCGTTGGAAAGTTCCTGATGTTCCCTCTTGATGTCCTCAAGAAAAGGATTGGATGGATCATCCTCAATGGGAGTTGAGTCCTCCTCTTCAAATGGGTTAAGGGAAGTGCTGTTCTGTCCTTCACCACTAGGGGGGGTTATGTGCCCTCCTAAGCTTCTTAATCGTGGAGGAGAATCCTCCTGTGATGTGAGAGAGGACAGGGCCCTCACAGCTGGCGGACTTGCCTCAGAATTCAGAGTCAGGACCTCTGCTGTCTTCTCCTCCTCCTCTGTCTGGTGACCTGCTGGGCTGATATCCAGGGATTGCGCCCAGGAGAGTGATGGTTGAGGAGATGTAAAGGTTGAGCCCCATTGCTCCCTCCCTTCCCTCTCCCTCTCCTCCAGGCGCTGAAACTCCCCTTGCTGCAAGCTCTCCTCCTGTGCCAGTTTTTGGGAGAGTGCTATGGCCATCCTGGTCTGCTGCTGGTCGTATTCGTCCTGCAGCTGGCGCAAGTTCTCCTCCAGCATGGCAACCTCATCTGTCCGCTGGGCTTCACGTGCCTGACGAAGGAACGACTGAATGTTTTCAATCTGTTGCAGCAGGGGGTCTTCCAGGTCGCTGCGAGTTTTGACAGAGTCTGCAGAAGGCAGCCAGCCACCGGCTTTAGTCATGCGAGGGGCTCTGGGGGCCTGCGGCAGCTCTCCATTAGCCGGTGGACGGGTTTTCTCATACTCCTGCCTCCTGTTACGGTTCTCCTGGGCTGCCTGTTGGGGGAGAATCTTCACATTTAGGTGCCTGTTATCCCAGAAAGAAGTAAAACAAAGTTGCAACAGGAGAATCTTACCTGTCTCTCTTGTTGGAGTCTCCTCTCCTGTTCCTGTTTCCTCTTTTCTTTTAGCTCTTCATATTTGTCTTTAGTGGGTAAAGACATCAGCCCCAACAGCCTTTCCTGAAAAAGCAACATTAAAAAACTGATTTTCCTCCTGTCAGAAACAAGAAGTGTACCTATGGTAATTAAAGATAAAAAGGTCAGAATGGTGACTAATTTCTTTAGATATGAAATTAACATTTTCTAACCAGTCTTCGCTATGTCTCACCTGGACAAACAGTGTAGCTGTGTAGCGAATCATTTTCTGTAGCTGGAGCGCCTTCGGATATGGCTGCGGGTCATTTTTGAGCCCCAGCGTTAAAATCTTCTTACTAACAGGAAAACATTTCATTTAAACTTCTCAGTTGCCTCAGCTATAAAAACCTATTTAATCAATGATGTGTACCTTAGAGCGTCAATCAACTCGTAGTATTTTTGCACTTCCAACCTCAGTCCACCAGCAGTGTCCAGATTGTACGTGGTTTCTCCAGCACTAAATGAGGAAGTAAATCATTGTCATCTCAAAGGTGAACCACATTTTTTTTTCTCCAATAAATACTTTTTTATGACTTACTTCAGAGATTCAGCCATCCGAATATACTCTGGAGCCTTTTCCTCCACTTTCTCCATACACATTCTCAGCCTCTGACAGAAAGAGAGACAATAGTGAGCAAGGAACCAAAAAAGGAAAACAATATATGACAGGAAGAAGACAACAGATCAAACTCAAAGAGAATCAGCTTGAGAGCAACGGTTACCTCATAAAGTTTCACTACATCTGGAACATGATCCTTCTCCTCCAACTTCTGCTGCCTCTTCAGCAAAGTGTCCATGCAATGGTGGCAGCAGCGGATCCTCTCGTCATCCTTTTCTTCCAATATGGAGGCCACGCTGCTCAAGCTGGTGATGCTCCCCCTTCTGGAGCCCATCCCACTGCCACCACCCCCTGCTGGTGGAGACTGGGACTGCCCGGGACTTCCAGGCACACACAGGGCCTCTCGTGTCCCATTAATTAGTTTTTCTGTTAAACAATAAAAATAAAATGTACAGAAACAGGAACCAAAACATGAAAAACAGGACTTCAGATTTCCAGAGTGTGGTTACATACGGGCCAAAGGTAGGGGGACAAACTCCATGCATCTTCTGCACATGATGGATCCACACAGACGACAATGGTGCCGTCGATTTCGGATGTTGAACTTGTTTCCACAATCAGGACAGAAGGGGACATCCGAGTCACTAACCCAAGACACTACAGACTTCTCAATGGCTGCATAAGAGAAAGAACATTTCTCCTTATATTTATATAGACAGAGAGCAGCTTTTTGGAGAAAAAAACAACAACAAACCTCTGATTTTGGCAGCATCTGAATTGGTTCTGTCAAATGCTGTCAACTGAGACATTAAGTGTTTGGTTAATGATTTTGGTATTAAAATCAAAGATCCCTAATTTCTGTAGAGTTAGGGGGCACACCTTTTCCAGTCTAATGATGAGCTTGTTGACTTCAATGACATAATGATCAATACGGTCAGCTCTGTGTTTCTTAAACAGGTCCAGATGACTTCTGGTTGCTCCTGTGGGGTTGTGGGAGAGAAAAAACAAATGTTGTAACCTTCCTTCAGTTTTAAAGTTACTTGACTTGTATTGATCAGATGCTACTTAAAGAATTATCCCCCCTTCTCACCCAGTTCCTGAGGCTCCCACATATACGGGTCGACTCCACCATAGTAGAAGGACTCATAACTCCCAGTGTCTGGGCGGTCATCTCCATCCCTCTTCAAAAGTTTGTCTTTGGCTTTCTTTGCCTTCTGAACTAAACCTGAAAGCAATAATAAGAAAAGTGATTTGTTTCTTTACCACTGCCGAGTCATTGCATCCAGATGCATTATATTTTAGCATTTATAAAAGAAGAAAAAAAAAAGTTCAGGAGAAAAAGAAAATAATTATACAAGTGTGCGTCTGTACAGTATGCATACTCTTGATCTGTCCTCGAACATGCCGATCATCTCCGTGCTCCTCCTCATAGTGACCTTGGAGTTGGTAAAAAGACTGAAGATCCTTTAGGCACAGAGGGCAAAGAAAGCCTTCCTTTACTTCACCTGTGCCCTCAAAAGGTGGCGCATAGCTTGAGGCCATGACGACAGGAAGTGGTTTGGGTGTTTAGGAGGAGGTACTAGCAGCCATGATCCTGCTTGGGCCAACATGTCACAGTGTGTTTAATCTACCTTCAGTTAGCTCCATAACACCTGAGGTGGGAAAAAAAATAAAATAAAATAAAAAATCAGCTGAGAAAACCAATAAACTGAGGTGCTAAACAGAATCCCACGCAGATAGAATAATACAGAAGATTAGTTTTGGAAAAAAGGGACACAAAATCCATTTTATACATTATATTTTTTTTATATGTGTGGCACATTTTTTAACTCAAGGAGTGAAAGACATGTTTATGAAAAAAATGGTTAATATAAAAAAAAAATGTTTAGAATTTCACAGAACCCAAAAAAATTATAATAATAATAAAATCCATTAGTCTGTTCTTATATTCTAATATGGCAGCAGAAATATCAACTCTTAGAAAGAGGCCTGATCTGCAAAACAAAACAAAACAGAAAAGCACTCTGAGAGCGCAGACCTCGCTAAGCAGCAATTTAGCCTCAAATTGTGACTTACACCTATAGCTGGAACTTCCCCATGATCTGAATCATTACCAAATTTTGATAAATTTTTCTTTTGCATGAGGTGCAACATTGGTAACAATTTCCGAAAAATCCTTTCATAAATAAGGCACAGTGTGTTTACCTGAAGCCTCTGGTGTTTGTTCTGCACTCACCTTCTTCATTCACTTTATTTGATCAGCAGATCGTGACTTAGAGCGAATCACAGCTTAATTTTCCTGTGTTTTTGTCTTCAGCATAATACTTCTGGACTTTTTGAGTTTGACACTGAAGCTGTAAATAATCACTGCTACCCCTCTTTGGTTTAGTGTGGAACTGCTTATTCTGACAAATAATGTTAAAACATATATTTTTTTAAATCCCTGCATCTGTATTATGATTTGGATCGCCACCAACATTTAATGGATTGTTCTTTGGCCTGAAGTGCACCTTTTGTTAAAATGTCTTTAAAATATTCTCACAACTTTTAAAGTTACCCAACATAAAGAAACAAACAAACATTTCTGTGTGTAACGCGTGAGTATGAGAAATTGCTTAGGAAACATTTCTGTGTAAATAATATGTGGAAATGTGCCTGTTTTCTTTAGGCACTCAGCTTTAAATGTTCACAGGGATAATACTCAGCTAATATCCTTGAATCACCTGCATAAGCAGATTTAGAGCCAATTTGGTTTCATTCTCTCACATCCCCACAAAGTTTATCAATGTTACTCTGCCACACAATGGAACATGTGTTGATCTATTATTTCATTGGTTGACTTTTCACCTTCCAGTAAAAAAGCCAAATATCCTTACAGTTTGCCAAAATGACCAACTCCTCACCACTGAATGAAAGTAGGGGACCAAAAAAAGAATTTAAAGAGTCTTTAAGTTGACCTTCTTTCGTCTTAAAGTTACAAAATCGATTTGAAGGGACATAAAAACATTATAGTATGCATAAAACATTGCCAACAAATGTTAAAATACCCTGCATATTTTAAAAAGCTTAACAATGCGTGTCTCCTCGTCACATACAGATGTACGATTTAAATATTTAACTATCACCACTATATTAATAGCTTTTGAATTGCGCTAATTTAGATGATACATTGGTTGTATATAATTTCAAAAACAACTAATTTGCCCCTTTTCGGTCTGCTGTGTTTTTGCGCCTTACGTCCTTTTCATATAAAGACAGCAACACATCGTTAGCATAACATGGCTAATCTCCTTTGCTTTTGTTCTTCTTGCAGCGCAGAAAGAGACACGATAAAGAATGTCGTTAAAAACAACCAAATAAACAGACACTGACCCTTTAAATCACCGAGAGAGATCATCCATGAGAATAAATGTGTTGGAGAATTGGCGTGTTGTTGACAGTTTGGGTTTTTCTTCACTGCTCGGCTCCAACAGTTGCTGCAGCCCCACCTGGTCATGTGATTAGCCTTCCGCTACTAGGGGAGGCGAGGAGGGACAAAAGGCTGGAATAGAGTTCAGAATCTGCTTTTAGTGTTATTCTTAAATGATTAACGCCGAGGACAGAGGAACAGAGGTGAGAAGACTACCAAAAATTTGTAATCAAGTAAGAGTAATACTACTTCAAAACTCTTGTACTCAAGTACAAAGAAGCTATTCAAGAAAATACTATGAAGTAAAAAAAAAAGCTACTGAAGTACTTAGAAAGATTTATTTGACATTTTGTTTACACAAGTGTAAAACAAAAAGAAATTTCGTTTAGAACAAGTACTGAGTAATAGTTGGATCATTACAACTGATATAGTGTTTTAAAATGTATTCAGTCAGTTATTTCACAGAATAAATACATTTAAAAGTATTGATAAATAACATGATTACACATTAATGCAGACACACTTTTAAAATAAGTTATTTTAATACCATACTTATGCAGGGCTGTCAACTCTCACCCGTTGGGAGTGAGACGTCTTCACACACTCTCACTCCATATTCCCAATTTCTCACACTAAAAATAACAGACATTAAAACTCAACTCCTTTACACTTATTTATGTATAAAAATACCATGGTGATCAAAATCTAGTCTGCGTTTTTAATACAACCTTAGTGCGAAAACACACAAGGACATGCCAGGTTCATATCCAGTCCATATTACCACCTATTCACTGTGCCAGGTATTAAAAAAGACAGTTGTTGTGAGGTATGTCATTTTAATTTCTATCTTATCTCATCTAGACTAGGATAATTCTCTTTTTAAGTCCCAGTTTTAGTCCATGTTTTGCTTACGAGTTAAATAATTATTGCCCAGTCTAGTTTAATAATCAAACACAAATATTTTAGTTCTTAAAGCTTTCAGGTTTGTCTCTCAAACCCATATGAGGTCCACAAAAAGAAAAAGAACCATTGCATTTTATTTTTCAAAAGATCAGCCACCCAAGAAAAGACCAACAACATACAGAGGGGAAATGCAGCACAACTCATTTATCCTGGATTCATAGAGGAGAAACCACAAGGATGTTTTTCTTTTATTATTACTGATCTTATTCATTTACTTTTATTTTGGTCCATTGAATATGTTCAAAAACTTAATTTCCATCACACCTTCCAAACTGAAACATCCAGATAAGTGCTGTCTCCTGTCATGATGAGTTTTTATCAAATCTACAGCCTCCAAGTAATAACATAACGAATGAAGCTTTGTAATCCTTAGCCTATTGTCAAATATTCATACACAGTGTAGTTTGCATAGGTTTCGATTGCACTGGTTCCTGCATCAGTGCCAGTAATCCACTAATAGCTTATTTGTTCCCCATTTTTTAATTTACTTGAACTGAAGAGAATAGTTAATGAACCAAGTTGTAAAACTTTTAGTTTACAGTATATTTAAGATGAGAGTGGGTCCCATTTTGCTTTACTTCAATTCTCTAAAAATCACCAGTATGTAGAAAATAATGTATATTGTAAGAAAAATGTTCCACATAACTACAGACCAGTTAATGTTACTCAGTAACATTTACTGTGCAATAAAAATTCCACATTTTGCCACTTTGTTTCAGTTAAATCCTCTGAAAATCTCCAACTTATAGCTGCACCTATCCTTATCTAACCCTGACAGGATTTCCTGTCCAAACTATTTCTAAATCTCACCCCAAGGTTTGGTGAAAAGTTGGCAGTCCTGCTTATGAAACCAAGCCTTAGAGTGAGAATTGTATATTTTGGGGCACAGTAGGTAACTTCCACTGACAATATCTACTGGTCACTGTATATTCACCTGTTCTAAGAGTAGTTAAGATTACACATAGTAGGCAGAGGCATCAAAAGTGTTCATATTCTTTACCTAAGGACAGATATCCTAAAAAATACAAATAAATAAATTTGGTAAAAGTACTGACTGAGCTCCTGTACTTAACTACATGAGCACAGCTTCTACAATGTACTGAAGTAAAATTAAGTTTTTATCTTAAATGATAGAAAAAAAAACTATTCATAAAAGGCTCTATACATAAAACAGGTTAATTGTCCTTTTTTCCTGACTGTGTTTGTATAGAGAACATAAAACGTATGGATTTAATCTAATTTTGTTCTAAATTAAAAATTCAGACAGTATAATATGGTTGGAACTGAAGAGATGCCTTAAATAAACTGTTGAATATTTTTGGAGCCCTGGGAGTTAAATATTACCATTTAAATTAAATCAAAGATCAACATCCATGGATCCATCTTCTCCTGCTTAATCTGTCAGGGTTACGTTGGGGGTGGTTCCTGCAGCAGTCTATTGACAAAAGGCGTGGTACAAACTGGACAACTCGCCAGTCCATTGCAGGGCCATGATCAGCCTGTAAATGTGAAATCTAATGAAGGGGGGTGGATAGGGATTATCTCAGAATATCATCTATCATTCCCAACATTTCTCAGCCCCATCTTCATCCATGTCACAATCAGTGTTTTTCTATTAATAAACCGGGCTCCAACTGGACAGATCTCATCATTCTTGATTTTCTAATATATTCTGCATCGGTCCACGTTTTCAACCAGGCTTTGGCTCAAATTGAGCATCCGGTAAATATGTTGTAATATAAATACAAAATACCTTTAGAACAATTCAAAAAGCTGGTGGAAGGGCTTAATTACTAGTTATATATTTTTTATTCTTCTTATCAAAAAATAGTTTTTTTTGTAGACAAAATCTATATTTATTTAGTAAAATAATTAAAAAGATACTTTCTTTTTAAATTCTCCTATTAATGTGACTTTTATTTTAAAGTAATAGAGTCATAAAAATGTGAAATATGGCTTTAATCTAGCACCAAATTAGAACATCAATCCAGCTTCCAATTCTTTGATACGTAAGAGGTTTATATGGGCAGCACATGTGGTCAGATCGTACTGTTGCCTTGCAGGCCATTGAATTCCAGCTCAGGGTTTCTTCTTGTTAGTAGAATATAATTTACTTTCCTTCCCTTATTTTTTAAACACAGAATTACAAACATCTAAGCTATTTTTCTATAAAACAAACATCAACAAACCTCCTTTGGAGCATGAAAAACATCAGTCCTGCTAAATGAAATGAAAAACAGTTTATTTTAATTGCAATAAAATGCATTGCTTCAGAGAAGCTAGCCTCAAAGCCTGGAATGCAGAAACAAGAATTCAGTCGTTAATACATTTGATTTGTATCAGTGAGGTAGAAATGTAGGGCTGTAACATCATTCAAAAATTCTGGAGACAGAAATTTCCAAAGAGAAAGTAGATTTAACAGTCCAAAGTAAATTTAAACTGTATAAAATGTTAACCAAATGATACCACACGAGAGGATGATCTGAAGCACCAGCTGCTCATGGTAAATATTTTAAAGCCACAACATTAAATCAACATATTACATACTGCATTTATTAAAATATGCTTAAGCAAATTTCAGCATGCATGGCGATGCTCTATAAAAAATGATAACAATGCTCCTTATTAGGGCTCACGGATTATAAAACCCTTTTTAAAAACAACATGCATTCATTACATCAAATAAATGTTATTTCACACCAGCGCCTTTAGAAAGAGCCTTTTTAGGTTTAAAACCAAAATATAACAATTGATGTTTATTTTATGAGACAAACCTGGTTTGCTTATTTACATCACCGTTACCATTCATGTTGCTGTGGATGTTTATTTAAACCTATATACAAGAGCGTAAGCTAATGCTTATCTCAATGCTGTCATCTAGACATTAATGTATTTGAGGCAGGCCCCCCAAAATTCTGTTTTTTTTTTTTTTATCAGGGATACCTGCCCAAAAGCGCTTTAAGTACACTTGGTATGCAAAAAAGCAGATTTGTTCAAAACAAATGAATGTTTTTAAAAAACATACACAAAATACAGTTTTAGTCAGCCTAAATGAAGCTGATTAATGTGCAACTAAATAACAATGCAGACACATTGCTACACATTAGAATGAGTTTGAAACCCAAATCTTTTAAATAATTATCTTAAAGACATCGGATATTGATTTAAAAGAAAACACAGGTCTACAAACAACGTGGTAACACTGATGGAAAAGAAGGACAAAACATAACCGATTGTCCACAAGGAACTAAAGTGAAGAAGGTGATTGCACAGATTATAAACGTATGTGTGTTTTTAGATGTTTTTCTTTAGGCGTTCACATTCAAATACACTGAAAATTGTTGTTTTTTTTATTTTTTAAATCAAAAGCAAAAAAGCACTGCTCATACCTGAACCCTATACTAGAAAGCAGGTTCAATACATTTTCTTTTAAAGAAACAATTTTTTTAGAAAACTTCTCAATGATTACGTTTCTTAATGTTAGCAGGAAGCCATTCACCCGGGGTATTACAGATTGAGCTGATATTAGAGGACCAAACAGAAAAAGGAAAAAACATATACCACGATAGCAAATATGAAACTTTACACATGTATTAACCTCATAGAATACACAAAAACAAATCTCATATTTATTTTCCTTACACTATGATAATGGAGAACAAGAATTAAGATGAGGAAATGTGCTCATAGTAGTGCTCATTACTATAAGTGTCATTATTCATTTATAATATAGGATTTTTCTGTCTTGTTACCATGGGGACACACCTGGGTCAGAAATGAACAAGCTTCGTTCTACTGAAAAAAACTCAAACTGAACCTTGAACTGAGGTTATATTGATAAACCACTGATCCTGCTTTGTAGTATAGGCCAAAGGTATGAACATGGCTGATCCATATGTTTACTGGCCTAAAATGAAACAATAGTTTGTGATTTAGATCACATGTAACAATTTTAAGGTTTGACATTTATCTTGCCTACATTATTTAAACAAGGAACTAGTGCGTAAATAAATAGAAATACAAAAAAAAGCATACAAGGCATGTTCTATGAATTCTAATTTGAAAATCATGTTAAAATCTTTTGGCATTCAGATAAATCTGAAATTTTAGTCAGAGGCTTTGTTCACACAGCAGGTCTTGATGATCAGTTTCATTTTTTTTCTTCTGCTATCTGATCTTTTTGACTAGGGCTTTCATACTACTGATTGGGGCTGAAGCAATCGGATTAATCGTGATTAATCGATTATTGAAATAATCATCATTCGTCAACTAATTTAGTAATCGAGTAATCGTTAACTGGAGTGTAGAGACTCAAAAACGTGCTTTTAGCTGACAGAGCAACCCACTTGGAGCAGTAGTCTTATCAAAACTGTTAAAAAAATACGCAAAGCATTTAAGATAAAAGAAAACTTTTTTGTAAGTCAATACGCTCCATCCAAAACTCCTCAAGTGGAAAAGTTTTAGTTTCACCTTGTTTAATTTAGTACTGAAATCTTCTTTAAGGAACCTTTTGCTGTCCGAATATTAATCGACAAATTGAAAAAAATAATCGACAGGTTATTATGTTTGCAGAATAATCGTTAGTTGCAGCCCAACTACTAACTAAATATGATCGCTATCAGACTTCAGTCTAAACAGCAACCCAATTGAGCAGTAGGAGATTGTAAATGTCACACAGCAGCGCACTAATTATAGACATAATGATTCCTCAATAAAACTTTAAAAAAATATATAATAATGTATGCTGGTGTGTCTATGTTTCCATTAAACTATTGAGAAATGGGAGCCAACAGTATTGTGAAAGCATTATTAACAAAGAATGAAAGCAATAAAAAAATTGGGCTGTTCATACGGCTGTGAAAAATTTGATAAGAGTCGTATATTGTGCAAAAAGATCAGATTTGGGTCGCGTTTTGCTGCGGTGTAAACAAAGCCTTAAACATCTCCGTTGCTAATCAGAACAGTGCTCGCAGTAGAATGAAATACCATCTGATGGGATCTAAACATTCTCTGTAGTTTCAGATGTTATTATAAATCTAGATTTCAAGCCAAGTTTTTTTTTTTTTGTATAACATTTTTGGATTAAAGGGTAGTACCACACAGTTAACATGTATTTCATCAACATTAAAGAATTTAAGGCTTATTTAAATTTTAAACAATTATTTAAATGGTCAAATTTTTAAATAATGGGGCTGAGGTGTTAAATACCGTCTAGGCATAAATAATAGTGAAGCAGTTACAGCTGAAAGTTTTTTTTTTCCTTGTGGTTAACAGGAACTCACAGAATCTAATGCAGAAAACATTCCCCATCATCCGTGTTTTCCAATGCCACGTTACGCTAAATCCAGCAGGCGTTCCCTTAATAAAGCTAGAAAACAAGGATTTGTAGTTCAACTACAGCCATCTAGAGAAAAAATACCTGAAAATAAGACTTTCAAACTTAGCCCATTTTTGAGACCTTGGAGTGTTTTCAATCTGGGGAGTCTAATTCCTGGCTGCTATACTCCGCCGTCTCCATCTTGAGGATGTAGGGAATGATGCTGTCAATAGAGACGTTGCCTATCAAGCCAGTGAAGAAGAGCTCTTCTGTGATACTTGAGTTCATGAGACGGAGGGCAGGCAGACGGGTCAGGATACGTGTTAATCTGAGGGAATAAGTTGAAGCATTTTTAAGTTAAGTTATATTTCCTGGCATTTTATTTTTAGTTATTTAACACTAAATAGTTCAACCGTCTGTTCACTCATTGTGTGGCTGAAGATTAATCTTTAATCCTCTATCTTTTCTCTACAGCTGACTCACTATTTTTTCTATATGAGAACATTAATGATGATTTCAGTAAGTACGGTACATCATTTCCTTACCTGTATGTGTCTTCAGGATATGTTTTTTGCACATAGTCTTGTAGCTCCATGAGAGCTTTTTCTTGGAACTTCTCAACTTGGCCACTGCTATCTACACCTGGGTGGTCTGACACAAACAAAGAAAGAAAGAAACAAACAAAATACTTCTGGAATCCATATGAAAGAAACTTGTTTATTTTGTTTTTTTGCTGTTTGCTGACAGACAATCTAGAACAAGTTTCAGGGGGAAAAAAGGGGTTCCTTACCAGGACTAAACAACACTATAGCCTTTAGGTAGGCATACTCATAGCTGTCAGTCTCCAGCCGTGTCATGCTGTTACAGAACTCCTGGAACTTCCAGATGTGCTCCATCACCTGCTTCACCCTCTCCCCAGAGAATTTTTCTGAAAAGAAAGAAAACACAAACATTTCAGCACATTCCATTAACCAATGTTAGTCATTGAGTTCTGCAGGGTGCTGTTGCTTTATTGTTTGGTTTAATATAACAGGATTCTGGAAGCCCCTGTTTTCACAAAAATGTAAAACACCAGAGTGATTTCTACAACAAAATAGGCCTGTGATTGATGTAATTAGGGTTAAATGCAAAAGAGGAAACTGTTAGCTGGTTATTGGTCACTTTAGTAAGAGAGCTTCCTTAAGTAGTGAGCCATCTAAAATGCTTCCCCATGACAACCAATACTTTGGCTGCAGAAATATATTATGTTGGCTCTCCTCCTTGACTATTGCAGTCAGGTGATCAACCAATAATCCGTGTGAGCTGTAGACTGAAATACAATCTCTAACAAAGACGGCTGTGTAGACTGTTAAACCTGCATGAGGAACAGCCAAACTCCCCCACCAAAGTGAAGTTATGGAGGACTGTTTCACATGCCGGGTCACACAAACTATGGCAATAAAAGACCATGACGTCACACAGAAATGTGCGATATCATTATAAACAGTAAACAGTATCTTCAATGCTAGGAAATACAAACACCTATCCACTCAATACTATCAAGGAAGCAAATGAGTATGCAGCAAACAACCACCCAAGCATATGGACACATTTATTAATGATTATCTATAGTGGAAATGAGAACCAGATTTAGAAGTGATGGCAAGATCCTGACGGAGCCCTAACCTCAACATCAAGTGTGTCTGGTATTCTCTGAAGATGCAGAGGGAAAGAAGCCTGCATCCAAAGCAGATCTGCAGCTAGTTCTCAAAGATGTTTGGAACAACCTACCAGTCATTTAATTCAGAAAGTAGACAACTGTGCATAGAAGAATTGGTTATCATAAAGGCAAGGGGTGGTTAAAAGATCTAATTCAGATTGATGTTGTGTTCATTTATTGAATTTTTTTAATTGATGGAACTAGAGATGCACGATAAAATCGGCCCCCTATCGGTATCGGCCTGTATCGGCCTTAAAACTGAATATCGGACATCGGCCACCCCACCAATATTTAACCCGATATTTGATCAGCTTCTGAGTTTCTAAAGTCTAAAAAAAAAATAAAAAATACTACTACTTCTTCCTCAAAAACTTCTTTTTTACAGACTTAAAAACTTCTAAAGAAGAGGGAAAAAATATTGATACATTAAAATATCACAATATCTTCATATGCTGATATATTGCCATTTAAAAACACCATATCAATCTCTTTTACTAATGAAATATTGCTATATGTCATCGTTATGCTACGAAATCCCCCGAGAATCCACGAAATTTTGCCATATTTTTACATGTTGATATATTGACGCGGTATCGATCTATTTTACTAACAAAATCTCACAAGTATTTGCAAAATATCACGAGAGTTTGTAACAGAATGATGAAATTTCACGAGATTTTGAAAGTAAAATAGATCGATACCGCGTTTTAAAAAAATCAATTTGATATCAGCATATGAAAATATATTTGAGTATATTATTTTTCAAAGTGTCCGAAATGGATAACAAAACTGCTATTTTCAATGACTACTTATTTTTGTCCAGCTTTAACATCGGTATCGGTTATCGGCTACATGAGTTTTAAAATATCGGCATATCGGATATCGGCCAAAATCCCAATATCGTGCATCCCTAAATGGAACTCAACTATATACTATATAGTATATATATACTCAACTATACTATACAACAGTTCTTTCACAGTTGAAAATAATCTCAGTTTACAGCATTTATTCATAGCTGCCAATTTCTTCAAGGCATTATGCTTATTTAAAGAACCTTTTTTTCATCAAGGTCATCAAGGTTTGCAACTGCATTTCTCAAACTTTGATGATTTTTTTTTTTAATCATTAAAATATAAATATATTTTTATGTTTTTAAGGAAATTCCTGAAAAGCATTGTACTTCTCAAAGAGTTGGCTTGTGTTTAAATATCAACAAATGGCATTATGCGATAAGGTCCCAGTCATCAGACTCTTCTCTTATCTGTATCTGCTTGATAGGCAACTATCCTATCCTCCATTTAGAGTGCGTTTGTGACATTTTTTCACGATTAGGTTTGTTTATAGAGTGACTGTAGAAAGTTTTTGACCTCTGTGTAAAAAGCATCTCAATATTCACTGCCCTGTACTGGCGGCTTGTGCTTGATTTGCTGTCATTCCCAATTGCTTCCATTTATTATAATACAGCTATTGCTTCACTGTAGAGCATTCAGTAGAGGGGTGCTTTCACAACTGGACTAATTGCATAGCTGATATCCAATCAGAGTACCTTGTCCAGATTCTCTGCGTTTCCAAAAAAAAAAAAAGATGTGTTCACAAATTTCTGAAGAGGGGTTCTACGTGTCTAGGTGTAGGGTTTTATAAATCTGTGGATATGGAATCAATTGGAGCAGCTTATTATTAAGGTGACTTGTAACATTATAGAGTGTTGGTAAATAATTTCTGAACAGGTTTATCTGTGTGTGAATAATTATGCAGATTTGAGTCAAGAAAAAGCCGTTTAGATTTTCAATACAATCTGAGAGCATTTAGTGTACATTCAAATATGTATTCTAACTAAAATAACGCTTAGGTCAGGAGTACTCCAGTCCCAGAAGAAACTGAACACATAGCAAAAGCCAAAGTGGAAATCACAGTTATAGACAGTGAGGTACACCATGCTACATAAAGAAAGAGACATGCAGTGCATTTGATTCTACTGTAGGCAACAACACCTACAATCTAATAGCAAAATTAAATTTCTTCACTCCTGTTTTTATGTTTGTGTCCTACTGTGAGATGATGACGGGGTCTTTGGTCCATACCGTCCTGGACGCTGCTTTGGAGATGGTTAATGATGGCTGCAAGGATGGTTGATAGGTTCATCACGTGAGTGCATTGAGCAAGGCCCAAAATGAACAGCTCGTTCCAGCAAGCACGTACCAAGCTGGTGTTTGCCTCCTGACTGAGAAATACATAAAGATGTGAGGCCAACTACAAACAGACAGAGGGTGGCAGTGATAGCCAATTTCATTTTACGAACCCAAGAGCTAAGAAGGCAGGGATGGAGCGCGCCCAGTGCATGGAGAGGAAGAGAAGTCTGGACGCCGACTCACAGATGTAGTGTACATTCAAATACTCTGGCATGGGGCTGGGCATGGTCAGCTGAAACAGGCAAAGATAAAGAGGAGCATTACAACTAGGGACATTAAAAACAAAAACTCTTTTTTTTGTGCCTGTAACTGAAAGTATTAACCATTAAAAGGCTGATTTTTACAAATTCAAATCTCGGTTATCTGAATGCTTTCCGGTTTCCATAACCATGAAAGTAGCCATTTAAGAACATTTGCATATGTCCTATTTTCCTTTCAGTAGCTTTAGCAGCGGCTCACTCTACCCACCTTAAAACTAACATGGCTGTCTGTGAGCAGCGGTCCCTCCACCTCAATGATGGGTGTCTCCTGGTCCCGTCCAATCAGTTGGATGGTGGTTCCACTGACACACTGCGGCTTTTCAGACGGGTTCTCTTCCACCCCTGCATCAGGTGGGTTGAATACTTTGGCCAGAGTGTCAAAGGCACTGTTGAAGCAAATACAGACACGCATCTTAAGACTAAATCTGGGAATAAAATACAGCAACAGATTTAAAACAGAAACAGATCTACAGATTTTTAAAATACAAAATGATCTGAAATAAATAAATAAATAAGAGTGATTTTCTGAAGAAACAAAGATTAATTTCTAGTCAAAACACCTCAAGTGTGACTAGCTGACCGTGTTATCTCTGTTGCAGACTGCCCCTCCTGCTGGCTGTCTGAGGTATCACCATTGTTCAGGTTTTCTCTTAGTGAGTCACTCAGGCTGGCGAGTGATGTCACTACATTGGCTAAAGTCCCCAGGTCTCCCTGCCCAGAATCCATCTAGAACAAACAAACAAACTTGTTTTAAATAACTTCTACATTATGATCAACTTCAACCAAGTATATTGATAATAGAGTTAAACTCTGTAATAAGGAGCCATGCTAAAAGGAGTAGTAGTTAGAGAGGAGCAGAAAAAGGTGAATCCCATTGATCAGATGTACCTTGGAGTCTGTCGCCAGCAGCAACGTTCCATCAGCTTGAATAACCGGCTGCTGGATATTAACCAGCATCCCCTGGTCCAGCAGGCTGGATATTCACAAAAAGACAGAACATTGTTAGAGCGACTCAAATGAAAACTATTTGAATTACAGTGCTGTGAAAAGGTATCTGCCCACATAAAGATGTCTTCCGCCTTTTTTTTTTTTTTTTTTTTTCAAAATCATCAGAAAGAAAAACTTAACAGCCAAACAAAACCTGAACAGAGCAATTTATACGATAGTAAGGATGTTCTACTTAAATCTATGGTCTCAGCAATTACAACAAGCTGCGCAGATTCTGAAGGAGAAACATTAGGCCCAAGCCATCATACTGCCACCAAAATGTTTAAGTTCTTGTAATTTTTCTGAAAACCTGGTAGTCTTGTGCCGCAACGCACACCTTCTTCTCACTTTTTTTCCTTCAGTCGACAGAATATTTTCTCCATACATCATTGCTTGAAGCTCAAAGATATTCTCTATTCAAGACATTTCTTTTTTATCTAAGTCAGTCAGTAATCAGGACTGGCTTTGAAAATTAAGATAATCTCTAAGTTCATAATGTAACAACCAGGAAAATGACTTTTCACGCACAGTCTTGTGGATTAGGATTTGTTTTACTTTTCTTAAAAAACAAATTCACAATTTAAGCTATTTGTACTCAGGTTATATTGGCCAAACATGTCCAAAAACAAAACAGAAGAAGAAAGCTCTAATTTGCCAAATTCTTTCTCACAGCATTTATATATTTCCTACTGACCTTGAACCATCTGTATCTGTGTCAGAGATAAAGGTTGGTGTGGCGATAAGTGGGCTATTAAGATCCTTGCGGATGTAGATCTTCTGGGTGGAAGCAGCACAGTTGGCGTGTCTTTCTCTGGGCACAATGTCGATGGGTTTCCTCTCACTCTGTACAGCTGAACAAGCAGACTGTTAGTACTGTTATTTGGGAATAATACTCATGGTCAAAAAGAAATTGACTTAATAAATTGTAATTAAATAAATATATAAATAATAACTAAAGGTACATTTCACAGTACGTCTTACAGCAGGTCAGTCAAATGCAGGACATTTCAAGATGGTCAAGTATCAAATTGTTTGTAGTTCTGCAGTACTAAGTGGTACTTTGGTAGAGGTACTTGAAAGTTAAATAAAATGAAATATGGTGTGATGTGGAGCTATTAAGCACCATCGTTCGAAAAAAGGTCTGAAGTGTCACAAAGACGAGTGCTAAAGAGAGGATTTCAAGAACTGCCAGAAAATTATAAATTGGTCCACAGTGAACATTCTTTAAATTTTCCACATTTTCTGATTGAAATGTTGCCAATTAAAGAAACAATGAAATACCATTGGAAAAGTTTTGTTATGTTTATTTTTTAATTGTTTTGATGTGGGTTTTTTTTTCATAATCTTGGAGAACTAGTTCTTCACTTGTAGGTAAGAAAATATGTATTTACTTGTTACACTCTGTTTTAAGGACCATAAGAATAATCGGCGTTATAGGCCATTGCAAACATGCATTACAATTGTCAAGGATAGTCTGTGGCTAAAAGGCTCCACCACTAGTACTCTTACAATTATCCACCCCAACTTGATGAGTCTGTAACTCAAACAGTTATTAAGGATGTAGACTCACAATCAGTTTTCATCCCCATCTTAAGGCATTTTCTGAGCCGGCAGAACTGGCAGCGGTTGCGGTGGTGTTTGTTGATGATACAGTCCTGCTTGCTGCGACAGCTGTAGGTTAGATTCTTCCTCACACTACGCTTGAAGAAACCTTTGCATCCCTCGCAGCTAACAGCTCCATAGTGACGCCCTTAATGCACACAGATTTCAAACTGAGTCAAATTGCTGACAGAGAGGAGCTTAACAGCTGGAAAAAATGTGACAACCGGCTCAGTGGAAGCTTCAGCTGGACAGTAGAGTACCTGAAGCTTTGTCCCCACACACCACACAATACTCCACAGGCTGAGATCGGCTCAAATCTCCTGACTGTCCTAACAACCGCTCCATTGAAACAGGATCTGTGACAATCTGAAAATTACATTTTAACATATAGTTTCAACTTCACCTGCATTAAGTAACTGACACATCTGAATAAAAATGAAAACTTAAAGACAATGCTTTGGAAGGTGAGGGGATTAGAGAAACGTACCTGTATCCTTCCTGGCCTTAGACTGTCTGCAGCAGTAAAGATGACCTGCTTTGTGTTGTGTGTCTCTGGTGAAGCCAGGATAACCTTGCTTGCTCCTAAGCTGTCAGCAGTGGTCAAGATGAACTGCTGCTTTGGAGCACTGGACGGGTCCATTGCTCTCACTATCTGGATCTTCTGACCCGTCTGCTGGTCGGTTACAATCTGACGAGTCAAAGGATACAGAAATGGGAAGAGAGGCAAAAACATAAACTGATGTGGTTGAAATAAAGTAGTAATAACAACATACAGTTGTGTTACTTCTAGTAATGTAGTTTTGCAGGTTATTTAACTCTTAATTACCTGTATTCTCTGTGGTGTGGTGTCAGGCTCAGCAGAGATGACCTGAAAGCGCTGGGGAGACTCACCCACCACTGGATCTGATGGAGAGCATGACCCCTAACCCAGTTAAGCAAAAAATGTTTTTTTTTCTTTTCTTTTCATCAGCTAACAAACACAAACACGTTTTAAGGAGGTGTCTGTAATCCAGATATATGCTGTTACATATTTGTTTATGAACCCCATTAAAATAATTAGATTATGTGATGCAGAATAGATTACCGAGGAAAAAAAAAATATTTTCTCTGCACACTGACCTCTGTCTCATGCTCAGAGTCTGCTTTCTGCTGAACGAGCAGATTCAGGTTGGTCGCCATAATCATGTGGAGTCATTAGCAAGATCTTTGGAGGAATGGAAGACAAAGAGATGGAAGGGTTAGGGCATAATCAAAATAAAGCCATGCTATGATTTATCCTTTCATAAAGACTGATATTCTCAAAACTTGTTTTGGAACAATCAGACTAAACATAACCTATTGGCTCTCCTTAAAAGGTCAAAACTGAACCATTGTTACAGTTTAAAGTGACCAGGTCCAACACCAGAGGTACTTGTGAAGAAATCCAAATGATGAAAACATTTAGATCATTATTAGTGTCTAAAATCACACCTGAAACGCTTGAAATCGGAACCTCTGGATTCCAAATGCAATACCTTAACTCCTACTTCACAACTCCACTAAAATACAACAGCTGCTGTAAATGTCACTTCTCATTTTTGAGAAGACCTAAATCTAGCATTACAGCTTGACAGTAAACAACAGTTTATATTATAGCAGAGGGTGGTTTCGGTCCACCGACCTCTGGGTTATGGGCCCAGCACGCTTCCGCTGCGCCACTCTGCTTGCCTTACAAGGAGTACCACAATGCTTTCTAATCTAAATGCTTCTGAATCCTTACAGGCAGCAGTGAGGGTTAACTATGTAGCTCAGTTAAACATGCCCGTTTCTTATTTTCATCAAAGACACCAAAGCATTTTCAAGCACAAACCCTGGGGTAACAATTTCATAACCACATAGGTGTTTTCTGATTATCTGGAAAACCATTAGCTCACTTATAAAGACAGTGTCTGATAATAAACAAGTGAGGAAGGGAGTAAATAAAAATAAGCAAGTAAAATCTTCCAAATTACTTTTTAATTTCAATCATATTGAATCTGAGAGCGAGCATGGAGACCAAAGAAAGGCCATTCTTACTTTATAGTCTCAAAAATCTTGTTAATCATACTACTAAATACTAGACGGACACTTAAGCCAAAGCAGAAGTGTGTTATTGGTCACCAATGTTTAAATAGTGCTGAAAGTAAGGAAGGAGGTAGAAAGAGGAAGCAGGAAGCTTCCTAGTAATCGTTCATTAAGCATGGGGACGTACCCACAGCATAGGATGTGACCCAGGATAAAAGTTGAATTGTGTTCTGGTGTCATTTATTGCTATACTTTGATTTTGTGACCGTTACTTGGCAGCCCAATACTAGCTCTATACCTTTGGAAAAAATCAGTTGCACAAAAACTCTAAAGCAGGATTCCTCCATTTTCATCCTTGAGGTCCGTTGTCTTGCACTTCTCTGCTGATTACATAATCTAAATCCTGTGAGGTAAAGGGCTTCTAAAAAATGTACATGACATTGGACCTTGACGACTGGAGTTAAAAAACACATCAGATGAAGATTTTATCATACTTATTTAATTATCATTATGATTATTATGTTAGGATAATTATCACTGAAGATGTGTAAGTTTATTACACCTTGGTATTGGCTGTCAGTTGCATGTCAAAACTGATGTTTTAATCTAATTAAGACAGTTCCTCTGTCTGGATATACAGTTATAATCTTCATTCTCTATGTGGCAGAGATTTGGAAATGAAATGGAATGACAGCGATGTCCTTCAGCTAAGAATGAAGTGTAATATTCTGATAAGGCTTGAGCCATGGATTTCTAATAATCTGCTAACGTGTATGATGTAAAATAAGGTGATGTGGCAGAATTGAGATGTATAAAATGCCTTTTTAACTGTTAATCGGGGGCCACTTCCTAAGAGGTGAGCCCGAAGGTGAGCAGCTGCCTTCTATATATTCTAAGCAATTTCTCTGATCTGAGTAAGATTACAAGTTCAATCAGAATCTGTTGTGGTCTCCTGGTTATTTAATACATATAAGTTAGGAAGTGTTATTTAAAGAGTTTGTCCTGAGTGATCTCTTTTCAGGGAAAAGAACGGGAGAGATAGGGCGCCAGGGTGCATACACAGAGCCTATGTTTAACAATCAGAACATCAATTTTCAATTATAAATCCTCAAAATCGAAATAAAAAGCCTCAAAATACATTTGAACATCTTAATAAGAAAAAATATGTTTATTTGCTCCTTCCAATTACTTTTTCTACTCTTTTACCTTGACATATTTAATAAGACATACATGATGGGATCAATAAATTTATTGAACAAACAAAAAAACAAGGCATTTGAAATGATGAAATTATTATTTTAACATGCAAGCATCTACTTGGTTGCATAGATGGAGTTGAAATACACAACCAAATTTTAAGTTATATAAAAAAAAAGTAAGTTCAGCTATTTCAAACTTTAAAGTTTCTAGATTAAACTGTTTTTTCTTTTTTCCTTTTTTATAACTAATGTAAGTACCAACAATAAATGGGCTCACGATCAATAGGAAGAGCGACAGGCTTGTTATTTATAAATTGACTGAACAGTGTCCATCAGTAACTTTAAACATTTACCAGCACAGAACAAAATGGAGAATCTGGCATCTAGCCAACATAACTGCAGATAATTACGATTATTAGTTTAATGTAACTATGTACTTAATGGACCGTGAGTTAGTTAAAATCTATACTCTAAGGAAAGATTTAAAAATGGGAAAAAAACACATTTTATAAATAAAACAGTGACAGACAGTTTACAACCACTCATGTCAGCGGGATGGCAAAGGTAAAGGGGTCGAGTTCATCCGGTTTTAGCTGCTGTAAGCTAGCTAAGCGCAAATAAAAGCAGCTGCTCTGGAGTAATGGCTAACGGCGTCTGTTGCTGTTATCTACTGGTCGAAGTGGAGGGGTTAAAAACAAACAAACAGGGCTGTCATGTAATAAACAGTTAATATTTCTGTGCCCGAAAGTCTGCGCGCATCTTTGTTCCAGTTCATCCCCGGACGCAGAGCAGCCGCAGCTGCTCACGGACAGGAAGCTAGGCGGCTAGCCGGGAGATTAGCTGGGTTATTCTGACCCAGCGCTGCTGCCTCAGAGGGCTTTAATCCTTTCAGTCCGGGACGGACACTCACCTAGGAGGGACGGCGCTCACCGCTTTAAGGCGCCCGGTTGTTTTACAAAAATAATTGTTGTGTTTTTCTCCTGTTAAAGGTCATAGTTCGTGACCCCCCGCACCAACAGCGATGATGATGTTTTTTTTTTTTTGTTTTTTTTTTTTATTCTCCTTCCTCCCTCTCTGTCCGCATGCCTCAAACACCCCCACCCCTAGCGCGAGCCAGACAGCGATGATGTCATAACGTCTGGGGACTTATCAAATGATGCGAAAAAGAAAAAGTATCTATAACGATATAAAAAAAGTTTGATTTAAACATTTCTAATGTAATTCTTTTTTTTTTTTTCCGCTATTGCTTTGCTATAACTTTGCTTCTCGCAGCGACGAGTTAACCGATGACCTTTTGGGATTTAATTCAACATTCATGGAAAATTAAGTCTTGAATAAAATCCATCCATCGGTCTGATTTTAATAATTTCAAACATGAAGATAGTACAAGATGCTACTGCTGGAAGCTATTAACAGTGTTTGTTTTATTTTGAAACTTGTCCTTTACAATTCATTATGTCCATGATGTAAATAAGAAAATCCGTTTTTTATTTACTGTCCAACATATTGATGTGTAATTTGGAAATGTCACTATAGCAAAGTTGAAATATTTTTATTGTTGAATGGTGAGGAACTTCAGGTGTAACAGAAGCAAACAACAGGCTGACAGAATGTTTTATTTTTTTTAACCTTTATTCAACCAGGAAAAAAATCCCATTGAGATTAAAAACCTAATTTTCAAGGGAGTCCTGGCCAAGAGGCAGCAAAGTTACATAAGAAACACAGATACATTAAATTAAATGACAGGTACATAAAAAAACATTTAAAGTAAAACAATTACAGATCATTGTTACATGTAAGAGGGCAGTATCCAAGAAGGGCCTTGTAAATAAAAGTGTTGCAATGACACTGCCTTCTCGTAGAGAGGGAAGGCCATCCCACTCTAGAGTGCAGGTCACAGTGATGTGTCATGGTTCTACAGTTTGTGATGAACCTTAATGAAGCATGGTAAACAGAATCCAACATTTAAAGACATGAAGAACTTGCATTCTTATAAAAAAAGTTCACCATAATCTAAGACCGATAAAAACGTGGCTGAGACAAGGCGCCTTTTTACTCCAAAAGAAAAACATGACTTATTATGAAACAAGAAAGCTCAAAGGTACACATGAGATTAAATATTATATCAGAAAACCTTTTAAACAATTAAGCTGTACTGCAGAATGGAAAAAAAAAAACTTTTAAATCACTGAATAAAACACATAAAGTTATAAATAAGAAAAAAAGGCATCTTGAGGTAACACTTAAAAAAATTCAATTAAAAAAGAAAAATAGCTGCTGCCTTACAGAGGGATGGAAAAATTCAGGTGCTGTAATAGTGCCAGACTATTCAGAGATCTTGATCTGGGGACTTACATGATTTTTCTCTTTAATTAAATGTGATTTCTCAAAGAAAAAAAAAACTTTGATTTTGTGATAGCTTTTCTTTACATAGCCAAGAGGTTTTAATGTGGGGAAAAAAGGAAAATAGGCACCAACTCAGTCTGGATAAACATTTTTGTTTTTCATAAACACAACCATACAGATTTTCTCTTGGCTTATTTTTCTTTATTTTTTGTCAAGACTTGTCTGCAAAGAGGGAAAAAAGCCGTTCTTGTTATTATGAATTTAGGTATCACAAAGGGCAGAAAACCCATGCACTGCAAACAGAATAATGCAAAAGCTGGAAAACAGATATAGTAATTAAAAACAAATTACAGATTTTTATCATACAAGTCTTCACTTGATGTGCAGTTGTTTCTTGTTGCTTTTGTAATAAAAAAAAATCGTACTTTTCTAAATTTATTACTGGTTTTTGTTCTAAGGATGCATGTTCGTGAACCGACAGGCTAGAAACTCAAATCACCCATGGAAGCTGACAAAGATGTCTTAATCTGAATGTACACAAACTTTACATGACCATAGGAGACAATCGGTTATTTAATGTCTTAGTGAAAGTAAAAAAAAAAAAAAGCTGTATGAATATATAGTAATTTGTGATTTGTGTCAGTAAGGTCATTTAGAGACTAAATATCTTCCCTGTTTTTTGCAGAATAAGTGTGGTTGCAGCCGTGCATTCTCATATTTTTTTTTATTGTTATTTTTCCAAAACTAAACAATACGAGGAAGAAAATGCAAAATGGATAAAAAAGTTATTGGAATTAAGACTTTGTAATTGACCCATCTTTTTCTTCATGGGTTTAACATTGGGCTCAACCTTTATGGGAAAGTGCTGCTCTGCAGATCTAAGGAAGAATAGATTCCTTTAACAATAAAGCAATGTCAATGCTGCTGTTCGCCTGACTCAGAGATGTTTGACTCACACAAGAAAGTGTTAATTCTTTTTTTAAATCAATTAGTAGCTATATGGTTTAATGCTGTGATGCTGCGTACATAACTTGGACAGTGTGGGCAGGTTCTAAGTCTGACTGGATATTCAAATCAGCATCTCCAAAATATTTGCACAGAGTAGTATGCCATGCATTAAACAATTCCTGGTCTCTGGTTCAGTAGTAGCTGTAGAAAAGCACTGGAACAGTTGTAACCCATGTCCTGGATAAATCTGTTTTCAATGGCTCTCAAAGCACCGCACCCACTGACATGCAAATCTCCTTCAAACTCACGAACAAGCTTTACTTTACAACCACCTCAATGCTGCATTCATACCTTTTTTTCTGTTACACTTTTTCATTCACATGCACTCTGTAAACAGACGGCTCCTTTATGAAGGACCTTTTGAGGTTTACTCTGCTGGCAAACAACCTGCTGTGAAGTCAGTAATTTCACATGATTTTGGCAATAATGCAAGTTCTGATACAGAAATCCTTTTTATTTTCCAACAAAATACTTGGTCTGTCATTAGTTGTAAGACATAGCAATTAAAACAAACTGAAATAACTCCAGATTATGTTTAATGGATCTATATAGGTGACAAGTATTATATAAAATAAAATAAAATGTGTACCCCAGAATAACACTAGGTGTCGCCCAAAGCCTCCAGGTATGGATAGGATGACAATAGGAGGAAAGAAAAGCCGCGTTTGCAGAGCGCATCATATAAAATTTAATATATATATAGGCCTACATATATGGAACCTTTTTTTGTATCATTATTTGAAAATTTTCTTCTCATCTGTGAGGAACCGCACAAAAAAACGCTGTTTTTATTGGACTCAGGACAGACTTGTGGGCGTCTGCTTATAGATCTTATTCTTTACCCTGGAGGAGCTTCGCCATTATGATTAATATTTGTTGATGTAAGATGATGCAATGTGGATTTAATAGAAATTATGGGATTTCCCAACGAGGGGATGTCTTTTTTTAATCTATGGAAAATAAAAACGCACATCAAAGAGACTGCGCAGCTGTATGATGCGGTGGATTTTTTAAAATTACCCAGAAAATGGATCGATGCGCTGCAGCAGGAAATCGGACGTCCCATCGCTTCAAGGAGCAGATTACTTTAACAATTAAACGCCTTTACATTTAAGGGACTAAGACTCTGCGCTGGGTTATTATCCGCCAGCTCTTTATAACACTGAAAGTGTAATAGAAGCAGAGAACTGTTGCAACGACAGCAGCATTTGCGCAACTGCATATCCATCATTCTAAACGCAAAGAGAAAGGAGCAGCATACCCAGAGGAAAAGACGCACCGCAACGAGCGCACGGCACAGGATGCGTCTTCACGTCAAATCAAGTTAAAAGGAAGCAGCCAGATTTTTTTTTTTTTGTTTGTTTTTTTAAAGCAGGGGGGGGGGTGATGACGGCGTTTATGTTCGGAAGAGGATTTTGCAAGCCCAGATTTTGGAAGCGCGGAAGCAGGACCGGTGTCTTATCGTCCCTTTGCGGGGTCCTGGCGTGCGCCGCGGTGTTGGCGCTGCTTTTCCTGGACTTTATTGAGACGTGGGTCACCTCGATGGGTATGAGCGGGGCGGTGGAGACGCATGCGGCCATCATCTCGCCCCAGAGCCTCCCTCAGTCCAAACCAGAGGAGTTTCTGCTCATGCCCAGCCCGCTGGTGTGCCAGCGCGCCAAGCCTTACCTCATCGCCTTGGTGACCTCTGCACCTGCAAATCAGCGGGCACGCCAAGCCATCCGAGACACCTGGGGAGGAGAGGTGGAGGTGAGAGGACTGAGGTTCATGACCCTCTTCATGGTTGGTGTTGCCACTGACCCCGGCCTGGGAAAGCTGCTGATAGAAGAAGCCAGGGAGAAAGGGGACCTGATCCAGGGCCGATTTTTGGACTCCTACTCCAACCTCACCCTGAAGACCCTGGCCATGCTTGGCTGGGTCCGCAGGTTCTGCCCTCAGGCTCATTTCATGGCCAAAGTGGATGACGACGTTTTCTTTAATCCCAGTGCTCTCCTTCACTTCTTAAACAAAAGCAGGAACCCTTATGAGCAAGGAGATTTGTATCTTGGCAGAGTCCATCTTCATGTGGCCCCAAACCGTGATCCAGACAGCAAGCATTACCTCCCCTCTGGGGCCTACCCTTTGTCTGTGTTTCCTGACTATTGCAGTGGTACAGCTTATGTCTTTTCCCGCTCTGCCCTGCTTAAAGTTGCCCTTGCAGCCTCAGCATCACCTCTATCCACACCTTTACCTCCAGAGGATGTGTTTGTTGGCCTCTGTGCATATGCTGCTGGGGTGCAGCCCTCACATTGCCCTCTCTTCTCCGGGGGTCCACCTGTGCCATACGGGCGCTGCTGCTATCAGGCCATGGTGTCTGTCCATCATATCACTCCCAAGGAGATGTTGGATTATTGGAAAGATGTCCATTCCTCCCCGCCCTGTTCCTGGCTGACTCAGCGTGCTTCTCTGGGGATGTGCAAAGTCAGGGCGATGCTGGGCTCAGCCCTGGGCCTGGAGGATTGACTTAAATTAGACTCAAGGGAACCTTGCCTCACACAGTTATTCTACAAGCTGCGAATCTACCTGCACTGATAATATTTATGCCTATTGTCATTATTAGATATTTATTTTTATAAGATTGTCACATACATTTTTTTTTTTTTTTTTAGAAAACCGGTAACCTCAGGATTTCTAGTTCTTGGTCTGAGCATCAAAATTTGACAACATGCAGCCGAGGAACATTTACAAACATGCTGCTTATACAGCTGCTCATGATGAATGCATATAGGAGAAATGCTTTGAGACAAAGTACTTTGAATAATTAAATGCTGCAAGCATCGGCTATTTACACACAATCAGTCCATTGCTAGATCATTTGACAGTAGGACTTAGTCTTAAAGCCTCCATGCATGTGCTGCAAAGCCAAAGCAATATAATCAGATCAAACAAATCAATTCTTGCGTGAAAACACTCTTCAGTACAAGTTCATGTTATAAATTTTCTTTAGGCAAGAGATTTAAAAGGAGGTACAAAGGAAATTGACACACTAGATGTAAATAACCAGTTCAGGTGACAGTTTTTTCTCACGGTTTATGTTGCAGCAAGTGACTCAAAGTGATTCTAACACCTGTTATACCAACAAAGAGCAGATTTTAAACTGCTCAGAGTTAAAGTGCTCAGACTAGGCCGAATCTCTGGTGTGCCTTGATGAAAAAAATGTTAGTTAGGAAATGTAGGATATATATATTTGCCAAGTTTTGGTTTTCCTTATTTATTTGTATGAATGGAATTATGACACCAATAAACACCCACATCCCAGGTAAAACCAGCCTGCTTCTTTCCTTTGTGCTCTTCTGCCAAATAGTATTTCTTACATCTTTATGCAAGCTAAACAAAACAGGTGAAAATTTTTTTACTTTAGAGAGGAAATTCCAAACTACCACTATTACATTTTAAATAAAACCCAGTTTTATCAAGATCAAATATTGTTTACTTTTTCAGAAAATACAGCTAAAATTAACACAACCTGTCCATGACCAGAGTATGGATAGCATCCGGTGAGCTCAGAAAGTAATTATTTGAGGCAATATAACTTAAAACGCTTTTCAGAAGAATTACGTAAAAATTTAAAAACAATCCGTTGGACTAGAACTGCAAGCTACTCTTGAGTCAGTATCTGACTTCATTCTTCTGAAAAATATGCTGATGAGGATTCTCAGTCATCCAGGTCAGAGTCATTCCGTAAAAGTTTAAAAACGATCCACTGGACTTGGTTTACAAGGTTTGAAGACGTTTCGCTTCCCCTCCAGGAAGCTTTCTCAATTCAAATGTCTGGATCTGCAGTGAGTTTGAGGCTTTATATAGACAAGGGTTTGTATTGCTTGGCACATGCAAATTGAAACAGAGGAGTCATTTGAATTGAGAAAGCTTCCTGGAGGGTAAGTGAAACATCTTCAAACCTTGGAAACCAAGTCCAGCTAAAAAGCTGTTGCGCCTTTTTAGGGAACATAACTTCCTCATTTAACAGTAACACTTTTGCAAATAAGGACAGTGTCTCCTTTAAAGCAAATGACAAAAAATATGTAATGATGCGATTATGTATGTAAAAGTTGGAGCTAGAATGTAAAATCATGACTTATACAAAAATTTATACAAAACATATGTCATCAGAGCTCTGGGATGTATAATAATTCTTAAGGAGATATGGCAAAATATTACAAATAAATAAAAATGCTAAATTTCTCATGCCCGTCTTCCCAATAAATCACTGTCCTTTTAGAAACGTGTTCTCCTCTAAGCCCGGATCCAGCAAAATAGGATAACAGTTAAGTACTTATGTTAGACTGCAGTGTAGTTCTTTGAGTTAATATTCACTGAATTCCAGTCCATCTTTGCAATATAAAAATGTCCTTTTTAATGAGGATAGTTGTATAGCAGCCCTCCTGATATGGCATCAGTATAACCACATCCTGACAAGCTATTCCTGCTATCAACTTCATGTGTACCAATTAATTAGGCCCTGTCTGTGTCAATGTCAACAATTAAAGGGTCATAATATTATTTCAAATATGCATTAGAACATGACTAGAAGGTTGGGAAGTCCCTTTAAGTTGATGTGCACAGATGGTTCTGGAAAAGAACTGTACTGTAAAATACGCACAAAATCTTAGTTATCATTAGCACCACAGCCAGAAAACACAAAAATCAATTTCCACTGATCCTAGCAGTCTGCTAAACAGCTTTTATTTTCAAAACAGTTGTGCTATATGTAAAATATTTATCTGTCACAGTATTTTAGTAATGAAGCTTGGCAAAAAAACTTGTCTTCAAGTATTGTTAGACCCACAAACAAACCCCTGGCAGACGTAAGTAATCTTTATCAACATGACTCCATTAATCGTAGCTGACTAACCAGAGTCTGGAAGAATAGAACATCTGTGGAGGAAGCTAACGATTAAGTTTATGACGTAAAGACCTTCTAACCCTGAAGACTTAAACTCATAACTAAAATTCAATCTTAATTCAAATATAACTGCAGAAATGCAAAAAAAAAATTTAGGCCATCAATTATATGACAGCTCACAGACTGCTGTGATAACAATAGTTTGTTTCTTAATAATAATAATTGTACTTTATTCATCTCACATTGAAGAAATGTACCTTTTAACCCATTAACTTGGGGAGCAAAGGGCTGCCATCTTGGGGCGCAATTGGGAGTAAAGGGTCTTGCTCAGAGACCCAGAGTGGCAGTCTGTGTGAGTGGGGCTTGAACCTCAGGATTCCAAGCTCTATGCCCTAACCACTAGGCAGCCACTCCCCCTCTTCGTTTACTATTGAAAGCAGTAAAATTTTTCAATCTAACTTGTAAAAAAAAAAAAAAAAAACAAACAAAAAAAACTAGTTTAACTATATTAAACCCTCTACAACATATTTAGGATCTTTGGAGATGGCCGCTATTTCCCTTAAAAATAACAATTGGATAAAAGAAAAAACATGAAGTCTAAAATTTTCAGAGATTTCAATAATTATGGGCTTAACTGAAGTAAACAAGTGGAGCCTTTTTCTGTCTTAGGGACCAATTTTTAATACTTGTACAAAATGTGATACATTTACGAATTTACATCTATTTAGAGCAGCGTGTTTTGAAAGCTGTGTTATGTCAATGCATTTGAACAAATGGCAACGCTGCACTATGGTCAATCTGTTTTATGTTTCTGTTAAATGTTTTTGTAAAAATAAATCTTAACAGAGCTTAGAAAAACAAAGTCATACAGTAAGCTTTTAGTATAAAAAGAATCTGGGTTACAGCTAATGCAGGCTAAGGTCCATCACATGAACATAAACAGGACTTGCTTTGGGCTACAGTCGATAAGTAGAGCAGAGCAGCCGGAGCATTCAACATTGATTTCATGAACTGTTTCCCATCAGATCTGGCCCTAGCTGCCCACAACCACCAGAACTTCTGCATACCACTGGGCCATGTTTCCATATGGAGGTCAAAGATTGCTCCCACAGAGTGTCGCTGCGTTTTGAGTTGCACAATGAGTCCTTTTTTATTTTTTGAACCTGTCCAGAGCAGATCTTTTCCCAGACAGAGCTCTTTTCTTCTCCTCTGTCCTCTTTCGCTCTTCCTCCATTTTCTGTCTGTCCTCCACAGTTTTCCGAATGACATCCTGCAACAGCCAGCAAGTTGACGGTTAGTGTGGATAATACTCATTCTGTATAAACATTAACCTCTTAACATCCACCTCATTTTTGCATACCCAAATGGAAAAGCAAATAACTTAGGAACTGTAGCCCAAATTACATGTGCAATACATTATTTGAAAGCTAATACCCTCTAGTTTCTGAATATATAAATTAAAATTGGGTGAGTAGAACACAGACCAAGCTGCATCAGTTCAAACATGACTCAAAGTTGTTTTTTTTATTCTTAGAAACGATAGGTCTTTTTTGAAAAGCAGTAATAAAGACATTCTTGACAATAGGCAGGTCTCATTGTATTATATTTGTTCTACATAATGTAAACCACAAATGCAGAAAATTTCAGACCTCCAGCTACAACAGTTCCAGAGCTGTGGGGTTTGGAACTTTTGTCAGCTTGGAGCGGCGCGCAATGGCTCCACCCGCAGGTGTCCGTGTTTCTCTCTAACACAAGCCTGTAATGCGGTACCCCTTCAAATAAACTACACACATTTGGGCTCATTCAAAACCTTATTTCATTGGCTACAAAGCCCAACACCCCACGTGGTCTTAACCAATAGCAACAGAGATTAAAACATCAATCATATTGCGCGTCACAGACTGACAGCAAGTGAACCGGAGGTGAGATTTCGGGGACTATATCTTGTTCAGTTCGCGTCATTAAAAATATGCAGACGCTTGTGTCTTGTAGATAAGAAGATGATGTAAAGAACCATACCAAAAATTGCGGGCTAACAACCAAGGAAATAAGTTTCAAGTATTAAGTAAATATCAGCAAGATGCTGAGAATAAGCTATGACCAGCCGATCTTTCTGATGTCAACAACCGGACGTTATGGGCGATTTCCTTATTATGGAATATTTTTATTACTAATACGCTGAATTACTTTTAATCTTTATAATTTGACATGCTGCTATATCTGTGTTAATTGTGCTTTAGTGCTCGCTGTGTCCAAAAAATTATCTCGGTTGTTGAATTGTGGAGAATCTAAGCTTTCCAATGATGTCTAACATATCTACATTGGTAAACATTTTACTGGTGGAATTTTATGGATTCTGACTTATTACCCCACTTAACATCCACGTTTTGAGAGGTTAAGTGGTGTTAGTGACACGAATAAGGTCCACAAAGAAGGCTGAAGTGAACTCAAATTAGACAAATTTAATAATAAATTAAACAAAATTAATAAATTAACAATGCATGAGGAGTTATGTCTCCTTATAAGGATAAAACAAAGATTAAAATCCAAACCCATCAACTTCCACAACTTTAATGATTGGCAAAGGAAGAGAATAAATGCCTCTCCTTTGAAAGTCATAAAAAAGATATGAGATGTGTTGTGTAACTTTAATATATTCATTTCCTACCCCAGTAACTGTTATCTAATCAGATAATATTTGGACTTTCATATAGTGTGTATGAACACACACCCTACTGGCTGTGTGTTTGAAGAACAAATGAATGTGTGAATCAAGTTCAATCATGGTCAGACAGAAAACTCTGCGAATATTTAGAATTAATTCATCACAAGTTCCTTTCAACATATAAGAAATTATTAACAAAATCTTTCAGCTACAATTCAAACATATTTCAGTTAAAAACTCTTGATTAAACTAGTAAACCTCAGCTAAACTACCGTAAGTTACTATGTCTAAAGCAGAAGGAAAAGTGTAGTTGAGACCCAGAGTCAATGAGATGACGCAATGATATCACAGTTTAATATGGATTTTGTGTTTGAGATCCAGAAACCGAATTTTGAATCAGGTCAAATTAACTTTTAACTAACTTAAAGTAATTGGAATGTTTTCACAGAGATTCACAATGCAAATCCATGATGTTAATAACATATTATTTTGTCAAATAATCTTCTCTTGCTTTAATTATTTGCTTAATAACCTTTAGTTAATTGATAACTGATTAACAGGCTTTTGCTGAACTGCAATCATCAGAATCAGCTGTGCTAAAGCAGGGAAACGTCTAAAACAAACAGGGCAGCGGCCCTCGGGTGTTAAACGCTTGGAACTTTAACTTTCTTTCCCTATTAGTCTGATAAGACTCCAAAAAACTTATTTTATGTTGTGTAGAACAAGATGTGCTACGAGATTTAAATTGGGTTAATCTGAGGTTAAAATCCGTTAAAGAAAAGGTGAAGCATAAATTGCTAGTAAGCATTGCACGAAAACTGGTAATAAATCATCTGAGAAAGGTTAAGCATGCTATTAAAAAGCTAGTAAATCATAAAACAATGTGAAGCATCATTAAAACTAAATTAAAAGAGTTCCTTTGATATCACAGGTTTAAGGATAACCTGTGACTACAAATAAAAATAAGCCTTTGCCAAATGTATATTTAAATAGACATATAAAGTGAACACTGACTGGATTGTTATTTTGAAAACTTCTTGATAATTTGTGTTTTGCATCATCAGCTATATATGGATTCAAACATCCTTCCAGCTACACATGTCTTTGACTTCGCAGCCATAGAGAAACAACAGATATTGTAATCCTTATCCACTCATATCTAGATGAGTTGGATCATCTAAATAGCTTAAACCTCACTCTATGTAAAGCAAGGATTCAAGAATGAACTGACTTGATTCAAAAACCAACTGAAAACATTCTGATTTCAGATGTTCTTTGTCAATTCATTCTGTTGCATCGGCATAAATACCAACTAGAAAAGCTGAATATCAAATTACCCTGCACAGAGACAGTGCTGCAAAACATTTATTGTCAGAAGCTTAGATAAGGACAGACAAAGCTAAAGAGATCAAAGGCTTCCAATGAAACTGTGAAGCTTTGCCATAAACCAAGTGAGAAGACTTTGAGCCAACAGGATATCAAACCAGTTCAAATAAATACAGTTCTTAAAATAAGACCTAAAGTCACAAAAATTTTGAGCTAACACAAAAAACAACAACCCTGAAAACAAAGGTATGAAAGTCAATCTAGTGACGAAGACGGAGAGAGCCAAATACATCACTCGGTGGAGCCAGGTGGTTAAAACTGGAGTAATGTCCAGCCACCCTAATTCTACTGTGGCTCTCCCCCACAACTAAGAAGACAGAAGAGTCCCTTAGGTGGCTCACACCAATTTCACCCACCAAGTGTCAGAGTTCACAGCTTGAAAAACTAATTCAAACAAAGATCAATCTGACCTGCCTCAACAAATGTTAGCTCCAAAGTCCCACCCATTTTATGAGAAAAGCCAACTTCCTCATGAGCCAGGTCCATCTTTTGATCCAGAGAAGTAATCACAAAAGAAAACTAATAAAAAAAATTTATAAAACAATTCTCAAAGAATTAAACTAAACAAAAAGCACAACAATTCCAAGATGATGGTGAAACCTACCACACCCCAGAGTGTGATAATGGCCAATCATTTCTAACATAATTTAACCAGTTTTATCATTCCTTTCTTTTATTAGAAGAAAAAAAAGGTTTAACATAAGCATTATGTCATTTAATCAGATATTATTCAGACTGTCATATATTGTTTATGAATATGTTGTTCTAAAACACACCCTACTGGCTGTGTGTTAGAACAACAAATGAAAGTATGAATCTACTACAAGATACTACAAGATTTCATTTCCCCTTGGGATTAATAAAGTATTTCTTAATTGAATTAAAAACCAAAGAAAAGCTAGATTTTGTTTGCGCACAGATTTTAAAAAACATTGAATTATTCTTCTTCCTCTTTAAAGCTATCCACTTTTTATGTTGGTCTATCACACACAATCCTAAAGAAATCCTCTAAAGTTCTTGATTTTTATTAGAAGATTTGGAAATGTTATTGGGCTACAACATATTTTGGAGCACACCACTAAAACTAATTACCTGTTTTACACAAATTAATGAAGTAAAATATGACAAGCAAGATAACAGAAAAGGCTGGTTTGTTGCACAGGTACCAAAGCAGCTATTTTGCATTTAGAAAATATGAATTTAATCTTTAACTACATACCCTCTGGTCCTGATGGGCCACTTGTCTCTTGCGTCTTTCAACACCACCAGCAGAGCTGCGACCTTTCTTCTTAAATTTTGGAACAAATTTCTCCTTGGCAAGTGGATCAAAGCCCTGTAAAAGAAGGATTCAGTAGAATGAACTTGCTATTATAATAATAAAGAGGTAATAACAAACTACAATTTAGGAGAAATTAGAACAACTATTGATGAAGACTTAATGAGTTAATTGTGCTTATGACACTTCAATATCATGCCCAGAATTTAAAACTTCACTAAATGCGAGCCGATTTAAAATTAGCATTACAGAAGCTATATTTTTGTGATGGGTAACCACATATTTCATGCATGAAGCTATGAGAACGCCTGAATTTACTTCACCTGCAGCTGCAATCAAAGTAGATGGAACTGCAGACTTAAAATGATAGCTTATTAGATAAAACACATATCAGAACATGTTTTTCCTTCACATTTTTGGATCTGGTCAGGGGTCAAGATATGCAGACCATCTACAACAGACTATGGACTGGTTCTGGGGATGTTAGAACAGTTTTTTTGTTATTTTGTTTTTCTTTTATTATTCTACATCGGAGCACTTTTTATGGAGACATTTTCAATGGACTATAGGAGAGGGAGTCGAATTCAGCAATTTAAGGAACTGAACTGCCGGGGTTTGGGAATGCAGAAACAAGTCAGAGTACAACCCTGAGCTCTCAGCAAATAAACATTCCACTTGAAAGGAGGATCCCCTTCTTTGACGCTTTGATTCCTTCCGCCTCTGTGTGACACTGCTGAAGACACAGGTAAAGACTTATCCTTCATGGGGTGTGGGGACACCTGAACCCCAAGACTCTTGTGGTTCAAAGCTTTTGTGGTAACAGGGTAACCTGATTGTCCTAACATTGAACTGTTTTGCATGTTGCAGAGGATCAATGCTCCAAGAGACACTTATTCTTCCAAAACCAGTTGTAGGATGGGTCCTGACAAGTTTCCCACATATAGATCCCCTCATATATTCTCTCTTACACACACACACACACACATACATTCATATACTAAGACACACACACATAATTTTAAGACATGTAGGACACGCAAAGGACAACATGGCAACTAAGTTTTTTTTAATACATTTACATTCAAAGCTGCTAAGTCTGACGAGGGGAATTTAAAGGAGGAATCAGCGCCAAGCTGGATATTTGTAGAGATTGAAGAACTTTTATCACTTATAACAGGCATCCCCAAAGTCGGTCCTCGAGGGCCGCTGTCCTGCAGGTTTTAGAGGTTTCCCTGCTTTAAAACAGCTGATTATAATGATTGCATTAGAGCAAAAGCCTGTTAATCAGCTTTCAATTAAAATCAGCTGTGCTGGAGCAAGGAAACCTCTAAAACCTGCAGGACAGCGGCCCTCGAGGACCAAGTTTGGGGATGCCTGACTTATAATGTGGAGAGGATAAGAGTAAACTAAAAATGCAGTTATAAGTTTAAAAGGAACTAAACTTAGTATGCCGTGATGAGCTGTAGGTTTCAGATTAAAAAACAGCTTTAAACTTTTCTTTAGATTATCCATGAATTGAATGTTAAAATGTGTAAAACAGGGTTAAATGTTTTCTAAATATCTATAGGTTTCTTTACAGCTTCAATGTACGTCATTAATTGAGATTCATCTATATTAGTTGCGGTGATTTGAGCTTATATGCACAAAATAATGAGCTGAAACATCAATAGGGTGTTCAGGCTGAATACATTCTGTTACAGATAACTTCCAACTGCCAGGCATTGAGAGGTAAGACATGTTTTTTTTTTTTTTTTATTAGAACCTGAAGCAATCTGCTGAAAAAAACATTTGCATTACGGTATTAAATGCAGTGATTTTAATGAAGACTTTAGAGATAAAGTGAAAGTAATTGTGGATAAGAATATCCGGTTGTGACTGTACTTAAGTCTTGAGTAAATGATGAGTTTCTCAGTAAAGATTCTGATAAGAGCAGTAATTGCTTTCTCTTGTGTGTTGGAGGATCCTGTTTTAGTTTGTCTAAAACAAAGATTTTTAGCCTGTGCAGTCTCTATTCAGTTGAGAATGAGCTGCGATAAATATTAACACTCCTTCAAACATCTGAATTACACAACCACAAAAACAAAATGCCTAACGAAATAAGGCTCATCAATTATTTACTAACATGTAATAATAGAGTGGGTTGAAAATACTTACTCTCCTTTTTAAATATGAATTGTGTACACATTAATTAAATCCTTTAAATGCCAAAAAATATTTATAATGTGTCAAATATCCACCCATCCATCCATACATTGCGATACACATCAAATGCATTCAAGCTCTGCATATTAGAGTGGGTCTGTTAAAGCCGCCATACATCTAATGACTTCAGGACATCAGCCATTAAGGACCGCAGTTTGAGATCACTGTATTAAACAGAAGCCCTGATCTAATGGGTATCTGAACGGGTTTAAATATCCAATGGACAGACATAACGGTCCGCATCGGTCCTCTTAATCCTATTATTGAGGTCAAATTTTACTTTTACAACAAAACACAGTCACGCCAAAGGGATTGAAGAGCAGCTTTCTGTCATCCACTATTGCCAACAATTTAGTAACTCTACAAATCCCTCTTTAAAGTTTTATTTTTAAAAAGCGCCTAGAGACAAATACAACAACTCTTTCTGTGTTTTAGATTTTGGCAACAAGCGAAACCGCCGATTACTGAGTTTATTGTATCTTCAGCAAACAGCACGTGCTGCCGTAAGGCCCTCACACCTCACACACATTTTTTTCACACCTCACACATACAGGAGGTCAGTCTCAGCAGTTTTGTTGTGCAGCAAACTCTGCCTGGAGTTGGAGCCAATACGTGGGTTACGGTAAAATAATAATGAATACTTGAATTATTTTTGGTTGTTCTGCAAGCACTGATTTCTCTCACCTACAACCTGGATTAAGTCATGACCAAAAATGAATATTACCTTGTGACTTCCAGTGATTTGAAATGTTTATACAGGCTTCATAACTACTCACTCATTATGTTTTTTTTCTTTATTCAAACTGTGTATGTAGCTTAGCACATTTTTCTATAGGAACTTAGAGCAGGAATTGTGAAAAGATACACATACACTATATTGCCAAAAGTATTTGCTCACCCATCCAAATTATTGGAATCAGGTGTTCCAATCACTTCCATGGCCACAGGTGTATAAATTCAAGCACCTAGGCATGCAGACTGTTTTTACAAACATTTGTGAAAGAATGGGTCGCTCTCAGGAGCTCAGTGAATTCCAGCGTGGAACTGTGATAGGATGCCACCTGTGCAACAAATCCAGTCGTGAAATTTCCTCGCTCCTAAATATTCCACAGTCAACTGTCAGCTGTATTATAAGAAAATGGAAGTGTTTGGGAACGACAGCAACTCAGCCACGAAGAGGTAGGCCACGTAAACTGACGGAGCGGGGTCAGCGGATGCTGACGCGCATAGTGCGAAGAGGTCGCCAACTTTCTGCAGAGTCAATCACTACAGGCCTCCAAACTTCATGTGGCCTTCAGATTAGCTCAAGAACAGTGCGCAGAGAGCTTCATGGAATGGGTTTCCATGGTCGAGCAGCTGCATCCAAGCCATACATCACCAAGTGCAATGCAAAGCGTCGGATGCGGTGGTGTAAAGCACGCCGCCACTGGACTCTAGAGCAGTGGAGACGCGTTCTCTGGAGTGACGAATCGCGCTTCTCCATCTGGCAATCTGATGGACGGGTCTGGGTTTGGCGGTTGCCAGGAGAACGGTACTTGTCTGACTGCATTGTGCCAAGTGTAAAGTTTGGTGGAGGGGGGATTATGGTGTGAGGTTGTTTTTCAGGAGCTGGGCTTGGCCCCTTAGTTCCAGTGAAAGGAACTCTGAATGCTTCAGCATACCAAGACATTTTGGACAATTCCATGCTCCCAACTTTGTGGGAACAGTTTGGAGCTGGCCCCTTCCTCTTCCAACATGACTGTGCACCAGTGCACAAAGCAAGGTCCATAAAGACATGGATGACAGAGTCTGGTGTGGATGAACTTGACTGGCCTGCACAGAGTCCTGACCTCAACCCGATAGAACACCTTTGGGATGAATTAGAGCGGAGACTGAGAGCCAGGCCTTCTCGTCCAACATCAGTGTGCGACCTCACAAATGCGCTTCTGGAAGAATGGTCAAAAATTCCCATAAACACACTCCTAAACCTTGTGGACAGCCTTCCCAGAAGAGTTGAAGCTGTTCTAGCTGCAAAGGGTGGACCGACGTCATATTGAACCCTATGGATTAGGAACGGGATGTCACTTAAGCTCATAGGTGAGTCAAGGCAGGTGAGCAAATACTTTTGGCAATATAGTGTACATTTCTACTTTTTTAATGCTAATGGATGATGAAGTGCTAATAAAAAAAAAATAATCACACTCCCTCCTTTGCTTGGAATAGGCTGTGTGCATAATATGCTGCAGGTACATTCCCCACAGCTTTGAACACAGGAAGTTCAGATTTTTTTTCAGTAGTGGTAGAAGTAGGAGGAGCAGTTGTTTCACTTCATTGTTTGACATGCTGCGGTTATAAAATATGCATGATGGTCTTGCAAAAAAAGCTATCTTGTAGTAAAAAGCATTAAAGCATCACCGGTTACCCACCGTCTCATTTTTCATCAATATTTATAGTATATAAAATCTTAAAATAGGAACGAAGGGGGGACTATTTGGTAACTAACTCACCCTTATTGGATACTTATTGTCCTTGTTTTCCTTAGATAGAAAACTTTGAATCAATTTGACTGTATGATCTGGTGGAACTATAAAGTGCCTTGAGATGACATGTGTTGTGAATTGGCGCTATATAAATAAACTGAATTGAATTGAACTTAAAGAAATGCGCATTTAAGAGGAAAAAAAACTTTTAATCTGTCAATATGTTTTTATAAGTTTTAGTTTCACCTTCGTAAAAATATTCTTTAACAAACCTTTGGCGAGCTGATTATTAATCGAAAAAATAATTGACAGACTAATCCATTTTCAAAGTAATCGTTAGTTGCAGCCCTTTTTATATATAATAAACACAAACACACACAATTAGACAATAAACTGACCAGAACTTCAACTCTGTTTTGATGCCTCTGCTCAAAGGTAGAACGATCAACTTGACCAAGCTCTGTGGGGTCGAGTGTAATAAGCTCTGGCTGAATCTTCTCCAGCAGAGCTTTGACCTCCCACTCCTGTCTTTGTTTTGCACTTCGGTAAGGATTTGCATCCAGGCCATCAAAGTTGGGTTCACCAGCCCCTGGGATTGCAAGTAGGGACAAATAATGTAGAAACAACAAAAAATTAAAAAAAATAAATGATATTGGCAAATGAAGCAAAGACCTAAGCTTAACAGGAGGCAAATATGATCTGCCCTTCAGATAGATTATCTAAGAACTTGGATGATAGTTTGTATTTTGCAGTTTCCTATCAAAAAAACACATCCTGCCATTCTGTACACATGTAGACAAGACTTATGTTACTGTAAAATTTATATAAAGAAAAAGTTTTTTTTGCTACAAATAGCTTCTAAACATATAATCTTTCAGGGATTAAATATGTTTTCATCTAGGTAATAAAGATGAGTCTGACCTGGAACGAGCATACTTGTGAAGCCATCTCCGTGCCCAATGCCAAGGACATCCTCAAAAGGGCAAAAGTGTAACCCCCAAGCTGATCCTCGGACTCTGTGAGCCATGTAGGGTTTACTTACTGGCGTGCTCCAAACATCCCTGTACACCTGCAAGGAGACACCAAATGAAGAGGAAAAAGTTAGTACCAGATACTGAAACATTTTCAGCATTAGTTTGTCTAAAACAAAGATTTTTAGCCTGTGCAGTCTCTATTCGGTTGAGAATGAGCTGCGAAAAATATTAACACTCCTTCAAACATCTGAATAACACAACCACAAAAACAAAATGCCTAACGAAATAAGGCTCATCAATTATTTACTTTCATGTAATAATAGAGTGGGTTAAAATACTTACTCTCTTTGTAAATATGAATTGTGTACACAAGAATTTAATCCTTTAAATGCCAAAAAAATATTCCATCCGTCCATCCATACATTGCGATACACATCAAATGCATTGAAGCTCTGCATATTAGAGTGGGTCTGTTAAAGCCGCCATACATCTAATGACTTCAGGACATCAGCCATTAAGGACCGCAGTTTGAGATCACTGTATTAAACAGAAGCCCTGATCTAATGGGTATCTGAACGGGTTTAAATATCCAATAGACAGACATAACAGTCCGTATCGATCCTATTAATCCTGTTATTGAGGTCAAATTTTACTTTTCCAACAAGATTAGATTAGATTTTGGCAACAAGCGAAACCGCCGATTACTAAGTTTATAGTATCTTCAGCAAACAGCACGTGCTGCCGTAAGGCCCTCACACCTCACACACATTTTTTTCCACACCTCACACATACAGGAGGTCAGTCTCAGCAGTTTTGTTGTGCAGCAAACTCTGCCTGGAGTTGGAGCCAATACGTGGGTTACGGTAAAATAATAATGAATACTTGAATTATTTTTGGTTGTTCTGCAAGCACTGATTTCTCTCACCTACAACCCGGATTAAGTCATGACCAAAAATGAATATTACCTTGTGACTTCCAGTGATTTGAAATGTTTATACAGGCTTCATAACTTTTGTACCTGGATTACTTACTCATTATGTTTTTTTTCTTTATTCAAACTGTGTATGTAGCTTAGCACATTTTTCTATAGGAACTTAGAGCAGGAATTGTGAAAAGATACACATACATTTCTACTTTTTTAATGCTAATGGATGATGAAGTGCTAATAAAAAAAAAAATAATCACACTCCCTCCTTTGCTTGGAATAGGCTGTGTGCATAATATGCTGCAGGTACATTCCCCACAGCTTTGAACACAGGAAGTTCAGATTTTTTTTCAGTAGTGGTAGAAGTAGGAGGAGCAGTTGTTTCACTTCATTGTTTGACATGCTGCGGTTATAAAATATGCATGATGGTCTTGCAAAAAAAGCTATCTTGTAGTAAAAAGCATTAAAGCATCACCGGTTACCCACCGTCTCATTTCCTCATCCTGCATCTTTAGTTCCTTTAACTGAAGATACCTCTGTAACCAATCGCCTAAAATACCAGGCTGGTTTCACCTAAAGTCAGCTATTAAACCTTGTTATATATGTAAATCTTCACACAGCATGGCTGACAATCACCTGAACAATGTCCCCTGTAGCTGCAGACAGCAATCCCTTCTGGCTCAGAGACAAACAAGAAGCTCCAGCAGGAAGGAAGTAGGACCTGAGGGGTTTGAAAGCTCTGATGTCAAAGACTTTCATTTTTTTATCCATTCCAGATGTGATCATGTACCTGCCAAAACACAAAAAGCCCCAAAAAGAAATCGTTGAACTGTTTCTGCTGAATCATTTCTCCATCAGTTAAACAGTTAAAAGTAACAAAGCAAATCAGCTTTTGATTTTTTTTCAAGAATCTATCAATTATTTTCTGAATACCAAATAGAAAGAAATGTGCTGATGGTAGACATGTATCTGTATAGATTTTTTTTTTTTACTGAAACCACTATTACAACTAGGCCTGTCACGATAAAAAATTTTGCAGAAAGATCAATTGTCTCAAAAATTATTGCGATAAACGATAATATTGTTTGAAGACCTTTTTACACTGATTTAATGGAAATGATCTAATAATGCATGCATTTTCCTGCCAAAGATAAACACACTTTATTTTCAACAGAACACTTAACACTGAAACTGGTTAACAAAATAAAACGAAAAAAATAAAATAAAAAAAGGTAAAAAAAAATAAAAAAAGATAAAACCACAGTGAAAAAAACCCACAGTGAAAATAAAAACGTATATACAAAATATCACGTTGGGGATATGCATGTTTTGTGGGGAATTCATACTGTCTGCAACATTTTATGAAATGCCGGCTTTTCAACAATATTAAATGGAAGCATCTCTTTAGCAATTAAATGAACTATGTTGTCTGTGAGCGCGTGCCACTTTGCGCCGTCCTTTTTGTATGCTGCCTGTCGATTAATTGCTTCAGTGATGATGGACTGTCGCAAACTTGAAGACACAGACGGGTAGGGCTGGGTATTGTTAAAAAAATTTCGGTTCCGGTACCAATACCGATACCTTCACTTCGATACCGGTTCCTGAACGATACTTTTTTCGATACCAGTTTTATAATATCAATTCGAAAAAAAAGAAAATTACACAACATAAAAAAGTACAAATCTTGAGTTTTATTTTAAGCTCTGTTTTTCCATTTACATTTTTCCTCTTACATAAAAAAATAAATAATTCAGTGTCTAATATTCACTGTTACATTGTGAGGACCTTTTTACTTAGCAGTTTTCCTTTAGAAAAATTACCATGTCTGACAAACAAGCCCGTTGAATGGGATCCTACTGACAGCGCACCGCTGGTATGGGGGGGGTCTGAGCGGCTCCGACAGAAATATTGAAGGCAGGATGAACTGACTGCACTGATTACGTTTTCAGGTGGATTTTCCCACTTAAAAACATAATAAAACTACTTTATTCCCACTGATCACAGCAAATATAGCTGCAAGGCAAATAAAGGATAGAGTAGCTCCGCCCAACGCGCGTCTGACCCACTTTGCGACCGCGCAGCCAGAGCAGCAAAGCTTCTTCAGCAGCGCGTCAGAAGCTGGTACAAGCAGCAAAAATGAAGCAGCAGACGAGATTTTGCTGCTCTTGCTGCGTCCAGTTTGAAAGCAGCATGATTCACTCCGCTCTGGCTTTGCTCTGCCCACGGGCTGCTGAGAGGAGGATGGTCGCGCTGGCTGCGGTCCGCTCTTCTTGCAGTCAAACACAGAGTGACTTTCTGCTCTTAAATTATTTCCGTGCACGATGTATTGCATTGTGCACTATTAGCATCAGTCTTAATAAAGTGAAGCCGCACTGTTGACCTGGGGGGCATTTTAAAGGGGTTCCGCGACGCTGCAACCAGTTCACAAAAGATACACATGAACCCTGGCTGTAGGCGTGACCACCTGTGTATTTTTCCTGGATGACGCAATCACCTTAAGTGTTCCAGCCAATCACCGAAACTTGGTACCGAAAGACGAGGCATGTTTCGATACTCTGTAGAACCGAAGCATTTCGGTCGGTACCATAAAAGTACCGAAGTTCGGTACCCAGCCCTACAGACGGGTCATCACTTGTACTTTTAGTTTCCAGCTGGAGAAACTTTGCTGGGTGGTTGTGCTTAAGGTGCATGTGTAGGTTGGTTGTATTGCTGCTCGTAGTTGCTACTGTTTAATGACAAATGCGACATACTGGCTCGCATAGGTTCAGCGGTTCGCCTTGGTCATTTGGTTTGAATCCGAAATACTCCCACACTACGGCTGTTGCGCTCGACTTTTAAACCAGTTCCATTTCGAGCTTTTTCCTCCAACATACGATGTGGTTTGTTTTTTTTACCTCGCTAACTCCTCTAACTCCTCACGGGGCTCTAAAGCTGCAGAAGTACAAAAGATGCGCGCTGACTACCTGATGCGATAGTCCACTCCTCCTCCCTTCTCAAAAATGAGGAAGGGAAGGGGTCAGTAGATAGCACTGGAGTTAAGCCTTTTCATCCTGTGTCATCAATAGAAGGAGAAAAACACAGGCAGAGACCATATAACCGATAAATGAAATGACGTGGATAATTTTTATTTATCGTGCGATTAATTGATTTATTGATTATCGCGACAGGCCTAATTACAACATTAACAATGTTTCAAGGAGAAATCCAGTATCCTGCAGCCATCATCTCACTTACGTGCCAGTCTTGTCCACAGTGACAGAACGAACGCCACCTTGATGACAGAGCATTTTAACCAGGGCTTCCTTTTGATTAGGTGACCAAAGTGTGACGGTGCCATTTGAGTGACCGAGGTGGATGACTGCATTGTGAGGGTTCTGACACATCACATCAAGACGGCCTTTCTTGGTGCAGATGGCGGCCACCTCCTTTCCAACAGACACGTCCAGGTACTGCAGGAAGCCTGTCGCACTCTGCAGGCAAGAATATCAACGAGAGGACAGTATTTGTAGTGAAATTTCCCCAGAATTTATTTTAATGTTTTCAAATATTTTTGTTAATGCTGTAGTGAGTTTTCAACTTGTTGGAAATAAAATTTCCTTCTGGGAACAAAAAACGGGACTCTAAAAAAAAAAAAAAAAAAAAAAAAAAAAAAAATTAAAACTTGTATACATTAAATAGATGTTAGAGTAGGGTTGTCACGATACCAAATTTTTCAACTCGATACCGATACTAAGGAAAAAATTCGATACTCGATACCATTTTCGATACAAGGATAAAATTTCTAAATTTCAACAGAAATATTTTGATTAAGAATTAAAATACAATAAATAAATAAATACAATAAACAATAAGAACAACATTTTAAGGTTGTTTGCTGTGCACCATATTTAGCAAGCTTGATAAAAAACTTACAAAATAAAAATTAAGTGTTCCTTCCTTGGCTATGCTTTGCACACATAACAATGACACTGGCCAAACCGGTTAAGAAACAAAAATAATTCTCAGTAGCTGCACCTGTTACAAAAAAAGTCTGAAACTGAAAAGTGCACAGAATTATTCAATCACACAGTGTTCTGAAAGTGCATTTTCCTCTATTCTGCACTTTAGATGAATGACTGTTTAGGTGCCACTGGTACTCGATACTTTTGAAAATGAGTATTGTATCCGGATACAACATTTCAGTATCGATACTTTTTTGAGTATCGATACTTTTGACAACCCTATGTTAGAGACTTTTAAAGTAAGATGTAGTGACTAGTAGCTCTTACTTATTCTTACACCCATAAAAGTTACATTTATTTTTCTCTTGTTAGTATCAGTACTTTTATTTTCCAAAGCCTCAGACATGTTTTTTTCCCCCATCTAACTTCACATTCTTGCTGTGTTCTGCTTCAGTAATATTTTCCTATGAGTGTATCTCTACGTTCCGGGAAGTCCTTGCAAATGCCCTATACAAAAACCAAGCTGTCCTTTCAATGTTATTACTGCGTTTGAGTCTATATATAGACAAGGCCTTGTCTATATATAGACTCAAACTCACTGCGGATCCAGACATTTGAATTGAGAAAGTTTCCTGGAGAGGTGGCGAAGCGTCTTCAAATCTTGGAAACCAAGTCCAGTGGATTTTTTTGAACTTTTAAGGAATAGCCTATGGAAAGATTATTTAAAGCACAGTTTGTGAACTTTTTTGTTGTCTTTGTGATCACCTGGACAACAAACTGTGAAGCCATCTACATAAAGGGACAGAGCCGATTGTACTTCCTAAGGAAGTTTAGGTCCTTCGGCATCTGCGGCTAGATGCTACATATCAATAAGTCTGTTGTGGAGAATGTGATCTCTTCAACCAACATCCGCTGGAGTAAGAGCATCAGAGCTAATGACTTAGAAAAAAGAGCTCTGTTCTAGGAACTCCTCTAGAACCTCTGAAAATTATTTTACCAAGAAGAGTTCTTCATAACGTTAAGAACATTATGGACAACAGTGCACATCCTCTTCAGAAGATTTTTAAAGAACAACAAAGTGTTCAGTCAGAGGCTTTAATAGATCCAATGCAAGACAGACAGCTACAGAAGATCTTTCCTACCTACAGCAATCGATACCTACAACAACTGGTTAAAAAAACAAAAACATGAGTTACTGTGACATTTAATTTAGCTTTGGGAATAATGTATTCTTGAATTGAATTACCTTTGTTGCTAAAAAGATTATTTGTTTGGCATTAGGTATAATTTGATCTAAACTTAAGCATTGGATTATAGAACAAACAGGTGGTTAAAACGGCCTCATTTAATGGCTTGAATGACACAGTATTCATTATTTTTAAATCAGAATGAGTTGTTGTGATAAACAAATGATAAAAAAGGCAACCTAAATATAAACCAACAAAAACCCACTAAATTTAGGAAGCAGCACCAGTCTTTGGTTATTAGAAGATGCAAAAAAGAAAAAAAAAAGATAAGCCAAACTTAAGAAATCTCGTATCGGCCCCTTTTACCTTTCAGACCATGTCCCCATCTCTATAATAGTGCAACCTTTTAGGTCTGCAGAGCAATCTTTCTTCTGAAGACCGCACTCATTATTTTATGATGGAAATTTTTTTTTCACAAAACAAACAAGATTTTTACTTGAAAATTAAATGATAAAAATATGGACCTGAGATTAACATGGAAAGTGTACGTGTGAGGAATGATTATTTCATACTGGAATAGGAAATAGAAATAAGAATTCTAGTAAATATTTTATATCAGGGATATCTGAAAAGCTGTGATGAACCAATAGTGTTTCAAAACATTTTGGGAAAAATTGTACGGCTCAGAAAAACATGATAACTCCACTAAAGTTAAGTATTTAAATAACCTTAAGATGCAACAGCTTGCAGATTAACAAGCTAAACTGCTTGAGGGGCCTATTAATTATCTGTAATACATGCCGTCATCTCCTCATTGCAGTTAAACCTCCTGGTGCTGACAGACTGTGCAGTTTTATAAAAAATTAGATAAGGATAAAATAAATAATTAGCTACTTATAGTGTTCAATAAATCCTTTGAAAATAGGGAATTAAGACAAATGTATGCATGTTGCCAAATATACTTTGTGATATGGTACTGGATCTTTAATCTCTGTTTTTACATGCTGGATTGTTGTAACTTGAAAATGTTGATTATGAAGAATGCTAAACTCACCGCAGTGGCTAGGAGAAAGTGATAGGGGAGGAACTGCATTCTCAAGACATCGTTGAATTTGCGAATGCAGTGCAACTCTATCCCGTTAGAGTCATAGATGTATAGCCACTTTTTCTGAGCTACAGCGTACATGTGCTCAGTGTGGAGCCACCTAAGAAAATACCAACCAAACTGTTACACACACACACACAAAAAAAATCATATAAATATATATATATATATATATATATATATATATATATATATATATATATATATATACACACACACACATATAAATGTTTAAATCTTACTTCACATCATTGACAGACTCCATGACGTTTATCTCACACATGAGCTGTTTGGACTGCCAGTCTAAACAAGCAACATGGCCTCTCCTCCCACCCAGCAGCAGATGACTGAAGCAAAAACAGCACTACAATGTGAGCATGCATTTTAAAATCAAAAAATAAAATGGTGTAAAAGTGTCTATAAAATGCCTATTAACAATACCTCTGTGAAGATAAATAAATTTCATATCAAAAACCTCATCATTTATTTATCCAATAGGCATATAAACAAATGTCTTTACAATAAATACAAATACAATCTTCTGCCTCTTTGAAAATGAAGTCAAGCAATATATTTAAAAATATTAAAGATTCCAATAATATGAAGGCTTTTAAACTCTTAACTTATATGGTCTTATGTCATCATACTATATAAAAAAAAAAAAAAAAAAAAATAAAATAAAAAAAAATCACATAGCTACAGGCTGACAGCATTTCAAACAATCTTAGCAGTGCTGATGTTATTATTCCTATTTAGTCAACATATATCAAACGAGAAGAGGCATGTGTGCTACTAACCGTCCAGTTCTGCTGTAATCCAGACGATATGGACCAAACTGAGACAGTTTCAGATTGAAATACTGTAAAGAGAGGAAAAATAACAAATTTAAAGTTTGCAAAGCCTTACATGCAGAGCAAATGCATTGTAACAGTTGCCTAAAGCAAAAAGAAAAACAAAACCAATGCAAACACTCAACCACAGTACACAACATATAAATAATACCATAAAATACTATTAGAAAACAGAAAACACTTTAGTCTCTTGCAATAACCTCTTAATAAAACTCAAATTACAGGCATTATAGTCTTATACTACACAGGTTTAAAATAATTGGGGAAAAAGCCTTTTAAAGAGTCAAATGACATGAAGACGACTTAGTGTTTTTTTTTTGTCAACAAGACAATAGAGGTTAAACCAAAATCAATAAGAATGTAATTCTTATTGATTTTGCCAGTCATGAGTGACTGGCAGGAATGCCCACTGTTTGCTTCAACCAGAACATTTCTCCAACTGCTAACTTAAGATGGCAGATGATATTTGGGGCCACATGCTGGGTTAACAAGTTGGTCTTATGGCCAAGATTGATAAAATCAACAGGCAGGGTCCCTTTAATCAAAAATGCGTGATAAGGTAAACACAGCGGAGTTTAAAAGTGATGTTTTCATATTCTGTAATAAAGGCCAAAAACTTCCTCAAAATTGTACACCAAATCATAATCTTTTTAAGGACATGTAGATATTAATATAATTATGCCTCCTTGGAATTCTTTGGATTCAAAATGTGCTGATACAGCGACCTTTTTAAGTTGCTGCAGGTTACAGGTTGGATGTTTTGGGCCCAAAGCTCCTCTGCAGGAATTTTGCTTCACCCCCACTGAACAAACCCGGTGTAACTACTTAGGTTTTTAGGTCGCCTTCTTTAGAAACTTTTTAAGTTCTGCAGACAGATAATTTTTTTAACCAGACTGGGTCTTTGAGCTTCAAAAAATTGACTTTATTAAGTATAAAGCAGTTTTTAAATATTTAGATGGTTTGCTGGTTGATATTGTATCAACATTTCCATATAATGTTTTTTTTTTTTTTCCATCTTATACAGTCCCTGCTGTGGTAAAACACCCTCATACTTTCCATTAGGAATGCATTTATGGGCTTGTAAACTTCTAATGTTGTCCTCCAAACAGAAAACCCACATCAGTTTTAGGGACTGTTCTCCCTGCTGGACTGTGGGAAACTGGCTGGTCCTGCAGCGGTTCTGCAACAGCCTTTTCCCGCCGCCATCAGAGTGTTGAACTATTGAAACTCTAATCAAGCCTGACACTTGAAAAAAATCCTATTTGCACTACGGCGAATTTTTAGAATCCCTTTAAAGCTACAGTGTGTAATAATTACAGGGATATAAAGTCAGAAATTTAATATATTATACATAACTATGTTATTTATCATCACCTATGAGCTCAGCCTTTTAACCATAATATTTGCGTTGCCTTAGAATTCGTTATTTATAATTAGGAGCGGGTCTCGCAATCATGGGGGCAGACATCTTTGCGCTACGGCAAGCGCAGAGGCAACAAACTAGCGATTGCGAGATCTCCCATTACGCTTGAAAATAACTACGGCAAGTTGAGAGAGATTAACTGAGACGGTACTGAACAGTAGATGGCAGTATTATGCCTGAGAAGCGTTTAGTCTGCCTGAAACCAAAGAAGAAGAAGCAGGTATACTGCGCTTCAGTAACAAGAAAGGTGAACAAGGCGGCAGGCGTGAGTGACTTTGCAAACTGTTTGGCACTGTGTGGCCAAACATCAGACGAATGGAGGATCATGCCTACTCTGTATCACAACGAAAAGCGGCGGACACCGAACCCCCGTCATCTAAGAAGCGGAAACACGACGAGAATAAACGCAAGCGTGACAAGAAACGACAACAAACACGGATCAACATTGGCACGGCATTTACACGATGGAAGTCACTGATGGAGGAAAAAGGTTTTCAAAGTGACGCTCAAGTTGTCAGTTTTCTCTTGGACAGGTAATTAATCCTACACACACAATTCTCTAATATCACTGCAGTTTTTGGAGTACAGGATGCTCAGACCTGTCTAAAACAATAACATGCTGCGTGATGATGCTGTTACTCTCCAGTATACTTATTCAGCAACGTCCCTGACGTTTTACAGGTAATGATTCAGTAATTTTCTGTAAAATAATTTTCTGGATATATACCTCGGTTACTTCTCTCCGGCTCCTTTGGAGATCTTCAAGCCTTTCCTCCTCTGCTCTAGTCACCCCGCTGGCACCCCTCCCTCGCCTGGCCCTGGCTGCACGCTCACCCCGGCCTCTCTGCCCTCTTCCTCTCCCTCTTCCTCGCCTTGTAACCCCCGTGCCACAAACAAGACTTTGACTCTGTAAACGGGGAATATATATTCTTTCAGCGAACACAATCTCGCTGTTAAACTAATGACTACAATTACTTCATCTGTTTATATCACCATGCAAAGCAGCTCACCAAAACGTCACAACGATGTAGAAAAAATAACGGGTATATTTACATATACCCGTTACATACATATATCTACATGAAATCTATACCCTACACAGACTAATGAAATACTATCTGTAAAATTATCTATGTAAACAAACCTCATCACTTGAGAAGGTAGGTGATGCGGACGTCGTGGAAGACATTTTGTCCCGTAACGTTCGCCGTACTGTTGGGGGGGGGGAGAAGCAGTGGGGGGGAGACGTTCATGTTGCTGCAGTCTGCAGTCTGGACGTTAGATGTCGCTGAAAATTACACACTGTAGCTTTAAATAGAACTCAACTCAATGCTCTACTGCATTTTCCATCCTATTTATTTATTAGCACCGAATCTTTCCATATCAATGCCTTTTGCACCATGACTAAACTGTTTTTTTCCTTTTCTCAGATACTTTGTTTACATTTTGATCACTGCTGCACTTTATAAATGGAAATATTATTTTCACTGTTGTAAACTGCTCATTCAATTGTTGAAAAGCTGTATGCATAGAAATTTCCTTTTGTATACACTGTGTATACATGACAAGTTTGTCCAAGTCTAAGATGGTATGGCAAATCACTTCAAGCATATGCTTTATATTTGCATGGATGTTGCAATGTGATGCAAGAGCTTGAATATATGGAAGAAATTAACATGCCAAAAAACATAAAAATCATGCTCTCTAAGTCACCATACAAGTTTATCGAAAGATGGAGGACAAAGGCCCATGACATTTTGGAGCAAAATAACCTGAGACCTCACATACATGACTTGGTAACTTATTTGGAACGTCAAGTACGGATTCTTTTAAATACCATTTATGGAGACATCGGGCATGCACAAGGAAACCGTTCAAAGGGATCTATATGCAAAGCACAACGTTCTGGAGGAGTAAACGGAAGCTTCGCCACCCCCACAAAACCAGTGAACTCTGGCAACAAAGGTATAATGGATGGTTCTCAAAGGGACCCGTGTTGTTGCTGTTCGCACACTCATCGCCTAGAAAACTGTCAACTGATAAAGACTAAAAATCACAGAGATAAAATCGATTTTCCAAAGTAGAAAGGAGTTTGCTTTGGTTGCCTCTGCATAGGACACATGAGCTATAACTGTACTAATCGTCTGAGCTGTCGAAGCTGTTGCCAGCAACATCCAACCCTGCTTCATATTATTTCAATCAAGAAATTAAATTTAAAGTTATCTGTTATCTTCTATCCACTCCAACACAAACAGAAAATACTGTTTCTTATCTATTGTTCCAGTTCGTTTCAAGTCCACTACAGGAACCAAAGAGGTGCAGACTTATGCATTTCTTGATCCTGGTGGTTCTCTTACATTCTGTTCAAAAAAATTAAAGACTAAAGGAAGACAAACCCAGCTTATGTTGACTATCATGGGACAAGAAAAGGTGGTTCCAGCACACCTGCTGTTTGGATTGGAAGTTGCAGACATGAATTCAAACACTTTTCACCTGCTTCCAGAGGCTTTAATACAAAAAGAAATATTAAAGTATTAAAGTCAAATTAAAGTCAAATTTTGCTACAGCTGCAGACCTGAAAAGATTTCCATACATGTCAAGGGTTTCTATTCTCAACATAGATGCTACTGTTGAGTTGTTGATAGGAACCAATGCACCCAAGCTATTGGAGCCCTGGGAAGTAATCAACAGCGGATCGGATGGCCCTTATGCTATAAGGACAGTATTGGGACGGGTCGTCAATGGACCGACACATGGAAAAGAAATGGGCAGAACAGGAGTTGTGAACAGAATTTCTGTGACAAATCTGGAGCTAATGCTACAAAGCCAGTATAATTGTGACTTTAATGAAAAACCCTCAGCAGGTAAAGAGAAGTCAAGGGAGGATTTGAGACTGATAGACATTATGGATTATACTGCACATCTACAGGAAGACCGATATGTTCTTAACTTACCCCCAAGGAATCCAGTTGTGACATTATCCAATAACTTTTCTATTGCAAATCAGAGAATTCTTAACTTGGATAAAAGGTTACTGAACAACCCGCAAATTTGTCAAGAGTACGTGTCATATCTATAAAATTTAATAAAGCAAGGGTACGCAGAAAAGATGCCATAGCAGGAGTTGGAAGGAAAATCGGGAAAAGGTGTGGTATGTTCATGGCATATACCATCCAAGGAAAGGAGCTCTATGAGTTATTTTGACTGTGGAGCCACTTCTAAAGGAAAATCTCTTAATAAGGAGTTACTACAAGGTCCCAAACTCACCAGCTCTCTAATTGGAGCATGTATGGGCGATATACATGCTATGTTTCTTCAAGTACCGTAAAGGTCACAGAGCATCAGAGAAATCTTCTTTGTTTCTTCTTGTGGTTAGATGGAGACCCAAATAAGGAAGTTCAAAACGTCAGGATGACTGTTCAATGATTTGGTGCAGTGTCATCACCTGGCTGTTCCAACTATGCACTGAGAAAAACGACCGATGACAACAAGGCTGATTTCTCTCATGATGTGGTGAAAGCGGTTAAACAAAATTTCTATGTGGATGACTGCTTAATAAGTTTTGGTTCAGAAAAAAAGCCAAAC